TATTTTCTTTTTTTGCATCAGAAATTGCAGTAGAATGACAATGAGCTTTGCCTTCGGGTTTCTTGCCTATCATGAAAGCAAACGACTCGTCATTAAGTAATGAAATAACAACCGAATTGATTTGTGAATAAATTTTAAAGTTCAAACTGCAAAGTTGATGTTTATTTTCAGCTTTTCATTTTGTGTCGAAGAAAGAATTGTTTTTATGTGCGTTAATTGTTGTTTTTTGCTGTTGATAAGCATGAAATGAATAAATTCTGAATTGAAAAATATTTTTTAATTGAGTGCAATGTGATTAAAAATTGAAATAAAAAATGATTTAAGATAAACACGAGAGGATAATATCACAATTATGTCATCACAAGCTATTAGTCAACGAACAAGCGGTCAATGTTCATTTGCAATCCTTCAAATATGTGTGAAATTCCATGAGAAAAGCGGCACAAGAAAATCGTCAGCTGTGAGTTTATTGAACGCTGATACCATAACACAAAAATTAAACTCACCTCAAGAACTTTTCGGTTTCTGTTTTGTCAAAAAGCAGTAGGAAGTTAATGAATTGATAATCAGCTGGTGGTTTCCACGATCTTATCTCAGATATTTTGTCGATGATTAATTTTCAATCGACTTTATCACTGTAAACACTTCACGATCTTCCTGTGAAAATATTTAGTGATGAAAAATCTCGAAAATCAATAAGTAATGAAACTAAATTTATTTTTATTCTTCAACATTTTAAATTATTCATCATTCTTGAAAATTAAGCATTTAGTGAAAAATAATTTGCATTTCAATATAAGCTTGAATAAACTATGAAATAAAATCTTTTTTCATGGTGTTCGTCATCTAGATAAATATTCACTAAATAGGAAGTTTCAAGCAAGAAACGATGATCTTTTTCAATCTCAAATGTCTCTCCACTAACTGCTACAAAATCTCATTCAAGACAAAATCATTTTCAAGAGAAATTCAGTTTTATCTTCTCAAAAATAACTGCACATTAGGAACAACATGAACGCGACTCATTTCTTTCCAAAAAAGATATTAATGAAGATTTGTCAATATCCGAAAGGAGAGTTTATCGCACTACTTTAGTCGCGACTCATGAGAGATGTAACGTTATGAAATCTTTAACGTGGTAAAGCATTTTGACCTTGAGCTAGCCAAATTGGTAGCTTTCAAAAAGAAACTTCACATTTATTTATAATTCTTTCACAAATTAATAAAACTTTAATTATCTTTATTTCACTAAGTAAAAATTTATCCACCCACTATTAGAAATGCGAAGAGCCTGCTGCTAATTATTGGACAAGTTTTATCACCAAACAATTTTTACAAACTGAAGTCTCTTCGCTTCAAGTCTTTTGTTTTATATCGACACTTATTCAATCGGAGCTTTATTCACACAAAAACTGAGTAAAAGTCTTACGTGTAAGAGAGTGTAAACGATTCAAGAGAGGGAATAAAATTTACTTAACATTAAAATTCAATTCTCTCTAATTTTCATGATTGTGCGCAACTTTATTATCTGTTGAAAACTGCCACTTATTGCAACGATACAACAGTCATGGTCAACTATAATTATTAGATTCCTTACTCATTATCCAGTTTCTGAACTCTGATTAAACATATTATTTTCATATGATTAAGTACAAAAAAGCAATAGAATTTCAGTTTTATTTTTATTATTTATTATGTCTTTTTCAAAATATTGCTAGTTCTTATTAATAACAGGTCCTGGCTTAATTTTTTCATACATGAAATCTTGTTTCTTTCCATTGCTAATGTGCTTGTTTTTAATAAAATAAAAGTGATCTCGTGCAAAGTAATAAAGTTCATTTTCCATTTGCCAAATTTTCGAGTCTTTAATTTTTGTTTCGGTAATAGGTAGTGGGTTTGTTTTGCCTTTTGTCTTCCGTAAATGTGATTTGTTAGATTTATTAAAATACTCAACAGCCCCTGATAAAAGAGAGAAAAAAAACGGAAACGAAGTTGTCATGCAACTTTTATGAATAGAATTATTTCAAAAGTTTACCTTGAAACAACCGTGGTAACGATAACTCTAGCATCTCTATAAAATCACCTAAATCTTCGGTAGTTCCAACTAAGAAATACTCATTAACTAGATTTTTCTTGGCTTGCTCGAGTGCCCATTCACTTCCAGCTTCGAAGCACTCAGCGTGATGACCGCAAAAGAAAGGTATTTGTAGCCACATGTTTTTTGGATCACAATCTGGTTTTTTCAGCTTCACGCATTCGTCAAAACTCATTGTGTCACCTGCTCGATGTCTCACGAGATGAGGCCGATAATCATCTCCGTAACGAAGGAAATAATAATAAGATACCAGTCGATCCAATGGTTTACGAATAATGTTTATGTACAGAGGCTTTTCTGGCATTCCAAATCTTAAAATATTTAAAAAAATACTTCTAAATACAAAAATTTAATTTTAGCAAATTTATTGAGAAAAAATACTTTGAGAAGTCGAGGAAGGCCATATGACCGTGATAAAATGCTGGCTTCATTTCAACCCATGCTGTAATATTTCTTGCAAACTTCATCTGATTGGGCAGCGATAAAACGTGATTGTTTCCCGTTATATTAATATGAAGTACATGAAAATGGTTTTTCCTGCATAGGTCATACGTCAAATTGACGAAACTGGTCGATGCTGTTTTCGGAACTCGATTGTAGATCACCACAATATTCTCATCAAAATCGTATTTATTTTTAGTTGTTCTCGTATTAAATAAAGGCAGAAAGTTATCTAAAAATATATAAATAGATTTACTGGAGTTTCATGTATACTTGAAGAGTAATTTGGACGTGATGGATTAGACTCTTGTTTTCTATCAAGACAGATACATTTCAACTTATAAAATATTTATTTCTCAAGCGTGTGCGTAACAGAAAATTTATCGATTAATAATTTTTGGGTGTGCGTTGAATAAAGGGAAATATGTTCACTGTTATGATAATTTTGATCTTACCTGGTCGGATATAGCGTTCTTTGAAGCTTAATGAATATGAGGTCCATAAGTAGAGAAACAGAAGAAAGAAACAACTTATAATTAACAAAAACAAAAATATTTTCTTTAACATTAATTTATGAAACATTTTCTCAAGTTTCTCGCCACCATGAGTTGAGTTTGAGATTGAAATTATGGTTCATTATCACTTTTTACACACACATGACAGAAAGGCATTGCAGATTAACTTTAAAAAGCTTCAAATTTGTATATTTTAATTGCCTTATCGTTGCAAAAATAATTTTGTTTTGATTCAGTTTCTAATTTGGTTCACAACATTTTTGGCCAGACAGACAAGTAACGAAATGAAACTTCTTGTTTGGAAATGCAGCATTTGATTTACAATTGCCTTAAGAATAAATGTAAACTTCTTCAAATCTCCAACAGCTAGAATCATTAAACATTAAGGATGAAGTTGCTTTATCACAACTTAAACCGATATTTTAAGAAATCAATTTCTTTCAACTTTATTTTAACGTACAGAATTTTCAAACTTTTTGTGCGCCCTCTGTGACCAATCCTTTTGGTGTATTTTATAACGAAACTTAACGAAACAATATTTGGAACTGACAAATAAAAGTTTCATATTTAAGAAGCGTTCTTTTTACAGTTTTTCTGACCTTAAATTTGTTTAAAGTATAGAAAACTAATCTTTGAAATCACAACTTTCATATAAACACCAATATTTCAAAATGTCAGCAATAATTCGCATGAAACGACACATTTCCGACAATCCACATGAGGCATTTGTTTTAAATTGTAAGAAACGAAAGACTGATAACAAAGAAAATTCATTGTTGGAAGTAGAAACGACCACTGTCTTAAAATTCGCGGGCACTGTGAATCAGGTAAGAAAATGAATAATATAGGAATTGGAAAGTTATTAAAATACATATAAAAATTTCAGGACACAAATCTTACAGAACACATAGCAAAGCTTTCAAAAGAAGACGCCAAAGATATTGTCAAAAAAAAGCGGGAAGTTCCGAATGTGAAAACAAGAATTGATGAAAACCGTGAAAAATCACAACAAAATCGTTTCAAGATTGTTAATTACACTCGAGCACTTAATGAATCAACAGAAGAGTCGACTGATAAAAATCTCACGATTGTCGACGTAGAAAAGGACGTTGTATCTAATAATACTCAAAACACATCTTCAATAACATCAGATCCAGGACAATCGACATCTTCTTTCAATGAAACAGCCGAAGAACCTTACGTATATGACATTTATGTTGCTGTATCACCAACGTCACCTCTTCAACATCCAGATTCATTAGATTTGAATGACTTAAGGTTGGTGCTATTGGAAGATGTTTATTGCTCATATTACGCGTATATGTAAACTCTTATGACAATGTTCAATCAAGTATCTGTCTCAATGTTAGACTAATTGTTCCATTTATATTCCGACTTATATTTAAAGCATTTTGTTCTGTATCACAAAAAAAAAGTCTGATTTAAGAATAAATTTATTTCTGATAACATCGTTGATTGTTTAAATGATTCAATACCTTGCTTTCAGTTGAATCATTTCTTTTTTTCTGATTTTATCTTTGGTGATGATCATTCAATGCAGGTATTGGATTATTTAAAAAATAAATCTAAAAAGTTAGAATTAAAATTTTATTTCTTTTTCCTCAAAAACAGTATTTTGGAATACAACGACTATCTTTACTCTCATCCTCGTTTAGTCAATTCTTCCTCAGAAGATGAAAATGAAAATGAAGATGAAGATTCGAATGATGAGGATAATTGGCGTAATGATTATCCAGATGAAGAATTATCTGATAATGGAAGCATTGGCGAGCGTGAAATGCGAAAGGCCATGAACAATATTAACGTTGGCTTTGATCTATCATCTGATGAAGAGGATGAAAATGGATTTGTTTATTCAGTTGACTCAGAGGCTTTTAGTTTTGAAGACGATCTCGATTATTGCGATGTCAATCGATATGGTGAAGCTTATGCAAGGTACAAGAAGCGAGTTTTAAAAGATATCGAGAATGGGAGTGACAGTTCTGACACTACCGAAAACAGTCATATGGAGGATGATTCCTTTCATTCTGATTGAGTCGAAGCGCATTGAATGTTCTCTGTTTTATAAAATGATTAGAGGATTTTCACTGTAAATAAAAAGTTTCTTCTGAAAAGATGACAATAAAAATGAATTTCACAAATCAATGAATTTTAATTATTTTGTTCTTTTTTTTATTTTCCCAGATTCCACAAATGTTCTCCTTTTTTAATTTATTGTCATTTTTTTGATAACTCTTATGATTTTAATTGTTTGCCGAAAAAATATACCGAAAAGGCCAACATAAGATTTGGCTCTTGATTTAATTTTTTTTCTTCACAAGTTTATTGCAGAAAGCGGAAATGTTTATCGTCCATCAGTGATTGAACGTTAAAATGCTTAAATGGCTTAAAAAGTGGATTTAAATTCGAGATTATGTGTCATTAAATTAATTTATGTTGAGCTATCGGAATGTGATTGAATTGAATTAAACTGCTGCTGGAGATAAAGTCTTTTGCATAAAAAAATGTCGTCGACACTGAACTACCAAAATTGAAAAATTAATTTTCAATTCTTTATTCGACCATAATTTTTCTTCTCCTTTATTAAAAGAAATTTATCACCTAATTTATTTAAACTTAAACTTTGGCTTCTTCAACAAAAAACAATCCGAAATATTTGTTAAATTCAAAGCGAAACTTCCAACTTTAATATTGCACAAGCAAATGTTTAACAAATGAAAATGGAAAAGAAATCTTTGAAAGTTTTGGGTGCATTCGGTTTCAAAATTGATATCTAAGATTAAATATTTAGCATTTTCATTCAATTTTTTCTTTTTTGATTATTAACTACGATTAAGATTATTTTATAACACAGAGTTTCATCCTTTTTTTTTCTTATTTTTTATATCATCAAATCGATTACAATTTATTGTGCTCGAATCAGGCAATGTGATTAGCACGATTTGTTTCCTTCTATTGAGAATAGATAATGTCAAGTCGAAATCTGTTTGAGTGAGATGAGAATGCGGCAATAAACTCAGAGATAGCCATGACTTTGTATTTAATTATATGTTATCAACATCTTTTTTAAATTTTCCATCAGCAGTTTTTGCCGATGATTCATCATGAATTATTGTTGTAAATCGTATACCATCGTTAGTCTTTGTTTCATTTTAATGTAAAATTTCTCCAAAAGATCTTGTCAAAGCATTGAGAATGTGCTGGTATTTGCGCCATTTCTCAATGAGTTCTGCCTACAAAACCGAAGTTTCAGCTGCTAACGTCACAACGACGTTGCTTGAAGCATTTGGTGATGGTCCATTTGATGGTCGATCAACTTTTTTTTTACAATAAAATTTCTTGTGAGCGAGAAATGTGTGGGCGTAATTGAAACTTATGTCGCAATTTGTGCAATATCTTGAGCCATTCGGTGATATAACTGGAGGAGTCGTACTTTGAATATGAATGACACTGGCAGCTGGCGAATGCATGCGTAATGCTTCAGATGGCGAAGGAATTTTCGGAGGTGCTAGAACAATTTTTTGTTGTGACTGTTTACGTGGCTGTGGCGATTCCGATTGCATTGTTGGTGATGACGATGCTTCTTTGTCATCCAACTCAACTTTTATGACATTTTCAGGGATAAGTGAAGGTTCATCAATCACATCGTTAACTTCATTTTCTTTTGCATTGTCTTCTTGTGAAGACTCTTCAGGTTCTTTCTTTATCGAGCTGTGAATAATCAGAAAAGATTTTTTACATTAATACTAAGCAATGAAAATCATTTTTCATATACAAACTTACTTTGATTCACTAACTGAGCTCGACTCTAAAGTTCCATTTTGAATTGGAACATCTTCAACTGGTGACTTAACCATTAATCGTCCCATCTTTATCACATTCATCTTCTGTTGTTCTTGGATCTCTGGTGATGGCGTCTTAACAGCACTCGCTGGTGGAATTTCAGTTCTATCATCATCCAATATACAAGAAATGAAATTTTCTTCATTGACATCGCCTGACTTCTTGTCGATATGCATTCGAATGTGAGTTCTCATTCCTCTGTTGATTTATCAATAACAAATTATTATTAATAAGAAATAAGAAATCTTTTATTTTTCTATTTTTCTTACCTCAATGTATTGCCTTTATATCTACAAATTGTGCATCTAAAAGCTTTTACATCACCATGAGTCTCCATATGTCTTCGAACTTCTGATGAATTTGGACTGATAACTTCACATATCGGGCACTTGTAAGCACCTTGACCAGCAATAGTGCAAGCTTGTGATAAATCATGCGTCGTCTTGCATTTCAAACATTTTTCTTTATGTGATGTTGTAACAGCGGCACTGGCAATAACTTGAGCTTGCAACTCGTTTCTCTTCGGACAATAATACATTTGATGGGCGTTAAGATTATCCAACGATGTGAATTTAATACCGCAAGCAACACAAATCAATTGTTGATACGTTAAAGGAACACCAGATGGGCTCACACATGGTGGTGAGTTTGGCGGACTTGAAGTCTTTGTACTTCCATCACCATCTTCTAAATTCCTAGCTGAACAATAGTGCTTCTTATGTGCCAAATAATTTTCATATTTACAGAAGACAATGTTGCATTCTTTACATTTTGACATTCCAGTCTTAACAAACATTTGTGGCGGTATTGGTGTGGGTGTTATAACGCCTGTTGGAGATGTTATCGATTGTGATGGAGAGATTTGTTGCACGTTGGTGGTCTCGCTCGTTCCCGAAGACGATAATCGCATAGCAAGTTCCATACTTTGCTTCACTAACATTTGTGGTGGAATGACATTCAACGATGGATCAGATAAACGCAATGCTATATCAGCAGGTAGCAGCGGTCTCATAAGAAGAGAATGAGATGTTGATGAGTTTGGTGAAATTGAGACACTTCCACCACGTGGACTATGTGAACGACGTTTCGGTGATGGGGTTAATGGCGGACTCCCAGGTAGAGAAGGTGCACATACAATTTGTTCAGGTGTAATTGAATCACCACTAACTGATAAATTTTCTTTTCCTTCCATCATTGCATCAAATTCCATTCGAAAATGATCAGCTGAGATTGCTGATGATAGTGATAAGCTTCGTTCGCGAGAATTCGAACCAGGCGACATTCGACGAACTGACAAATCTAATGGCGTTGAAGTTTCACGACTAATTGAAGGAAGAAATTATTAAAATTTATATTTTGATAAATTTTATTATTTTCAACTTACCTTGGATTACCGTCGCGCTTATTTACCGCTTTCAAAACTTCTCCAGTTTGATTACCACTAGCATTGCTTGAACTGCCTGCTTTCGACACTTTTGTTTCATTGACAGTTTGTGGTGGAACACTTGGCGTTCGTGATGCTGCTTGATGATGTTGAGCATTTGCATTTGATGATGGATTTGGTGCTAAAGACATTGCAATAGGTTGAAGTGTTCCATTTTGAAAAATGAAGCAAGCTGAATCGGGATTAGCAACTGGTGCAATTGTTGTTCTGTTGAGATGATTTTAATTACTAATTTCAATAAAAAAATAATGACGCCAAGTTTAACTTACAATGGTCCTGGAATGACGCTGGCATTCCTAATTAATGAGTACGGAATGATGATAATGGGATTAGTCGGCAACGCTAAGAACGGCTGGGAAGAAGCTGGTGGAGATTTTGGAGTTTCTTGTGGACTTTGAGATCCTGATTTTTGTCCAGGAGGCTTCGGAGTTGTTGCGGCACTTGGAGTAGCATTTGTGGCAGTTGTTGGTTGTCTAAGGATTAAAATTTTAAATAAAACGTCAAGAAACTTTACTTTTGCTTAAATTTCTTACCCTTCACGGTGTCGTGAACTGCAATAATGTTGCTTATGTGCGCGATATGTTTTGGTGCTTGAGAATCGAATGTCACAATCAGAACAATAACGATCAACGACGATTGGTACTGTTGGCTGTCCAATCAACTGTTGCACGACAATTTGACTAGAAGCTTCGTCACCATTTGATGTTGTTGAACTTGGAGCTGGTGATGTTTGATGCATTCTCATGTGCCGATTAAGTGAAACTTTCTTATCAGCACTGTAAGAGCATTGAGTGCAAGCATACTGCTTTCCAGTTTTGATTGATTTCGTTGGTGGTTCACTGCCATTTGTGTCTGCAGCTGATCCTTGTTTCGATGGACTTTCGTCAGCATCCTTTCGATGTGAACAATAATAAGTCTGATGTGCTTCAAGTGTTGATAATGATGAGAATCGAATGCCACATGGCTCGCACATGAACACATGTGGACGTGGAATCATCTCGAGATTTTTAACTAACATCTGATTAACGTTATTAACATTTTCCTTTGATTTTGGTGCTACTAAATTGAGTTGTTGTTGCTGTTGTTGAGCTTTCATAGCAGCTTTAGAGATATTTGCAGATTCAAGAATATTTTCAGCGTCTTCATGATTACTCATAATCTCATCATCCTCGGATTTATTTTCTTCAGCTTTCACTCGAATGTTACGAAGTTCCTTCGCTTCTGGATTTGAAGCTGGATCTGATGCTAAAGCTACATTCAGTCTTAACGTTGGCATAATTTTTGCCGTCGGTATAGGCGACAAAGAATTTGAATCAACGTCAATGTCGTGCGGTCGTTTCTCTCCACTCCGCACTTTTGTCTGATTATTTATCTCGAAATTACATTCCACAGGTGGTTCACGCTCTGGTGAACTTGTTGACTTAGATGTTTGGCTTTGGGGTGATTGAGCTTCATTAGCTTCTTCTGTTGTCGATTCATTTTGTGTTGGTGCTACATTCTCACCTTCAGGAAATTCTTCATCGTCTCCTAGAAAAAATTTAAAGAAGAAAGTTGAATTAGTAAGTTTCAAAAACAATTTCAGACAAGAAAATTATTTTGCTAGCAAAAAGTTTTCGTTATCGTGATTCGAACTTTTCTTTCTATTTTTATTTTAGTTTTTTGTTGCATTCCAATTCGTGATGCATTTTTCATTCTTTAAGCTTCAAATGCTTTACTGTTTTTTTCTCTTCCTTTCAAGTTTTATCCAATTGCGATGTAATGAAATGAAAATCTAGCAATTTACACTCAAAGTTTCACGATAAAAATACGTTACATTAACAATCCGCTTTTCACTCACCGATAAGTTGTGGAGAAAAATAAAGAAATGGCGAAATGAGAAAAGAAAAGAAAACGAGAACGACTAAGGAAGGTGGAAAATATCAGAAGATTTATGGGATTTTATTGTTCCCTAGTAAGAAATCGCGCAGCTTAATGTTGTGCAATGCAGAATCGTTTTCATCATCATCTCACTTCGGTTTAAGATACTTGTGAACTTTCTTTCAACTGCTAATAAAAAATAATGATAGAACATAAATCAAACTATTACGAAAATGGATTTTTCAGGCCATAACGAGCTGAAGCATTAGCATAAATCGTTGAGACTTGCAACGAGTAAACCATTTTGGCTTTCAGTTTATTATACCGTCGAAATCATAAACACTTGAAATTTATTTTTCCCACACATGCAGTTTGTTTTCACAATTTTTTTAATGCGGTTTAAATATTTTCTTCTTCTTTTTTGTACTTAATTTCCTTAAGAAGCATTTAATCGGAAATGTAAAACAAACAACGGAAAATATTTCTTTGCTTTATGAGCAACCACATTAAGCGTTTAATAAATTTCCCAGCATGAGTCTTAATTCTTACATATTTTGCATAAAGGAAAGAAAACGAGCGACAGAAATTGTGGAAGGCGAACAACAATATATTTAGCGACAACATTTCCTGCATACAAATGACTTCATTTTCATTCCTTTCAATTTTTAAATTTTAACAATTCATTGTCGTTGTCTGAGCAAATCAATTTGCAAAACTTTTCCACACTCAACTTGCTTAGAAAATTTCTTTGCATGTTCATTTATTTCGTCGATAAGAAGCCGTAGAAGTAACCAAAGTTCTTTTAATTAAGTAAATACCGTGACTCGAATCTATTTTGGCTGCAGATTTAAGTTGACAATGCGCGCCAAACTTTTCGGGATTCCGAGAAATATTTAAAGTACACGATGGGGAGAAGAAAAGTTTCATTGCTGATAAAATATTTCAGAGAACAAGGAAAATTCTTTGTGCATTCTTTACAGTGATAAAATTTGCATCTTTCGACTTTCGCTGGGGAATCTTTTAAGTTATCTGAAATATTTCAGGATTTTCTTTATTGGTCTTCGTCAGATAACAACAATTTAAAGCTGCAAGGAAAATCTGAATTCCTTTCCTTGAATCACCTGAACAAAGATGCAAGATTCAAGTTTCAGAGGAGATAGAAAAATGCAAATTCAGATGCTTTACAATGCAAAGCATCATATCGTTGGGCTATTTGAGATAAAACTCTTTTCAATTAGTTTTATGCCAACAAATAAAACATAATCGCAATCATTAGCCTGAGAGCTCAATTATCATGCTTTTTTGCACATTAATCTCGCATAAGTTATCTGCTGCACACTTTGCATTCTCTTCTCACATATTCACGTGCTGGTATTTGCATTAAGCAAACTATTCTAAGCCGATTTCAGTTAATAGCGAACGAGATAAGAATCACATTTGAAGCACATTAAAATTAATTATGATCTGCTAATTTCGTTCAATTTGTTTTCTAGCGATTTTATGTTCTGCAAAGATATCGAAGATATTTGAGACGGCATTGAATTTCTTATGCGACTTTATCTGACTTCACGGAATTGTTTTTCAACTCTTTTTTCTAACTGCTGCATTGCAATAAAATTCAATTGATTAAGTGCATCGTGAAAACAATTTTATGAAGTATGAGAAGTAAAAATTTAATGCAACTAACACTTCAATTCTAACATAACAAGAAAATGTTAATTAAGATGTTTGTTGGAAGTTTGAAGTTGATGTAAATTCAGAAAAGTTTTTCTTCTCCCAACTTATCGATGATTTAATTTCTTCAGCATTTTCCATCCATTCTTCATTTGATTCCGTCGGTTTCGTGTGTATGTTTGTCGATTAAACTCAACTCCTTCGCTACTTTCGATTCTTTATTCTCTACTTTCGTGCTTTTTGTTGTTTTTCTTCTTACACGACCAAACATTTCTTCTTACGATTCGATTTAATTGAATTTCATGTAACACGTTGTTTGTTGGTTTATTTGACTTTGCTTTTCACTCGTTTGTCTCTACTCATGTCAGCTTCGACTTCTCAATTTCATTTCCATTTTGATTTCTTCATTAATTTACAACAAATGCTGATATTACTCTCATTGTTTTACTTTTTGTCTACATTTCGTCGCGTCCAACCGTTAAGTCAAATTGAGCGAAGCTTTCAACGCCACTTGATTGAAATATGAGAAAAAAAGATCTCGAAAATTAATTTTTGGTGGAGTTCTGTTCGACTTTCAATGCGCTCATCGCTCGGTTTGTGATTTCTAAGAACGAGATCGAATGCCGATGATTAAAAGCCTTTTAAGAATTGTTCCGCAAGCAACTGTTGAATTGGAATAAAAACTAAAACTTCCGATCAACCAGCTGCGATAAGAAAAGTTCAGAAATTAATTTATTTTGTCATCAAATTATCTGAATTAATGAACACGTCATTATCATCGAAATAACTGTAGAGTGTCTCGGGAAAATCTGAATCGCGCCACTGAATTTACTAAAACAAATATTTTGAAAGATCTTTCACGGATGATAAGCACATCAGCACGCCGAATGGAATTTTCTCTAGCGCCGATAAATTTATGAATGTTGCGATGCTTTTCAGGGATTTATGATAGACACGTCGAACATCACAAAGTTGAAGCCAACTCATCTGTTGCTTGCGCTATTGATAAGAGAATTAAATGAACGAATGTGCAAGAAACTCAACTCGCTGAATTTCACAGGAATTGTTGGCATTTATTCACAGATCGGATACATAATCATTCAGTACAACACTCGCGAGATGACCTCAAGACAAAATAACAACAACAATAACGAGATGAAGGAAATATTTTCGAGTGATAAGCAAAAATGCATTGCATTGCATTTGCTTTACCAAGTTGGAATGAAAATAAGATTCAAGACTTGAAGTGAAGGCAAGAAAGAAGCGAAAAAAACTTTTCCTTCATTTCATAATCTCGATTGTATGTATGGTGGCTCTGACTCGTCGTTGTTGCATTTCATTTGAGACGATGGAACAGAGAAAAATCTTTTGTGATCAAGATTCAAAAAATACGTAATAAAAATACTTAAAACAAAAACGAATGCTTAATGAATGTGAGAGAGAAGGCAAAGGAAGACAAAAGGCGAGAAGAACTGATGATGACGATTGATAAGATGAGCAAAATGCCACGATTGAAGTCACTTAAGTGACGACTACTTCGTTCGAATTTCCTTGGAGAATAATTTCGACACAATTTTGAAGCAGTGAAATTAATTATCGTAATTTTCTGACACAAGAAACACACGCTGCGTGCCGTAATATTACGTTTTGTCTTTCTCTCCATCTTTTCATTTCAGATTTCGATCTTTCGATGTTTTATTGTGTTCTTAGCTATGTCATCATCATCTCATGAAACTCTACACACATCAATCACATTCTTGTTTTCAAAGCTACTTAAATTTCTGTCACTACCACAAACAGCTCGTAAAGTGAGCAAAACCGGTAGCTGAACATTTATGAGATCTCCTGCAGTTTTACTGTCATGAGAATTTCATGAATTGTTTCTTGATCACCAAACGGAAGAAAAAACGATGAAATACCAAGTCAAATGACTCGTAAAATTTCCAATTTTCTTTGAATTGCATCGAAGATGAAGTGAGTGAGTGAGTAAGAGAGAACAAAGAAAGAAGAAAGAAAGAAAAAGTTGAGCTTGGCCAAAGCCAATACGGAAGAAATGGAAGAAAATCCACTTATTTATGCTTCACGATGCTGCACATTCGAATCTGCTTCAATGCAAAAGTGAATCCATTAATACGGTCGGAAATAAATTTTCACCTCAAACTGAAATTGGATTTGGTCGTCGACGTTTGTCGCTTTTTTAACGGCGCTCGAAAGAATTTCGCAGTTCAAAGAAAATCTTGATTTATTGCAGTGATTAGCGCTAATGGATTTTTTAAAACCGCAATTTATTTGTCGTCACAATTGACGCTTAGCTTTGGCTGTTGGCTTAGCTTTCCAAACGATTGCAATTGGACTAATAGTTAAGAATTTCCATACATTTCCAATAACTCTCGTGGATATGATAATCCTCAAAGTTCGCAGAACATATCTTAAGTTTGGTAACATGACGATAAGAAATTTTACATTTTAAACGAACTTCATTCTCACTGCTTCATTTTAAAGCATTTAACATCATGTTAACGCCTCTTCAAAGCCTCAAGACCTGTCGCGAATTTACATAAAAGCATGTAATTGGAGAAAATAATTTACGGTGTGGAGGCAAGTGTAAAGCTGTTAAATAACAAGCTTGTAATAATTCAATTCACGAACGTAAACAGCCACTGATAGCGATTTAACATCAAGCGTGGAGATTAAAGTGCTGCGTTGCATGATTTCACCAAAGATCGGATTCACTTTATGTGTCGACTCTTTTATGTCCCGACAACGATGGTTTTATGGAAATTTCATCGATCGTTTAACTCTCCATCTTGACAAATTATAATTATCGTCAATTAAAATTTAATTACATATTATGATCTCATTTTTATTTCAACATCTGCTTGATTTGCATAATTTGGTCTTATCGACAAGTTAAAAGATTTTTTTGGATAATTTTGTGACATTTTATGTAAAGAAATTTCAGAACTGTTAAATATCCTGAAACAAATTAATCGATGAGTTTGTTTTGCAACTCGAAATCAAAAACGAAGAAGTTGAATAAAGAAGAATCGATGACAGCCAATTAGCATTTCTTTGTGTCGACCGCCAAAGGTGACATCGCAATATCAACGAATTCGATCAATTCTATTGAAATGTCCATCATTTTTGCATTCCACAACTCATCAGATTCAAACGTTTCTCAACATAATCTACAAATCGAAATTTATACACCAAATACCAGCGAATGGAGAGCAAACAACGAAATCTCATTGAATCGCTTAAACATATAGGATCGTATTTCACCTACATGTGGATAATTTATATTGGCAAAGGGTGTATTTATTCTCCATTTCTTATCAAACACCCGCAGCCACTACATTCTTATCTCGAAACTGTTTCACATTGTGTCGAGCTTAAGCCATCTCTGAAACTGAACTTCATGAACATGCTGAATGGAAGTTGGTAACATGTTTCCAATCATCGCACTAATCTTCAAATTGTTACAGAAGGTTTTTCAAAAGATGCAAAGTTGGTTAGTTTGGTTTGTTCACATCATTTGNTGATCTCATTTTTATTTCGACATCTGCTTGATTTGCATAATTTGGTCTTATCGACAAGTTAAAAGATTTTTTTGGATAATTGTGACATTTTGTGTAAAGAAATTTCAGAACTGTTTTACAACTCGATTTTGTTTTGCAACTCGAAATCAAAAACGAAGAAGTTGAATAAAGAAGAATCGATGACAGCCAATTAGCATTTCTTTGTGTCGACCGCCAAAGGTGACATTCTTATCTCGAAACTGTTTCACATTGTGTCGAGCTTAAGCCATCTCTGAAACTGAACTTCATGAACATGCTGAAGTTGGTAACATGTTTCCAATCATCGCACTAATCTTCAAATTATTACAGAAAGTTTTTCAAAAGATGCAAAGTTGGTTAGTTTGGTTTGTTCAAATCATTTGAGTCTCTCACAAATTCTCGAAATAAAATCAAAAATCTTTAATAATACGAGAATCGACACTCAACATGATGATTTAGATTTTCTCTTATGTTTTTCTTACGAAACATAAAAATTGAAGCAATCTGTAGTTAAGCAGACACAGAACAAATGAAAATAAAGATCGAAGTGAACGATAAGAGTTCTGAAACAAACGATGGCAAACGAGAGAACAACAACAAGGTGAATAAATGCATCGAATCGCATTCACTTGCGTTGCAATCGCGTTCGTAATAAATATCATGAACGAATTGTGAAAAGCACTTCGAGTGGAATCAAATAATTTAGCACTGCAAGTCTCTTCTGCACCTGCAAATGATTATCGACATTCATCTTTAATTTCAGGCAATCACTTAAAGTATTTTCACAGTGATTCCCGATAACATTTTCCATCTCAAAGCATCAAAGATTCTCCTTTTAAGTTCAAATGACTTTGGAAAACTTTCAAAAGGATTTCAATGGTTTGTGGTGTTTTGTTGGTGCTGTCAAGCGACTCGTATGTGGAAACACATAAAAAATATATTTTCCTTCAAAGAATGGTCGAAGTCAGATAAGAAACTATGTGGCGAAAATTCAAGCTCATACACTTTTCCGATATATATTTCTTCTCCACAAAATACATAAAATTATTTTTTATTATGAAAGTCAACACATTTCGGGGCGAGATCTTTGTGTACGAGATATCGGGGGCGAGAAGAATGATGGAGATTTCAATGCAAATTTACATAAAAATCCTTTACTCAACGACAACGACGACGAGGGCATTCAATAATATGTATTGCGATAGCAGGAAAGAAATACAATTCATTCACATAAAGGAGTTGCTTTGGGGGGAGGCGACAAAGGGGTAAGTGATAAAGAATAATGTTCAAGTTTTTGGATCTTGGAATGACTGTGCTCGACATGATAAGAAGGAAAATCATCAGATTAAAACGAATACGACAACAGAGAAGAAAGACTTTCGTCGACGCCCCGGTTTGCAGTTAAACGAAATCATCCTCGAAATAGCCGCAATAAAAAATGCGATCATTCCACTGATTAAACATGTTTAATGTGAATCTACATAGAAAAGCGAATTTCTCTGTTATCTCGTCTGGTTTCCTTTCTTTTCTCTTCAAAATCGTCGACAGAAATAAAAGTCAAAAGCATTAGCAAAGCTCAACCAACCATCCGAATTATATCTGGAAGCTTTCTCACCCACTCTCTCTATTGCTTTCTGGAAGAGAAGCAGCAAACATCACCATCGGGAGTGTTGTGTTTGACTGCGATAAGAAAATGGAAATAAAACTTTTGCAATATAAGTAAAAATGTGTGTGAGTTTGAATTCATCTTCTCGCCCGCTCTCGACTCGAATAAATCAAAAATTATCTCACTTCGTTCACATACAACAGTTTCTTATGTTTCTGTTGTGTATAATATCATTTTCGATGCCGTTATCACGTCCTAAAGATCTTAATATGTGTAATTATATATTCATTTTCTCTTATTCAGCAGTTCCTTTTTTTGTTCTTTCGGCGGAGGGATTTTTGTTATCTTTCTTGATAGCACATTTTAATTTTTACTTTTTTCCCACTTCCATCTATACACCCCCACCCACCCACTACACATTCATTCTTCTCTTAACTTGCTCAAGATGATTCTCATGAAGAAGCAACAAGAATGAAATCGCGTTCACATCGTATTAATGGGTGAAGGAGTAAGGAAAGAGAGGAGGAAAGATGAGTGGGTGGGTGTTTGTAAGGAGTTTGTTGTACGGAAGGAAAATGGTTCATAAACTAGCGGTTATTAGTGAATTGTTTATCCATTTATTTCTCAAAATTTGTGTTGTGAGCTGAAATTAATCTGAAGAAGTTGATAAAAAGTTAAAGAGAAATCTATTTTAAAAAATTTCCGACCTGCAGTCTGCAGAAAAGAACTAAAAATTTTGTTATCGCTTTGATTGACAAATTTGATTGTTAATATTAAATATAACTTCATAGCTGAATTCTGAGAATTTTCCTTATTAAATAAAAGAACGAAAATAACGATGAATGAAATAAAAGAAAAAAAACTTTCTCAAGTGTTTTAAAATTGCTCCGCAACTCTGCTTCTGATATCTTTCTCATTCTGAACGACTTAACAAATATCTAATAATAATAATCGCACTTTCAGAAATTTCAAATTTTCTCCCCCGCTACAAAAGCTGAAGCGAGAATGTGTTTCTAGTGATTACATTAATGTCGCTTTTATTCACGTCTAACATGTTTATTATCATATCGTTCGGTTGGAGAAAAACGCAGACGTGCTGTTATGGGATTTATAACAGTCACACTGTTCGAATCTACTGGAATGTATATTGCGAGCTGCGCTTCCACTTGTTTAAATTGTCTTTATCAAGAAATTTGTTTTACTAGCAGTTCGTAATCACAGCCCAACCTTTCCCATTATATCTTATAATGAAATTGAGTTGAAACAACGAGTATAGTTGCAAGTTCCTTGAGACATTTTCAAAATGAAGTTGATATGAAAAAACATGCAAATTTAATGACGTTAATCTTCTCAACACTTTCAAATTCATGTATTTTGGGAATGAATCAACATTGCAATATTAACTGCTTAAAAACCCAAATGAAATATTATTCTCTTATTATTAATCTTAAACTTCCTGTGACAATTTCATGTAAAGAAGTCACGAAAAATATTGTTCGATAAAGTTCAAACTACTTTCCTACTCAATATACTCTGAGATGAAGTAAATTAACTTACGAAAGAAATAAACCGCCACGAACAGATTAAATTCATTTTTATAACATTTGTCATTAAGTGCTTTTGGGAGATAAGCTCAAGATAACATTGTATCGAACAAGGTATCGTCCCTTCTCTTCATTTCTCTTTCTCTCTCTTTTTAACTCCATGCCAAGTAGTAAAATTAAAGCATTGATCCATTAAAAAGCTTTTTGATGCCGCGCGTCGGCATTTTTATCACTTTCTATCATCATCATTAGCATAAAAAATTTAATCTTTAAATTTATTTCATCGTTATTCGATGTATCACTAAACTTTTGCCAACAGTGAATGAAAAACATTCGTTTTTTGCCTTAATATGCAAAAGAGTGAATAAAGCATAATCAAACAAGAGAAATCTCATGTCGAATGTTATCTGATCACTTCAATTTCAGTGAAAATATCCAACTTAACAACTGTCACCACACTTCATATTGTTGTGTCAATTTACATGATTCAACAGTCAGAACGAATTTTCGAGGAACGAGGTTATTCAAACGAGCAAATAAATTAACGTATTTATGGGTAAAACATGCAGATCTTTCAGCAATGATAAGAATGTAAACTTTGCATTCGATATCACAAATAGTTGTCTTTAAAATTTAATATTATTCGAGACATTCTCAACAACGACGAGTGGAAGGAAGGAAAAGTTTTTATACTGTATGTGAATGCATGTAACATCAACAATAGTTAGGAGAATAAATGTTTATATGTGGTGCTATCATCTGTCTACAGAAGCTGTGAAAGTTTATTTGACTCTGAAAGATATAGAAAGGCATTTCTGGGATGAATCTGTTATTTATGTTCATCAATTTTTTGACTGCAAAATGTTGTTGACGATAAGGAAATGGAATTGAAAATTGTAAGTATCTCATGTCATGTGAAGTAAATTTGGTGTGAGTGAGAAAAGTTGGAAGGAAGTTGATAACCCATTTGATGTTAAATGATGTCATTTCATTCAGATATGAATATCATTCATTAGAAATTATATATTCAGTCATTTTCCAACTCTAATAAATATTATTTTGATGTTAAACAGATTTGATTCCATTTTATTCTCTATTAATTTTCTATAATTCTCAGTGAGTAATTTGGGATAAATATTGAAGCATAACCCATGTAGATATAATTACATAAGCTTAATAGATAATCGATACATATAACAATCTTTTGATAATTAATAATATTTAATCATTTTATGAATTCAATGCTGTTGTCAATGTTGATTCTGAATTCCTATATCGAACACTCATATTTTCTCTTATATATTTTCTGAAATATGCTTTTGTTTTGACGATTCGAATAATTATTATCGAAGTAATAATGGCAGTCATTAAAACAATAACAAAATTTTTAAAGAATTGTGTATCAGAATATTGTTCGACAGGGATTTGTGCTTGGGTCTGCAGCATTTCAGTGCGTTCTTTATTTATTGAAGATATTTGAGTATTTTTATCGTTTTCATGTTTCATTTTGGCAAGTTCTAAATGAAGTTCATTCATTTGTAATGTAAGCTTATCAGTCGTAATTTGTTGCTTTTCCAATGTTATATTTTTCATATTTTCAACAAGAGCTTGAATTTCTATAATTTATTATAAATGTAAACAATTTCAAAGTGGACGTCGATGTTCTAAAGTCAGAAATATTTAAAACAGAATTAATCTAGATGAGTTAAAGTGTTCATTTGCTTTTTACAGATTCAAAATATCTTTAAAATAAGTCATAAAAAACCTGAAACAAAAATTTGCTGAAAGTGAAAAAAAAGTTGAAAAAATGAAGAGAAAAAAATTTCAATTTTAAATGACAATATCTTTATTTATTTGACGAGATAAGGAAATTGTTGTACTACATTTTGAAGACTCACTAATTATGATTGTTCTCTGAAAGTTTCAGTGCAATCAATAGTGAAACAACTTCAAAATCCTAATTTAAAAATTTGAAGTGAAAAACTTGTCTTATGCGTTTCTAGTCTAAGTTGAAACGCCTCTCTAAGATAAAAATTATTTTCATCATCAACTTAGAAATCTCAGTATGCGCACAATCGCATAAAAAATGAATATTTTTTGAATACTTGCGAATAAATGCATAAATGCACAATCGCATAAAGAAAAGGTAAAACCCTACATTTATTTTAATTTTGTTCATTTCGTCGATCAATTCATTCAACTTTGTGGAAACTTTATCATCGACATCAGAATTTAATTTTATGATAGATTTCTGATCATCTGCCTGACATCCGATCCCAAATATATTTGATGAGTTCTTCACAACATTTACAGGCTCGACGATGATGCTTTGAGCAGACATACTTTCGAATACTTTTCCAAGATACGAGCAAGTCCAGGGATTGTCAAGTTTAACTTTTTCAAGACTTGGAAGCTTCGATTTCAACGATTCATAAAGATCCAGCTTCGTGAGGTTATTTCCACTTATGTCGAGGGTTTTTAATTTTTTCATTCCGCTAAACATCTGCAAGTCAATAAATCCCAAATTATTGTCAGATATATCTAACCATTCCAATTCTTTCTGATGAGAAAATGTTCCATAAGTGATTCTTGATATTCCCGTGGCTTTCAAGAAAAGTGTTTTTAACGAGGTCATTTCAGAGAAATCGTCAACGTTTAGTGGACCAACATAGGAGTAAGAAAGGTCCAGAAAAATCATTTTCGAAGAATTTCTTAATAAATTTATTCCTGAGATGTTTTGCAAGTTAACATTTCGCATGCCAACAGTATTTAAATTTGAATAAGACCCAATCAACAATTTCTTCATTTCGTAATTGTTTGAAATAAATAAATATTCCAATTCCATAATTCCATCAACTTTTAACTCAGAAAGATTGTTGTTGCTCACATCCAGGTAAAAAACAGTTTTGTTTTTTAACAAAAGAACGCCTTGAAGTCGATTATTGCTTAGATCCAAATCTGTAATTGATTCGAACTCAAATTCAAACTTTTCCAAAAGGTTATGATCCAATTTGAGCTCATTGAATGATATCAAACGGCTTCTATCTGACGAATCTGAGCTTGATTCAGATTTAATAATCGCAATTTTATTATGGCTTAAATCGATTGATATAAACTTATTTGTTAATGGGTCCAACACATCTTCAGATATTTCTGATAACAGATTATGCGATAAATTTAAAAATAGCAAAGTTTTTCCGCATTCTTCAAATGTTGCACTTTTTAAAGTTGAAATTTTATTATTCGATAGGTTCAAATTTTTAAGCTTTTTGAGATAAAAAAATGCCATGTTGCTTATGCTGGATATCTCGTTATTTGATAAATCAAGATTTTGTAGGTTATTGGCGGATTGGAAGCTTTCACGATCAATTTTGGTCAGTTGATTGTGAGATGCATTTAGTTTTTGAAGATTGTAGGAGTGAGAAAAAACATCTGATGGAAGTTCTTTATAACTGGCGTCCAAAACCAATGTCATGTTTTTTAAATTTCCTAAAGAAACATAGTTTCTCACTGATTTCCAGTTCAAAATTACACAGTTGTAATGATTTCCATCGCAACAATATATAGTTTTAGCTTGATCACAATATAGCGACACTGCAGTTATTATCAATGAATAAATCACAAATATTCTTAGAAGAAACAGCGAATTTAATTTCATTAGTCCTTCCATTACTGATGTTTAAAGCATACTGTAAGAAAATCCAAAATAATTTTTATGAAATTTTATCATGTTTATAAACTCGTCTGTATGTAGATTGTGGTTATTTTAAACTCTGATATACATATTTTGCAAGCTATCGTGATTAAGAAATTAAGTGCTGACGCATTAAAATTTTGTTAAAAATCTTCTTGGATTTATTATTTATGAGATTAGCAGACAAACTAACAAAATGTATGTTTAAATATTTATAAATTTTCAAACAAAAGGAATGTTTAAAATAACAGAAACCCTTCATGCCAACTTCCGTCATGAAATAATTAAACAACGACTAAAGTTGGGGATAAATATATGCAAGAGTCACACTTATAGAAAGAAAAAAACTTATTTAGAATTCATTTTACATTCAAACAAAAATTCAATTTCCTTTCCAGGAAATGCAATGAAGTTTGAAAAATATCGAATTTAAAAAAATATAAACAGAAATTTCATTTCTCTCATGATGCGGTTTTTAGTATTAAATCGAGTTTGTTGTGAAGAAGCAAGTTTGTTTATTCATAATTTTGAACAAATGATTTCAAGAGCTTTAGAGTGATGTCGCAACAAAAACAACGTTAAAAGATTAGACAAAGAATTTTCTAACAACAAAGTCTTTTACAGCATCAAGTACAATGAATGAGACCACGTCAGATAACGTCGAGAGTAATTTATATTCGTCAATGTGGTGAAAACTGATAAGCAACCAAAATGCCAGGATACAGTACAATATTATTGAGGATCAAAATAGCTCAGAAGAGTGACAATTTTTTAGCTCCAATTTTTTTTAGTGAAATGCTCAGGACGTTGATGTAAAAACCATCAGTCAGAGAGAAAATAAATCTTGAGCGATAGGAAATTAACGATAAAAATATTGATGAATTGTTGTCTTTACGACAAACATTTTTCCACTCAACTCATCGTTGTTTTATAGATAAAAATTTCCTTTTATGTACAAAGAAAAAGAAAAGAATAAAAATGTTCGAAGAACATCATGACACATTAAATTTTACTTTAGACTGAGTGTTTTTGTTTAAAAGTTTTTAAATTTATGCAATTAGTGTGATTATTTGTTTGTTTGTTCTTATTTTTCCATTGTTTCATGAAACACAATAAGCAATTTGTGGGTTTCACAATCAGTTTCGATAACAGTTGTCGTTATACGTAACACCGACTTCCTTCTACTTGTTTTGTATTTAAATCTTGATTTGGGTTAAAAGGGAATTTCAATTTTAGAAGTCGACTGAGTAATTTAACATTACATCGAACATCACTAACATATTGATTGACTATGTTGTTGATCAACTAACATTTAAATTCCTGATGACATCAAAAATATTATTGGATGCTAAACTTCTAGACAAAGTTTAAATTGAAAACTCGCGAGTTATTGACAGCGAAATGGTCAAAACAATTATTTTTCGTTCGAGAAAAGCAAAAGCGAAAGCTCAGATCGAATTGAAAAATTATTTTTCAATTGAAAACTTTTCTAATTGACACATGAATGCGGCATTGCGTTGTCCCTAAAGATAAAAGTCGTCTGAATGAAGGAATAAATTGAAAACCCAACAAGTATCCAGGCACTGGTCTGCGGTGAAATGTCATTCCATTTATTGTGTTATCAGTTCCACTCCATCGTTATTTGCTGTAATATTGGAAATGTTTCGAGATATTAAATTTCAATTTACTGTGAAATCAATGAACGACCCATCATTTCTCCTTCGCGCTGTTCATTTTTTTAACCATTGAATCATATCAAAATGTCGCTATCAACAAGGCTAAATATCATTGAGGCCTCGGTCAGGGGAGAAAAAATTTATGATGATTTGATGTGAAAATGGTTTGCAGCATCTTGCCAGTTTCCTTTGCTTCTTGATTTGCGATTTTCCCATTTCAAATGTTATGAGTTTGTGTGGAAATATTTCACGATAAAAAAAGATTCTTTTTATTGAACATTTTCAAGGAAAATGCAAAAAACGAAACGACACGAAGCTGCGGTAAAGTTGATAGCAACCACCAAAAGCAATCCTCAGAAAATGATTGACAGACGGAAGCATTCTCATAATAAAAGTTAAAAAATTTATTTTCCAATAAAAAAAAATATTTTTCATAAACTCAAAAGTATTTTGCACTTAACGTCAACAACAGAAAAATGTTTAGAAAATATTGAACACGATTTATGTGTAAAGATCAGGCAATATCGGAGGACAAGTGCAAACCAAATGTTTATCACCATAAGCATCGTCAATTCTTGCAACCGATGGCCAAACTTTGGAGTCGGATCTTACGAATGGCTTGAAGAAATATTAAAAATAATTTATAGAAAAACATTGAAAATGTTTACATCAATAAACTTACTGCTGGAAAAGCTGCTTGTTCTCTCGTGTATGGTCGATTCCATTCAGAATTAACGACTTGGAATTGAGTGTGAGGTGACATTTTCAAAGGATTTACTTTCATGTCCATTTTTCCTTCTTCGATTTCTCTGATTTCTTCTCTGATTGTCATTAAAGCTTCACAGAATCTATCAAGTTCTTCTTTATCTTCAGATTCTGTTGGTTCAATCATGAGAGTACCAGCAACGGGCCATGACATTGTCGGTGCATGGAACCCATAATCCATCAAACGTTTCGCAATGTCAACTGCTTCAATATTTGCTGTTCTCTTGAAATCTCGAATGTCGAGAATGAATTCGTGTGCAACTAAACCAGAAGCTGGATCTTTATAGAGAGTTTTGTAATAAGGTTCGAGTTTTGTTGACATGTAATTTGCATTTAAAATAGCAACTTGTGTAGCTCGTCGTAAACCACGTCCGCCCATTAATTTTATATACGCCTGGAGAAACGAGTTAGGGTGATTGAATGTAAAATTTATAAGATTTATCATCAATCGACATCCCAGTTGAATTATCATTAAATATTTCACTCACCCAAGAAATTGGAAGAATTGCTGAACTGCCATAAGGTGCTGCTGAAATTGTTCCAAAACTTTGATTGTCTTCTAGTTCATGGAAAATATCAATAACGGGATGTGATGGCAGAAACGGTGCCAAATGTTTCTTCACTCCAATTGGTCCCATTCCAGGTCCACCACCACCATGTGGAATGCAGAACTGTAACAAGTTCAACAACGATTATTTCGAATTTATTCCTTTTCAATGTCACTCACAGTTTTATGAAGATTAAGATGCGACACGTCACTTCCATAATCACCTGGTCGACAAAGTCCAACTTGTGCATTCATGTTGGCACCATCAAGATAAACTTGTCCCCCATGTTTGTGAATCAACTCGCAGACTTCAGCAACACCTTCTTCAAAAATTCCATTTGTTGATGGATAAGTTAACATTAAACATGACAAAATTTCACTAAATTCTTCTGCTTTCTCTTTAAGATGTGCAAGATCGATAGTTCCATCACTTGCTTTAACTTTGATCGGTTCAACTCTCATTCCAGCCATTTGTGCTGAAGCTGGGTTTGTTCCATGAGCAGAGACTGGAATCAAACAAATCGTTCGATGATGATTGCCGTTTGCTTCGTGATATCCCCTGATTGCTCGAAGACCAGCATATTCGCCTTGAGCCCCACTGTTTGGTTGGAAAGATATTTTATCATAGCCCGTGATTTCACAGAGATCTCTCTCAAGTTCATTGAACATCTGATGATATCCTTTAGCTTGATCAACTGGTGCAAATGGATGAATATCAGTGAAATGTCGGAATGAACATGGAATCATCTCAGTTGTTGAATTCAATTTCATTGTGCATGATCCTAATGGAATCATCGAATGCACCAGTGAAATGTCTTTGTTTTCAAGTTGCTTCATATAACGAACCATTCGGGATTCACTGTGATGTTTACTGAAAACCGGATGTGTTAAAAATGGCGATGTTCTCTTAAAATTTGAATTAAAAATGCTTTGATTTAAAGCACTTGGATCTTCAAGAATGTCAGACAAAGAATCGGCTTTGAAAATCCATAAAAGATCTTCAATATCTCCAGTTTTGACAGTTTCATCTAAAGCAATTGTCACAGAACCATCGTGAACATAGCGCAAGTTGATTTGTTTCCTTTGTGACCTTTCTTTAATGTCTTCGATTGTCAAACCCATTGGAACTACTCTTATGGTATCAAAGAAAACTTCATTTAGTTGTTGATGTCCGGCACGTTTCAATCCATAACTCAATGCAATTGCAGCGTTGTGAATATTTTGTGCAATATCTTTTAATCCATCTGGCCCATGATAAACTGCAAACATCGCTGACATGTTCGCAAGCAAAGCTTGTGCTGTGCAAATATTACTTGTTGCTTTATCTCTTCTGATATGTTGTTCGCGTGTTTGTAAAGCTAAACGATAAGCGTCATGACCATCATGATCACGTGTCACGCCAACCATTCGTCCCGGAATCAATCGAACTAATTTCTGTTTACAAGCAAAGAAGCCGGCATGGGGGCCACCATAACCAAGTGGAACTCCAAGTCTTTGCGATGTTCCAACAGCAATATCTGCACCAAATTCAGCTGGTGGGCGAAGAAGAGTTAATGCTAAAAGATCCGTAGCTACACATACGAGAGTCTGAGAAGAATAAAGTTAATTAATATTTCATGAGAAATGAAAGTTCAACACACTCCATTTTTTCTTGCTTCTGTTGCAATTTGTTCGATACAATTGACATTGCCATAAGTGTCAGGATATTGCAAAAGTATTCCTGAGTAATCATGGTTTGAAAAGTCGACTTCATTTATTGGCCCAATGATGACATCAATGTCAAAAGCTCTTAATCTTGTTTCAACAACTGAAAGCGTTTGTGGGTGGAGATTCTGAGAAAGATAAATTTTTCTTCTTTTGTTGTGACGATAGCACAAGCTCATGGCTTCAGCTGCTGCTGTTCCTTCATCAAGCAAGCTTGCATTGGCAACATCCAAACCTGTCATCTCAGTTACAAGTGTTTGATAATTAAGAAGAGATTCTAAACGTCCCTGCGCTATTTCTGGTTGATATGGAGTGTACTGTGTCGTCCTAAAATTGAAAGTTAATTCTTTTTCTGATTTTCTTCTATTTTATTTTTTGTTTACCATCCAGGATTCTCGAAAATGTTTCTTAGTATCGGATGTGGAACGTAACAATTGTGATATCCCATCCCGATATACGATCGCCAAATAGTGTTCTTCTTCGCAACCGCACGAATTCTGTTAATCAATTCGTGTTCATCTGCATCAACAAATTTTATAGTCAACGAGGGAAAACAAAAAGTCGTAAATATTTGTTGTTGTTTTTTGTGTATAAAGAAGGAGTTTGATTACGAGTGAGCGTGTTAAGATTGCTGGGGGTATTCGGAAGACTGATAAGAATTAAAAATTTGACGTAAACAAGAGAGCGATTTTATAATGTTTGTCTCAAATAAACTCAAAGTATTTGATTTCCATCGTAATCACATCAAGAGAAGAATGATTTGCTGAACATCAGCTAAAATTAACTAACTTTATCAATAAAAAAAATTATGTGAAACGATTTGACCTTTAGGAACTTCAGCTGTAGTAAAAGCTTCAAATTATCTCTTTTCTACTCACTTAATGGCTCATCAATCTGTAAATCACGATCGAATTTGATTTTCTTAGGGACGACTTTGTCTGTCAACTCATCAAGAGTCTCAAAATAGAAATAAACTTTTTTATATTTCAGTAATTAATCGAAAACTTCAATGTCATTTACTTTAAATCCAAGTAAGTCAAGCATTGAAACCACATCCGTTTTTCGTGGGCCAATATGTCGAGTTGGAAATTCACTTTTATTTTGGAAAACTTCTTTAACTGTCGCCAAAGCTCGAATTGTTTGTCTATTCACATCATAAACATTTCGAGCTTTTCCTAATTGGAAAACCAATTGCCTTACAAAATTTCTTTGCATTTTCTTTATCCAGCGGTTATACACAGAAAATACTTGTGATTAAAGATTAAAAACACTTCTTAAATTGACAACTGATGAGACTGAAATGAGCAGAAAAATATTATTCTAAAAATAATTGTGAAAAGCTGCCGATGGCGATTCATCAACTCTCATTAATTGAGATTCTCAATTCTTATCATTATTAAGAATTCTATTTTATGGAATGTTTGATTGCTATAAAATGGCAACAGACTCTCAGATTGTTATTCAATTGATTTTTAATGAAACAATGAGCTTGAATACAATTCTCTAATCTTGAATCATCTTTCCCAGCAAGGTAAATTATCGGATTGAAATTTTCAAATTTTTAATCATTAAGGAACGAATTGCTTCTCACTGGGATGTTTAACACATTTTGTGGTGTCTTTAACTTGACTATTAAATGCAATACGCTTTTATTTCCATGCCTGATCATGATAAGTATCCGAATATGTAAAATCCATATCCTTTAAAGCAATATTAAACGAATAAGTTTGCTCAGCCAGCCTCAACTTTCATATCAATTTTGAAATTTTTTTGATCTCAAAAGTTTTTTTTATTATTTTTTTCTTTTCCTTTTCAATGTGCAATTTTGTTTATTCACTCGGGTTTTCCATTGAAGGTAACACATTATTGGACGATTGCGATAATATTCAAATTCCCGCGATTTCTTGTTAATTTTTTCGTTCACAAGATTTTTTATTCGATGATAAGCGCTTCGTCGAGAGAAATAAAAACTTTTCCGAGGAAATCGCGCAATCTTTTAACCGGATGGTTTTTAAGAGTTCATTTGCAACGAAACGGTTGTTGTGCAAGTTTAATTAATTCAAAAAAAATGGATAAGCGCCCACCTCTTGCAACCGTCTTATCAGTTTACTTCAAAATGAACTTATTTAATAAGGTAAATAAAAGCTCAGTTAGTATGAGAAAAATCGAAATAAAAGAGATGAAATAAAATCGAGATTAACTAGAAAATTGAAAGCAATCTTTTCAAGCAATCAATTTCCTAGAAACACGAGCATTGTCACAAAGAACTTCACCTTCTCCTCAATCGACACATTCAACGATCTTTTCTCATGTTTCAATCAATGACAACGATATTACTTCTCGTTTACTTTTGCAATTCACAATTAAATTGGTTGCCGGACGAATGAATGGAAACAGCTTAATAAAGAAATCAAAATGAAAATGGAATTGACTTGAAAGAGATGAAGATGGAGGAAAGCGAAGTGCATGAAGTTCAAATAAGAACAGAAATGACAATTGCATAAAACAACGTGTTACATGACAATCAATTAATTCGCCTGAAGCCTGCATACTCAAGAAATGTCATCAATTCAAAGTGACTTCTCGTGAAACGTCTGTTAACGGAAACCATATCAATAAAACATCTCTCATAGCCAATTGTGCAATAGCTCTTTCATGTCTTTGAATATACATAAACAGTAAATCCACAAGAAATTCAATTTCAATTTTGCATTAAAAACCTTTTTTATGGTCAATCTCGTGGCTCGTGAAAAAGTCTCATATTTTCGCCTACACGTTTTGTTTCCCCACAAACCATTTCGATGATTGACTTCTTGACAGAAGATAAATATTTTGTCATAATAAAAAGAAAAATATATTTTCAATGAGAAAAAAAGTTATGAAGGAAATATCACGTCAATCATTTCAAAATTTAACTGTCCCTTCGAGCAAATGATTGAGGATGTTATCAATGTCAACGCAGTGCTCTCATGTCGTTAAGAAATCATTTTATTTTCCTATCAAAATATTTTATCATGAAATATTCTGTTCGTTAAATTTTAAAATGAGATTGAGTGGGTGAAATTTAATATTTGTTTGTGAAAAGTAATTTTGGAGTTTTATCCATTTATGAAAGAATCAAAATGTCAAATTAAGATTTTGAAGAATTTATTATAATGAATTAAAAGTAAATATTGATTATTTTAACATTTTTCTTACTATGTATGTCGCTTGCCATCTGTGGGAATTAACTTTTGTTTTTTCAAAGCTATCAGAGAAGTCAAACATCCTCCGGAAATAGATTTTTATAATGAAACGTATAGAAAGCAACAGGCAAAGTTAATGATCCATTCTGTCTGACCTATTTGTTTAATGGGATTGCATATGTACATAATTATTTAACAATTTTTCATTAACTGAATTTTGGAACTAAATAAACTTTCTGACAACGAGAAAGTTCTTAAAGTCAAAAAATCATCATGACTTGTTAACAATCTTGTCAGGCTTCAAACCCATTTATCACCTCTTTCAACCTGACAAAGGCAAAAAAAAAGGTAATCCGGGACGTAAGAAGGGAAAAAATATATAAATTGTCTTGGGTGGGATTATGAAGCTCTAAAGTCCATCCATTTTACGAAAATCCATTTCCTTTCAATTACATCGCAATTCCTGAAGCTGTCAAAATTTTATCTAGGAAATTAAAAGCAACATCTTCATTCGGTCTCAAAAGGGAAAAACGAAAAACCCTTTTCCAGCTGCTGTTACTTCTGTAAGTTGCTGGTGATGGAGTATTGCATAAGCAAAAATGATACCTTTTGACAACAATGAATAGATTTTCTTCGCTTCTGGAATAAAAACATTTGAGGCACCTCAATTGATAAACCAACATTGAATTTATCGCATTTCTCAGTCGTTAAAATCATGAAGAATTACGTTTAGGGAGAAAAAAAAATTAAGTAAAAAATCCAACATTAATAATTCTTGTTTGCTTTCTTTTGGATTCTTTCGGCACATCATCAACACTCTTAATTCATAGCGCCGAAGATGAAGCAGGGGATGATAAATATCTTCGAGCGGATGTATCTTAACTTTGATGAATTGCTTATGAATATTGGAAATAAATAAAGACTGAATCTCTGATCGTTTTTCATCCAATTTTTTTAGTCTTTCCATTGCCTTATGCTCTTAGCGATGCGTTTAAAAGTTATGGGTGGAGATGAAGAATTATGAAAATTATCACTCGCTTCGGCACATTTTCATGATTTATTGGGAATTTTCTTAAATCAGCAAACATTACTTTGCTTTTTCCTCACGCTCTTCGATGATCAGAAGGAATGAAACATGGGAGCAGGAAACATTTGATAATTTTTCATTTCATCTGCTTGAGAAAAGATTAACTTAAGGAAATTGAATTTTCTCAAGGAGAAGAAGGAAAAATAAAAAAGTAGACATAAATTATTGAAAGGCACGATTATGAATTTTAATGTGATAAATGAAAGGCTGAAGTGATTAATTTCGACATAGAAAAAAAATATGTAATAAATTTTCAACGAGAACGCAAGAATTGTCGATTATCTGAAGTACGTAAAAAGTCAACCAGCATAGCGAATAAAATAAAATTGAAGACAGGAAACGAACAGAACAAGAACAAAGTTAACGAGTGATAACGTGGAGAAATTTAAATGCTGGCACTACCTGCAGAAAAAAATAAAAAATTACAAGTTATCGCGAAACCTAGAAATGTTCTCGTTGTCAAAAGTCGAGAAAAAATGGAGAGGAAAAAGATAAAAGCTAGCTACATACGTAGGTAGATATCTGACAAAATTTATGACATTAAATTTTCAAATATGAACAATGCACAACAAAAAATCTCTTGGGAAACTTAATCTGCAAGTAAGAGCAAAAATATATTTGTCATAAGCAACGACTCCCATGAAACATCTAGAATTATTTGCAGAATCATTTAAGATCGGTACATTTCAGGAAGCAACGAAAACACGTGTGCTACATGCACTTTTTATTTCGAAAACCCGAAGTAAAAATTCTCTCAGCATTTCTCTCTCACGAGATAACTTCGGATTTTCGAAAATGAGAGAATTCGGAAATGATGCCGGTGTAAATGAATGAACATGTGATGCAAGAATACATGGCCCGAAATGCTCAACGAACTTAATATTATCATCTCAATCAATGTGTAATATGATAATTAACTTTATTTTCATATCATATTCTATATCCACCCTTACATAATACAAGAACCTTAAAAAAATTAAAAGATTTAAAAGTCATATTGGATATTTATCATATTTTCATTTACCCTAGACTTTTGTTGATAAGTGTGCCAAGATAAGCAATAACGCTAACATTAGTCGAGTCTCGAATCAAGAACGAAAGGAAGAATGCTTAATGCTTATCGCAGAATTCCATTTCCTGAGGTTTTTATCACAAAACGGATAAAGCATGAATATCAACACAGAGAAAGAAAGAAATGCTTTCTTATCGCGACATTTAATCGCAAAAACTGTTTTTCCTTCTAACGACTATTATTGTGGTGGTTGCTTGGCGGTGGGTGAGTGCTTCTGATAAACATTTCTTTTGTTATACCAAACATTCCAATAGCTTGCATATTTCTAATTGCTGCTAAAGATAAACATTTTTTCAACCGAATGATGATATCAGGCAACACTAAAGTGACCTCGATACACCAACAGAAAAACGAATACGTCAAGATCGTGATAAAGAATTCTCAGTCTCGTTTTCATACAATCCGACGAAAAACGAATGAAAATGAAAGAAAAAAAACTTTGAGAATGGCAGATCTGCTGCCTCTGATTAGATTGTTGCGAGAGATAAGCAATTCGTAAAAAATACTTTTCAGACATGAAACCATTAGAATGTTTCTTCCCTTCACTTGCTGAATCAACGAACTGCGAATACACTTTTGAAGATTTTAGAATAACAACGTAAATGACACTTTCCGAGATAGAACAGGATTGGATATTTGAAACTGATACAATTGAATAGCTCGAGAAGCTCGAAAAATCAGTGGATTTCAATAGCGATAGAAATTGTAGACGATTCGCCTTTTAAATGAATTTTTCCCATTCAGCTTTCGATGATGATTCAATGAAGTGTCGAGCACAAACAGTGGAAATCGAAGTAGATGAGACTCAAAGCCACAAATTACACAAAGATTGAGCTTCGAGATTAAAGTGAAACAATAACTTCTGCCACTTCGATGCCATTCAACTAGTCGAGTGTCTTTTTGCAGAACTTCTATGATATCAGCATTTCGTTGTCGATGATTAGAGGCAAACGACGATGAGAGGAAAATTGAAAAGTTCCATTGAAATATAAACCTGATGGATGCACAATCTTTTGTCATTTCAATGGTGAGAGTTGTTTCAGCAAAATATGACATCGAAANGACAACGACAACGACGACGAGGGCATTCAATAATATGTATTGCGATAGCAGGAAAGAAATACAATTCATTCACATAAAGGAGTTGCTTTGGGGGGAGGCGACAAAGGGGTAAGTGATAAAGAATAATGTTCAAGTTTTTGGATCTTGGAATGACTGTGCTCGACATGATAAGAAGGAAAATCATCAGATTAAAACGAATACGACAACAGAGAAGAAAGACTTTCGTCGACGCCCCGGTTTGCAGTTAAACGAAATCATCCTCGAAATAGCCGCAATAAAAAATGCGATCATTCCACTGATTAAACATGTTTAATGTGAATCTACATAGGAAAGCGAATTTCTCTGTTATCTCGTCTGGTTTCCTTTCTTTTCTCTTCAAAATCGTCGACAGAAATAAAAGTCAAAAGCATTAGCAAAGCTCAACCAACCATCCGAATTATATCTGGAAGCTTTCTCACCCACTCTCTCTATTGCTTTCTGGAAGAGAAGCAGCAAACATCACCATCGGGAGTGTTGTGTTTGACTGCGATAAGAAAATGGAAATAAAACTTTTGCAATATAAGTAAAAATGTGTGTGAGTTTGAATTCATCTTCTCGCCCGCTCTCGACTCGAATAAATCAAAAATTATCTCACTTCGTTCACATACAACAGTTTCTTATGTTTCTGTTGTGTATAATATCATTTTCGATGCCGTTATCACGTCCTAAAGATCTTAATATGTGTAATTATATATTCATTTTCTCTTATTCAGCAGTTCCTTTTTTTGTTCTTTCGGCGGAGGGATTTTTGTTATCTTTCTTGATAGCACATTTTAATTTTTACTTTTTTCCCACTTCCATCTATACACCCCCACCCACCCACTACACATTCATTCTTCTCTGAACTTGCTCAAGATGATTCTCATGAAGAAGCAACAAGAATGAAATCGCGTTCACATCGTATTAATGGGTGAAGGAGAAGGAAAGATGAGTGGGTGGGTGTTTGTAAGGAGTTTGTTGTTTGTAACGATGAATGAAATAAGAGAAAAGAAAGGAAAAAAAACTTTCTCAAGTGTTTTAAAATTGCTCCGCAACTCTGCTTCTGATATCTTTCTCATTCTGAACGACTTAACAAATATCTCATAATAATAATCGCACTTTCAGAAATTTCAAATTTTCTCCCCCGCTACAAAAGCTGAAGCGAGAATGTGTTTCTAGTGATTACATTAATGTCGCTTTTATTCACGTCTAACATGTTTATTATCATATCGTTCGGTTGGAGAAAAACGCAGACGTGCTGTTATGGGATTTATAACAGTCACACTGTTCGAATCTACTGGAATGTATATTGCGAGCTGCGCTTCCACTTGTTTAAATTGTTTTATCAAGAAATTTGTTTTACTAGCAGTTCATAATCACAGCCCAATAATGTGTTCTGTTTTTATCTAATAATAAAGAAATTGACTTTAAATATGAGCTCATAATGGTGTCGTTCTCATTCTTTTCATACAATAGCTTTGTGTAAGTATCAAAGAGAATTTTAAGCGATTATGTAAATTAATTCTGCAAAATGATAAGTTTGAACATTTTTGATATATAGAACAATCTGAAGTACGTATATGGATGCACACATACACACACAAAGCCTATGGAAAAGTAAATTTCGTTACCATCGTTATCGGTTTTTTCATATCAACGTACGCATTTCAATCTTGATAACAAATGGAAGAACACGAAACGATTCAAAGGAACTGCTATTGTTAACTGATTCTTCGACTTGATGTTGTTTCGAAAGTATTTTTATTTCAGGTTTTATTTTTTGGTCATATCGTTTTAATCATTTGTTAGCCTTAGTGCATTGCGACTGTTGCATTCTCGATATTTAAAGAACGATCCAATGCAGTTGTGTGTTTAATGTTTTTTTATTTCATTTTGATACAATTTAGTGATATTAAGAGAAAATGAAGAGTTTAAGGTATCAAAGAGCAACGAAAAACTTACGTGATTTCTTCTGCAGAAGAAACTGTAATAATCCAAATTGTTTTGGATACATTTAACTTTCACCTCACAATTAAAAATCAAATAAAATGTTTATTTACTTTACAAAAACTTTTTCAATAAAGCACAACCAGAAATTGATAAAAACGACGACTGCTCTGTTCTGAGTCTAAACCGTAACTGATTTCAAAACTACGACAATTTTCTATTCTAGTTAAAAAAAACTGCATATCGGTTACTTGTTATCTGAATGTAAATATTGAAAGCATTTCATATATGTATTTTCAAAAAAAAGAAGTATCATAATTATCAATTTTGGTTTATAAACAAAATCAATTCGTAATGGAAACCAATTCATTGTAGACCTTAACTGTGAGATAACAAGTTGCAAGATAAGAGATATTTGTGATAACTATGTCGCTTATCGAGTAAACACATAACTTCTTTATCACGCCAATACATTGAGTTTAATTGAATATTGTGTACACTTTGATTAAGTTTTCTGTTAACTGATAAGAAAGACGAGCGGTGGCGATAACAGTGCTTTAGTCAATTTTATTTCGTCAAGCGGATGGTTGAAATTTGATAACAATTTAACGAGTTTTTATTATTTTTTCTAGATAAAGAGAAGAAACATTGAATGATATTACAGTTGGCACATTTTAAAAGAAAACAAAAAGCAACTTTGAAACGTGCGATAAGAGTTTATCGTCAGAAGTCAAAGTGTCAGGGACTTCATTGCAATAAAACTCCACCTTTTCCAATTTTAATCCCTATTTATTCGAATGATTTACATTCTATGCTTGATATTCAATCCAAACACCCACATATCCTATCTATCTCACTCTATTTCTCTCTCTCTCTCTCTTTCTCCTATCTTTTGTCGAGATAAGAAGTTAAACCAACATTAGTCGAGTCTCGAATCAAGAACGAAAGGAAGAATGCTTAATGCTTATCGCAGAATTCCATTTCCTGAGGTTTTTATCACAAAACGGATAAAGCATGAATATCAACACAGAGAAAGAAAGAAATGCTTTCTTATCGCGACATTTAATCGCAAAAACTGTTTTTCCTTCTAACGACTATTATTGTGGTGGTTGCTTGGCGGTGGGTGAGTGCTTCTGATAAACATTTCTTTTGTTATACCAAACATTCCAATAGCTTGCATATTTCTAATTGCTGCTAAAGATAAACATTTTTTCAACCGAATGATGATATCAGGCAACACTAAAGTGACCTCGATACACCAACAGAAAAACGAATACGTCAAGATCGTGATAAAGAATTCTCAGTCTCGTTTTCATACAATCCGACGAAAAACGAATGAAAATGAAAGAAAAAAAACTTTGAGAATGGCAGATCTGCTGCCTCTGATTAGATTGTTGCGAGAGATAAGCAATTCGTAAAAAATACTTTTCAGACATGAAACCATTAGAATGTTTCTTCCCTTCACTTGCTGAATCAACGAACTGCGAATACAGTTTTGAAGATTTTAGAATAACAACGTAAATGACACTTTCCGAGATAGAACAGGATTGGATATTTGAAACTGATACAATTGAATAGCTCGAGAAGCTCGAAAAATCAGTGGATTTCAATAGCGATAGAAATTGTAGACGATTCGCCTTTTAAATGAATTTTACTCATTCAGCTTTCGATGATGATTCAATGAAGTGTCGAGCACAAACAGTGGAAATCGAAGTAGATGAGACTCAAAGCCACAAATTACACAAAGATTGAGCTTCGAGATTAAAGTGAAACAATAACTTCTGCCACTTCGATGCCATTCAACTAGTCGAGTGTCTTTTTGCAGAACTTCTATGATATCAGCATTTCGTTGTCGATGATTAGAGGCAAATGACGATGAGAGAAAAATTGAAAAGTTCCATTGAAATATAAACCTGATGGATGCACAATCTTTTGTCATTTCAATGGTGAGATTTGTTTTAGCAAAATATGACACCGAAAATGCTTATGAACAAGTCAGTGGATGTTAAATGGAAATGATCAGTGCGTATGTCGATTACGAGACAAACAAAGTTTTGACTGATCGACAAAGAAATTCATCAGATTCCGATTGTTCAGAATTTTCCATAAAGTTCAATGTTTGAATTCTCATGCAACGATATCGACAAGATGAGTTTTATAGTCTGGAAGCGAGAAAAATATAAATTTAATGTGACTGGCAAACATTGAAGTCGCTTCTGGCAGATAACGAAGGAGAAAAGAGTTTTTCCTTTTCATTTCTCATTTTGCATTTTGTGCAATGTAGTGGATAGATAAGAATGTTTCGATTTTCTTTTTTCTTTCTCTTTTTCTTACTTTTTATCCATTTAACAAGACATGCACAGAATTTTACTGCTTTCTTTCCTTTTCTCACTCTCTCAGAAAGTCGTATGCAAAATGCGATTGTGCTTCGTCTTATCACAACTCAAGTTTACATTTTTCGAATATATTTTATTTCATTGGGAAAAGCGTGAAAGAATGAGAGAGATTGAAAAAGCATTTTCAATTTATCATCCAACTATAGTGTAAATATATTTAAGGTAATCTTTCTATGCAATTCACTTTGCTGCAGTTTATCAAGTAAACATGCCATTAAACTAGTTGAGTATATTATTTCGATGATATCAGTGCAGAATCTTTAGTGAAGTCGAATGCTGATTGGTTTAAGAGTAGGGTACGTATTTATTCGTGTTTTTCAGGGTAACGAATATTCGCCGAATATTTTTTTAACTCTTTTAATATTCGCCGAATAGCGANAGTCTCGAATCAAGAACGAAAGGAAGAATGCTTAATGCTTATCGCAGAATTCCATTTCCTGAGGTTTTTATCACAGAACGGATAAAGCATGAATATCAACACAGAGAAAGAAAGAAATGCTTTCTTATCGCGACATTTAATCGCAAAAACTGTTTTTCCTTCTAACGACTATTATTGTGGTGGTTGCTTGGTGGTGGGTGAGTGCTTCTGATAAACATTTCTTTTGTTATACCAAACATTCCAATAGCTTGCATATTTCTAATTGCTGCTAAAGATAAACATTTTTTCAACCGAATGATGATATCAGGCAACACTAAAGTGACCTCGATACACCAACAGAAAAACGAATACGTCAAGATCGTGATAAAGAATTCTCAGTCTCGTTTTCATACAATCCGACGAAAAACGAATGAAAATGAAAGAAAAAAAAAACTTTGAGAATGGCAGATCTGCTGCCTCTGATTAGATTGTTGCGAGAGATAAGCAATTCGTAAAAAATACTTTTCAGACATGAAACCATTAGAATGTTTCTTCCCTTCACTTGCTGAATCAACGAACTGCGAATACACTTTTGAAGATTTTAGAATAACAACGTAAATGACACTTTCCGAGATAGAACAGGATTGGATATTTGAAACTGATACAATTGAATAGCTCGAGAAGCTCGAAAAATCAGTGGATTTCAATAGCGATAGAAATTGTAGACGATTCGCCTTTTAAATGAATTTTTCCCATTCAGCTTTCGATGATGATTCAATGAAGTGTCGAGCACAAACAGTGGAAATCGAAGTAGATGAGACTCAAAGCCACAAATTACACAAAGATTGAGCTTCGAGATTAAAGTGAAACAATAACTTCTGCCACTTCGATGCCATTCAACTAGTCGAGTGTCTTTTTGCTGAACTTCTATGATATCAGTATTTCGTTGTCGATGATTAGAGGCAAACGACGATGAGAGGAAAATTGAAAAGTTCCATTGAAATATAAACCTGATGGATGCACAATCTTTTGTCATTTCATTGGAGAGAGTTGTTTTAGTAAAAATTATAACAAAAATTCTTATGAATGTTCCAATCCGTGTTTAATGGAAATGATCAGTGCGTATGTAGAATGCGAGACAAACAAAGTTTTGACTGATCGACAAAGAAATTCATCAGATTTCGATTGTTCAGAATTTTCCATAAAGTTCAATGTTTGAATTCTCATGCAACGATATCGACAAGATGAGTTTTATAGTCTGGAAGCGAGAAAAATATAAATTTAATGTGACTGGCAAACATTGAAGTCGCTTCTGGCAGATAACGAAGGAGAAAAGAGTTTTTCCTTTTCATTTCTCATTTTGCATTTTGTGCAATGTAGTGGATAGATAAGAATGTTTCGATTTTCTTTTTTCTTTCTCTTTTTCTTACTTTTTATCCATTTAACAAGACATGCACAGAATTTTACTGCTTTCTTTCCTTTTCTCACTCTCTCAGAAAGTCGTATGCAAAATGCGATTGTGCTTCGTCTTATCACAACTCAAGTTTACATTTTTCGAATATATTTTATTTCATTTGGAAAACGACAAGCATTGAAAAAGCATTTCCAAGCTTATCAGTGCTTCTTAGCTGAAAAGAAAAATAAATGCAGCATCGTATTTGACTTTATTTGGTTACGTCTTCAGTTTGATGTTCGATATGAAAAGTATTGGTATGAGCCATTATGAAAATTTATAGTAAATTCTTGCGCATTCAAGTGTAAGTTATGTGCAGAGAAAACTGATTAAAAACTTCGGAATATAAAAATTATTCAATCGTGTGAGAGCGCAATTTAAAAGAACGCATCATTTATCTCCGATATCACCATTAAAGCGACGCTGATTGGTGTAAATCATGTGAGAGAAAAAAGTCTCTACTACAGTTAATTCAATCCAAGTTAAAGTTCCGCCTCATTTCTGCGAAACCAGTTTTACTGCACTTTTTAACTCTTCAATTAAATCTCTTCTTGCATGAAACAAACGATTCTCAGAGTCGTCTAAGAAATCTTAAAATTTAAGCTCAACAAATTTATCGCTTTTTATTGATCTTGCTTTGGAAAGCTTCGTTTTCTACATCCAGATAAGTGTTATAAGATAACTCAAATAATATGTTTCTCGCTCTGTTGGCATTTTATCCCAAACTTTTGTTTCAAAATCAAAGTTTCATTTTGGATTTAAGACAAAAGTTCGCCAACTCAACTCGGGATTTTAAAAGCAGAAAATGGAAGAACTTTTGAAGGCAAAATTCTAGATCGAAACATCGTGATAGCCTTTCAGTTTTGGAATATCGAACAAAAACAAAAAAACACATTCTCGTATTAAAGTTGATGCTGATAAGAATGAAATATTTATTCTGATTCCAGTATTGTTTCGAGAAACAATGCAACTTTCCATCTGATAACGTTTCAAATGTTACGTGTACGATGTGAAGCATTCTCTTCTAAAAAAACTTTTATGCAATCATGAGTTTTGTGCATTTCATAAGTTTTCTGTTTGTTTTCTTCTTGCTGCACTTTTTGAGTGAGTTAATAACTTTTTTTTAGTTGTTACCTGTTCTATCCTATGAAGACAAGTTTTCTTATCGTAAGAGTTAAAAGTTGTAACAAATAATTATGAGAATATTTAACTTAGAGGATAAAATCGTCAGATTTTATGTTTATCCTTATCCTTTGTACATGTAGGCACCATAAACATTGTAAAATAACAATTTAAAAATGCAACATAAAAGCTAAACTTTTTAGATAAATCAAGATATGACACTCAATGGGAGTTAAAAATGAAAATGTTTTTCAATTAATTTCTACCTCACATTATTAATACTTTTATGATTTCAAAAATAAGATATTTTTATGATTGTTTATTAAGATACCACCGCATATTTTCAATTTTCATTCAATTGACATGTTGAAAGTTTCAAAATCAAAAAATTGTCAAGACGCTTGAACAAATCTGGCCTTGGAAAAATAAAAATCAAACCAACATGTGAAATCCTTCACAATTCATCTATTTATTTCAATCAATCTACATATAAAAGACATGAAAAAATGTTGATTAACAAATACATACAACGAACAATATCAAAGTTGTTCGTGCAAGAAAAGCGTCAAACATCACATGTCCCAAAAACTGAGTTAATTATTCATCGAGAGATTTTAATCTCGACACCATTTGTGGGCACGTTTTGAGATAAACTCATGGGCGATAGTGTTTTTTTATTTACTCTATTACATCTGAATGCGGAATACTTTTATTAGCTTCTCGCAACTCTAAACATTGTATCACGGTTTCATTTTAATACCTTAGAATATAATATCGCGATCACAATGCTAAGATTTTCATAATTTGATATTCAACATTATAAACAGAAGCGTTTGTGTAACAGCCAATTAATTCCCAAATAACTTTTAGCCTTCTATTTAAAGTTTTTTAGCAAAATGTTAGAGTGGAATACGATAACAATCTTTGAATATCATTTGTGGTTATTAAATATATACAGAAATAAAAGAATCTAAAAATATAAAATAAAAATTGGGTCTAAGATTTAATCTTTCGATTAGGATTAAGTTAATTTAAGGATGCTATGAAATATTTGCATTAAAATTTCAAGTTATAAATATTATTGAGATATTTTAATTTTGATTTGAAATATTTTCAGCTCTGCTAATATTTTTAAAATACGTACATTGATGTAAAAGTTTTCATAGCTTTGTTGTTGTTTTTATTTGTGTCTATGAAACTTGTAAAACTCACTTGGGTTGGTCAGATTTTTATTTGATTGCCATTAAGATGTTGAAGCAATAATTCACAACACTTGAAAGCAAATTTGCTTCGAGAGTCAAAGTTCACGGACTATAAGAATGTGTCGATATCTTGACTTGTTCATCTTAATGTGGTTCTTGTTTTCACCATAATTTATAGAAGTTTGCCAATAATGAAAGACATCAAAATAGCATGTAGATATCAATTTAACAATCGCATAAATTTTTTTTTGTTTCGTTTTCATTCTCTCATCTTAACAGTGCCAAAAGTGTTGCAATTTCTGCAGGCAACGAAAAACATTTTTGAACTGGTGTGAAATCTCATATTTGATGCCATAAATTTCCTTCTAGTTGTGCAAAGTGCAATATAATACAAAAAAAAAAATAAGTTTTCTCGTTTGCTTTTTGTTGCTGTTTATGAGAAATCAAGAAAGAGCGATAAAAATGTAAAAAATTGTTAATTCAGAAACAGCCCATAATAAAATACAATAAGGGCTAACATGAAACCAATAAAACGGCTTGTTATCGCGATTGAAACAATCATATTTTTGATCCATGAAAGTGTGAAATCAAATTGAAGAACATGGCGAAGCACGAGGAAGAAAACTAACTCCTTAGTGAGTGAAACAAGTTCAAACGGAATAATAAAAAAGCAAACTTTAATTATCAACGATCAGTAACGTGATGCAGGAATTTACCATTTGTGCAAAACGAGAAGAGAAATGAGGATAAATTTTCAGTTTTACATTCATATGAAGCAAAAAAGAATCAAAGTAAGAGAATATATTATGAGTGGTATTGATTTTTAACTTGAAAAACGAGATGTGAAAGCCATGTGGCGCAAAAATCAATTGATTTATCATACAGTTAATAAAAACGAAATCATTACAAGAGAGAAGAGGGCGAAACCGATGAAATCATTTTATTTTTAGAATAAATTGAAAGAAACGATAAAATTACGAAATTTAAGAAAACCTTGAACACAACATAAGCTTATGAGAATGAATAAATAATTTCCTGCACTACTCTCCAAAGTCCTTTTTTCCTTATCATCTTTTTATGCTTATCGGACATTTTCATTTATTATTTGAACGGAAAATGAATGTTCCCTCAACTAAATATTTTCTTCATCGCGCCCATTATTGAATGAGATAAGAAAATGATATCAGTTGTGCCTGATACATCCCACATTTCATTAAACATCTCCCCCGAACCATCAACATTACACACACAAGCATTGTTATTCTCAGTAAACTCGCGTCAGAGATAGTGCTGAATAATGAATAAAATTCCGTATCGTTGCGCTTATCTTGATCCAAACGAACGAAAAAGCTAAAATGTCTGTGAAGCGATAGCAGCAACATTTCCATCGCTTGATTGATTGTCGAATATTTGTATTAAAAGATTTTTTGTGATAGATAAGAAATTTTGTGTGTTGGCTGGATGGATGACAAGCTATCTGCATGTCAGTCTCCGTGTTTGGATGGTGAATGCATGTCTGTTATCTTCTGAATTTTCCTACATATTTGGCGGGAAAAGTTTTCCTTTTGTGATAAATGTGAAAAATCGAAAATGGTTGAAACTGATATCGAAACGGAAAAATCATTGACATTGCTTATTTTATCCAGCTAACCAACATTGCTTTGTTGCAAACAGACGAACATATATCCCCATAAATATTCATTTATCAACGATGATATCAGGATCAATGGCACAAGTTGAAATCGGAAGAGAGAAGAAAAATATTTTTAATCTATGAGAATGGAAATTTGGCTCATAGATGGAAATGCTGCTTAATGGAGAATGTCCATGAGTACCGAGATAAGATCATTTACTGCTTATGCCTCGATGGTGTGCGCTCGTTTGCTGGTATTTCTCCTTCCTACTTATCTCCAGCTTTGATCTCTCTCGCTTATACAATTTTTGTTGCTTATCTAACATTTTTATCGAAAACGAAAATAAATGAGAATTTTTCATTTCGAGTGAGATTGAAACGGCCGAGATAAGTTTGCGATTCTGAGTATTTTTCAACGCTTATCTCTACATTGAGATCACTCGAATAAAAATTGTATTTCAGATCGTTGATGGAAAGATTAGTCAATGTTGAGATCCATCTTTGTTCTGTTTTATTCGGTTTGGATCAGTTCGGTTGTGTGTCGTGTTGAGTTGAATTTGAGTGGATATAAAGAACGAACGAAGAAACAACGAAAGGTCAAACTTTTATGTATTCATTCTCAAGCTGTCTCGAAGTCAACGAAATGCGATGTTGCCAATTTTCGCTTCTTCAAAATATCCTCGCTTCGAGATTTATTTCCGACTTTAAGACTGAATGCTTATCTTACAAATTGCACTCAACTTAATCTCTACAGCAAAAATTATTATCTGACTTCAATATATTACAATACGAGTTGTCTGGTTTTCGGTTGATATCCAAACAAACAAGCAAACGAACGAACGAATGAACGTACAAATAAACGGGCAGCAGTAACAAGCCAAACCAAGGAACAAAACAGAGTGAACAGCGACAGAGTAAATAAATAATAAATTTATCGTGAACATTGTGAATTCATTCATTGTTGTAATGGACCCCGCCAGAAATATCAGTCAGAGATATTTATATTTTTATTTATTTATTGGTCATTCACAGCTTAATACTAAAAAATGTTTTACGAAATATCAACGACAGGGATTGCAATTGAAATCATTCCGATGCTGATGTCGAGTGAATCATCTTAAACGTTTCTATCTCCCCTGAGCGCTTTATTNGTCGAATGCTGATTGGTTTAAGAGTTAATGTTACAACAATTTTTTCTCGTTAAACAAGAAAGATTGGTTACGCCTTTTTCATGATCAAACCTGTTTTCTCTGCTAAAAATATTTAGTAAAATATTATTTCAGAAGTCTTTAAAACATTTTGGTTATTATTCTACAACATAACAGAGGAAACATATCGTACACGCAACATAAGCTTATGAGAATGAATAAATAATTTCCTGCACTACTCTCCAAAGTCCTTTTTTTTCTTATCATCTTTCCATGCTTATCGGACATTTTCATTTATTATTTGAACGGAAAATGAATGTTCCCTCAAATAAATATTTTCTTCATCGCGCCCATTATTGAATGAGATAAGAAAATGATATCAGTTGTGCCTGATACATCCCACATTTCATTAAACATCTCCCCCGAACCATCAACATTACACACACAAGCATTGTTATTCTCAGTAAACTCGCGTCAGAGATAGTGCTGAATAATGAATAAAATTCCGTATCGTTGCGCTTATCTTGATCCAAACGAACGAAAAAGCGAAAATGTCTGTGAAGCGATAGCAGCAACATTTCCATCGCTTGATTGATTGTCGAATATTTGTATTAAAAGATTTTTTGTGATAGATAAGAAATTTTGTGTGTTGGCTGGATGGATGACAAGCTATCTGCATGTCAGTCTCCGTGTTTGGATGGTGAATGCATGTCTGTTATCTTCTGAATTTTCCTACATATTTGGCGGGAAAAGTTTTCCTTTTGTGATAAATGTGAAAAATCGAAAATGGTTGAAACTGATATCGAAACGGAAAAATCATTGACATTGCTTATTTTATCCAGCTAACCAACATTGCTTTGTTGCAAACAGACGAACATATATCCCCATAAATATTCATTTATCAACGATGATATCAGGATCAATGGCACAAGTTGAAATCGGAAGAGAGAAGAAAAATATTTTTAATCTATGAGAATGGAAATTTGGCTCATAGATGGAAATGCTGCTTAATGGAGAATGTCCATGAGTACCGAGATAAGATCATTTACTGCTTATGCCTCGATGGTGTGCGCTCGTTTGCTGGTATTTCTCCTTCCTACTTATCTCCAGCTTTGATCTCTCTCGCTTATACAATTTTTGTTGCTTATCTAACATTTTTATCGAAAACGAAAATAAATGAGAATTTTTCATTTCGAGTGAGATTGAAACGGCCGAGATAAGTTTGCNATTGGGTCTAAGATTTAATCTTTCGATTAGGATTAAGTTAATTTAAGGATGCTATGAAATATTTGCATTAAAATTTCAAGTTATAAATATTATTGAGATATTTTAATTTTGATTTGAAATATTTTCAGCTCTGCTAATATTTTTAAAATACGTACATTGATGTAAAAGTTTTCATAGCTTTGTTGTTGTTTTTATTTGTGTCTATGAAACTTGTAAAACTCACTTGGGTTGGTCAGATTTTTATTTGATTGCCATTAAGATGTTGAAGCAATAATTCACAACACTTGAAAGCAAATTTGCTTCGAGAGTCAAAGTTCACGGACTATAAGAATGTGTCGATATCTTGACTTGTTCATCTTAATGTGGTTCTTGTTTTCACCATAATTTATAGAAGTTTGCCAATAATGAAAGACATCAAAATAGCATGTAGATATCAATTTAACAATCGCATAAATATTTTTTTTTGTTTCGTTTTCATTCTTTCATCTCAACAGTGCCAAAAGTGTTGCAATTTCTGCAGGCAACGAAAAACATTTTTGAACTGGTGTGAAATCTCATATTTGATGCCATAAATTTCCTTCTAGTTGTGCAAAGTGCAATATAATACAAAAAAAAAATAAGTTTTCTCGTTTGCTTTTTGTTGCTGTTTATGAGAAATCAAGAAAGAGCGATAAAAATGTAAAAAATTGTTAATTCAGAAACAGCCCATAATAAAATACAATAAGGGCTAACATGAAACCAATAAAACGGCTTGTTATCGCGATTGAAACAATCATATTTTTGATCCATGAAAGTGTGAAATCAAATTGAAGAACATGGCGAAGCACGAGGAAGAAAACTAACTCCTTAGTGAGTGAAACAAGTTCAAACGGAATAATAAAAAAGCAAACTTTAATTATCAACGATCAGTAACGTGATGCAGGAATTTACCATTTGTGCAAAACGAGAAGAGAAATGAGGATAAATTTTCAGTTTTACATTCATATGAAGCAAAAAAGAATCAAAGTAAGAGAATATATTATGAGTGGTATTGATTTTTAACTTGAAAAACGAGATGTGAAAGCCATGTGGCGCAAAAATCAATTGATTTATCATACAGTTAATAAAAACGAAATCATTACAAGAGAGAAGAGGGCGAAACCGATGAAATCATTTTATTTTTAGAATAAATTGAAAGAAACGATAAAATTACGAAATTTAAGAAAACCTTGAACACAACATAAGCTTATGAGAATGAATAAATAATTTCCTGCACTACTCTCCAAAGTCCTTTTTTCCTTATCATCTTTTTATGCTTATCGGACATTTTCATTTATTATTTGAACGGAAAATGAATGTTCCCTCAAATAAATATTTTCTTCATCGCGCCCATTATTGAATGAGATAAGAAAATGATATCAGTTGTGCCTGATACATCCCACATTTCATTAAACATCTCCCCCGAACCATCAACATTACACACACAAGCATTGTTATTCTCAGTAAACTCGCGTCAGAGATAGTGCTGAATAATGAATAAAATTCCGTATCGTTGCGCTTATCTTGATCCAAACGAACGAAAAAGCGAAAATGTCTGTGAAGCGATAGCAGCAACATTTCCATCGCTTGATTGATTGTCGAATATTTGTATTAAAAGATTTTTTGTGATAGATAAGAAATTTTGTGTGTTGGCTGGATGGATGACAAGCTATCTGCATGTCAGTCTCCGTGTTTGGATGGTGAATGCATGTCTGTTATCTTCTGAATTTTCCTACATATTTGGCGGGAAAAGTTTTCCTTTTGTGATAAATGTGAAAAATCGAAAATGGTTGAAACTGATATCGAAACGGAAAAATCATTGACATTGCTTATTTTATCCAGCTAACCAACATTGCTTTGTTGCAAACAGACGAACATATATCCCCATAAATATTCATTTATCAACGATGATATCAGGATCAATGGCACAAGTTGAAATCGGAAGAGAGAAGAAAAATATTTTTAATCTATGAGAATGGAAATTTGGCTCATAGATGGAAATGCTGCTTAATGGAGAATGTCCATGAGTACCGAGATAAGATCATTTACTGCTTATGCCTCGATGGTGTGCGCTCGTTTGCTGGTATTTCTCCTTCCTACTTATCTCCAGCTTTGATCTCTCTCGCTTATACAATTTTTGTTGCTTATCTAACATTTTTATCGAAAACGAAAATAAATGAGAATTTTTCATTTCGAGTGAGATTGAAACGGCCGAGATAAGTTTGCGATTCTGAGTATTTTTCAACGCTTATCTCTACATTGAGATCACTCGAATAAAAATTGTATTTCAGATCGTTGATGGAAAGATTAGTCAATGTTGAGATCCATCTTTGTTCTGTTTTATTCGGTTTGGATCAGTTCGGTTGTATGTCGTGTTGAGTTGAATTTGAGTGGATATAAAGAACGAACGAAGAAACAACGAAAGGACAAACTTTTATGTATTCATTCTCAAGCTGTTTCGAAGTCAACGAAATGCGATGTTGCCAATTTTCGCTTCTTCAAAATATCCTCGCTTCGAGATTTATTTCCGACTTTAAGACTGAATGCTTATCTTACAAATTGCACTCAACTTAATCTCTACAGCAAAAATTATTATCTGACTTCAATATATTACAATACGAGTTGTCTGGTTTTCGGTTGATATCCAAACAAACAAGCAAACGAACGAACGAATGAACGTACAAATAAACGGGCAGCAGTAACAAACCAAACCAAAGAACAAAACAGAGTGAACAGCGACAGAGTAAATAAATAATAAATTTATCGTGAACATTGTGAATTCATTCATTGTTGTAATGGACCCCGCCAGAAATATCAGTCAGAGATATTTATATTTTTATTTATTTATTGGTCATTCACAGCTTAATACTAAAAAATGTTTTACGAAATATCAACGACAGGGATTGCAATTGAAATCATTCCGATGCTGATGTCGAGTGAATCATCTTAAACGTTTCTATCTCCCCTGAGCGCTTTATTTTCGTTATCTGTTTCTTGCCAGTCTTACAGTCTCTATTTCCATTACCGATTGAAAGATATTGAAGCCAGCCAACACATACGCGTTGTTGTTTTTTAGTGGATTAAAAGTTTGATAACTTTTCAGATATTTATTTTTATTTAACTTAAAAGCCTTTAGTGCATCAATTGAACATTCTCTTCTGTTGTTTATTTCTTTCAAATTCTTAATCTTGAACTTTAGATAAGATTTTCCTTTCCCGAAATAAGCGAAGGCTGAAATATATTTAAAGAAAAAGCCAAAATCGTTTCTGGCTTTGGGAAAGAAGGAAAGAAAGAAAAAAAAATTGTTTCTTATCAATTCCATTAAGACGAGAACGATATCTGTTTCTTAAGTCCAACAGCCCATCAAGACTGATTTTATATCTTAATTGAAGTCGGCTTTCAACTTTTATTTCGACGATTTCGGGAAGGAACGAAATTTGAACGCAATCTAAATGAACACAAACGAAAATCCATTTCAAGATCCGCTTCATTCAGTTATGGATTTTGAGTTTTATTTTGAAATGATAATATTTGGTTGCCTTCATAGATAGATAAGCGCTTTTTTCTCTGTTGCTCAATGCTGTTTAACGCTTGAAGTTGTTTCAAAATTTACATTTTCGAGATTAAAAATCAATTAGCTTAGCGGTCGATGATGTCGAATAGAGATTGAGGATTGCGTTGAAAGCACTTTTGACTCATAAACAGAGCGGTGACAAATCACTCTGGAATTTCTTCAAGTTGAGAACTTTCTCAACTCTATCATCATCTTACCATCACTCGTTAAAGCGATGTTCGGTGAGGTCCAAACTTCACAAACTTATCAAATGTTGATTAATCAACTCAATTTCGAGATTAATGTTTCTGGTTCATCTCACATTGACATGCTTGAGTTTTTCGATTTGATTATCAGTCACCAACATTTCACGTGAATCTGTTGTGATCAAGGAACAGTGAGCGATGGTCAATCAATTACATATATTTAAAAAAAGAAATGATTTGGTGTTTATTGAGGGCATTCAGAGGCTGATTATGTTTGTTGTTATCACACTCGCTCTTCTTCATTCCACTTGAACAGAGTGAACAAGATTTTGTGAATTCCTTTCTCTGTTTATTTAATAAAATTAAATGGAATCCAGATCGTGTCGGAAATCAATGACAAAATTGAGAAACTCGATAAATGATCTCTCAGCGATCGTGTTTTGAATTAACGAAACTAAAAACTTTAAATGTGTGACATTTTGTGCTTTCAACTTATTTCGTTGCTTCGCTGCATGTTGATTGGAAATGATTGATTGTCTTTCAATTTCTTCTACCACATTTGATGAATAATAAATAATAACTTGTTGTCTCCAGTCGAAACTCTCTCAACCTCGAACGAGCGAAACTTTATCACAAATCTTAAATCAAAAGTTGAAGGAAGAAAAAGACGTTTTGAACACCATCGCTGTTGTTTCTTTCGTGTTAACTGATTCAAATATTTATGAGCAATCCCTGTCTTATAGGCTCATTACGAGTCTCTGCCACACATCGTAATATCAAGTGTGAATAAGTAAAAACTACAAAATGATGATTCAAAGTGACGATTATGAATCAACTCGACTGTTTCTGTTGCTGTTTCTTTTCCTCTAATAATTAACATAAACAGACGTAAAATCATACAACAAAAGCGTTTTAAATCGAGATCTTAATCTGGTGCTTAATATTTTTATGAACAAACACTAAAAGTTTTTTTTCTTTTTCGTTTTTCATCGACATGCTCGATTCTTCTGCAGAGATCGTAGAGAACGAGTTCATGACGTCAGCAGACGCCGCTTATCAACGTTCAGATCTTTTATCTCATTTCTACATGGATGGAGTTAATGGAATCACTCTGAATTATCTTAACTGCGTTTCCTTTCCTTTCTATCGCTTATCGCTCGAGTTTCTTCTTTCTCAACTTTCAAAAAGGGATTCACATTGAATTCCAACTCCGACCGAAATTCTTCACTCTCCTGTTTTCAGCTTTCTTATCGCAATTTTGAAATCTAAATCGAATTCCCCATCATTCCTTCTCGGCGAGCCATCAACAGACTTCAGACACGATTATTCATTAAAATCCCTCTGAATATAAATTTTTCTTTCACCTACTTTGGATGATGAAAAGAAGAAAAATGAAACACAAAATCGATGAAGAAACGATAAATCGCATGAAGATATTTTCTTATCTCAAACAGCATAACTTGATTCATCGAAGAATTTTTATTTTATTTTATGATGATCTACAACAACTCTCCTCATCTGCCTTTACCTCCTTTAATTCAATCTCTTTCTCTCTCACTCTATTTCTCATTCACTCACTCATCCAACTTTACTCGTCTACAGTTTCATCGTCTTTTAATGATGTATTTGATAATTAAAACTGATAACGAAAATTTTACGAGTTGTCAAGAAAATGTTTCAGTGAAGAGTTTGATGTTCTTTTGATTCCTGTTCTTTTAATTTTGAAACAAATATTTGAAAGGCGTTTCATACGTTTTAGGAATTAATCCTCGACAAACTTCCGACACAAGAATTGCTACTTATGAAATAAAAGGAGAATACATAATCGGAGAGAATTTCGGCGAACGCGAGAAAATGAATATATAATTACACATATTAAGATCTTTAGGACGTGATAACGGCATCGAAAATGATATTATACACAACAGAAACATAAGAAACTGTTGTATGTGAACGAAGTGAGATAAATTTTGATTTATTCGAGTCGAGAGCGGGCGAGAAGATGAATTCAAACTCACACACATTTTTACTTATATTGCAAAAGTTTTATTTCCATTTTCTTATCGCAGTCAAACACAACACTCCCGATGGTGATGTTTGCTGCTTCTCTTCCAGAAAGCAATAGAGAGAGTGGGTGAGAAAGCTTCCAGATATAATTCGGATGGTTGGTTGAGCTTTGCTAATGCTTTTGACTTTTATTTCTGTCGACGATTTTGAAGAGAAAAGTAAGGAAACTCAGACGAGATAACAGAGAAATTNGCGATGGTCAATCAATTACATATATTTAAAAAAAGAAATGATTTGGTGTTTATTGAGGGCATTCAGAGGCTGATTATGTTTGTTGTTATCACACTCGCTCTTCTTCATTCCACTTGAACAGAGTGAACAAGATTTTGTGAATTCCTTTCTCTGTTTATTTAATAAAATTAAATGGAATCCAGATCGTGTCGGAAATCAATGACAAAATTGAGAAACTCGATAAATGATCTCTCAGCGATCGTGTTTTGAATTAACGAAACTAAAAACTTTAAATGTGTGACATTTTGTGCTTTCAACTTATTTCGTTGCTTCGCTGCATGTTGATTGGAAATGATTGATTGTCTTTCAATTTCTTCTACCACATTTGATGAATAATAAATAATAACTTGTTGTCTCCAGTCGAAACTCTCTCAACCTCGAACGAGCGAAACTTTATCACAAATCTTAAATCAAAAGTTGAAGGAAGAAAAAGACGTTTTGAACACCATCGCTGTTGTTTCTTTCGTGTTAACTGATTCAAATATTTATGAGCAATCCCTGTCTTATAGGCTCATTACGAGTCTCTGCCACACATCGTAATATCAAGTGTGAATAAGTAAAAACTACAAAATGATGATTCAAAGTGACGATTATGAATCAACTCGACTGTTTCTGTTGCTGTTTCTTTTCCTCTAATAATTAACATAAACAGACGTAAAATCATACAACAAAAGCGTTTTAAATCGAGATCTTAATCTGGTGCTTAATATTTTTATGAACAAACACTAAAAGTTTTTTTTCTTTTTCGTTTTTCATCGACATGCTCGATTCTTCTGCAGAGATCGTAGAGAACGAGTTCATGACGTCAGCAGACGCCGCTTATCAACGTTCAGATCTTTTATCTCATTTCTACATGGATGGAGTTAATGGAATCACTCTGAATTATCTTAACTGCGTTTCCTTTCCTTTCTATCGCTTATCGCTCGAGTTTCTTCTTTCTCAACTTTCAAAAAGGGATTCACATTGAATTCCAACTCCGACCGAAATTCTTCACTCTCCTGTTTTCAGCTTTCTTATCGCAATTTTGGAATCTAAATCGAATTACCCATCATTCCTTCTCGGCGAGCCATCAACAGACTTCAGACACGATTATTCATTAAAATCCCTCTGAATATAAATTTTTCTTTCACCTACTTTGGATGATGAAAAGAAGAAAAATGAAACACAAAATCGATGAAGAAACGATAAATCGCATGAAGATATTTTCTTATCTCAAACAGCATAACTTGATTCATCGAAGAATTTTTATTTTATTTTATGTTGATCTACAACAACTCTCATCATCTGCCTTTACCTCCTTTAATTCAATCCCTTTCTCTCTCACTCTATTTCTCATTCACTCACTCATCCAACTTTACTCGTCTACAGTTTCATCGTCTTTTAATGATGTATTTGATAATTAAAACTGATAACGAAAATTTTATGAACATTTCCAACCAGTGATAAAATGATACTGATAAGAGAAAATAAATTTATGTGCCAGTATTTTCTGAACCGGCGATATCAGATTGATGGCATCAGCATTTGCGATAAGAAATGTCGTTCGCTCGTTACAAACATTTACTGTCGATATGAATGAAAAGGCAAACGACAGCAACTTACTTAAGTTACAAAATCTATGAAAAACGCCGCTCACTTCAATTGTTTATCTACATTAGGAACTTCATGTCTGTTGTTGACAACTTGAAATGAAACACAAGTGACAAATATCGGGAATAATGATTCTAGTGATTTGCAATAAATTCTTAAGAAAGACATGAAATTTTGAAAGTTTATCTCATGCCAATAAAATTTTTAATACGAGAAAATTTTAATTCCGAAATCTTAAATCTTTTTATAAAAAAATTGTAAATAAATTCCATGTTTTAGTTTCTTTTTCATTATTAACATTTAACAGATAATTGTTTGATTAGTTTATGTATCTTAATCATCAGCTAATTTTTACTGCTTCAATCCTAATTTATAAATGAACATTACAAAAATATATTTTTTAAAGTGATCTTTTTTAATCTTTCTGCGATAATTTTTTTCTGCAGTGGAATTTTTGATTTTTTGTTTAACCAACAGCAATGTGAAAGAAAGAGAAAAAACTCGATCCGGCATACCCGAAAAATCCAAACGAGCACAGCTGATAAGCATCAACAAAACAAGTTTGACATGGTCGTGAATTTATTTTATATTTTTCTGTTCCATATTTCATGAACGTTTGTTTGCTGCAAAACATCGCATAGTTTCAACGACTTTCAGACTTTTTGATTTGTTGTTGATTAATTTCTTATTCACAAGGCGTCATAAATTTACGACTTGAGACAATAAAAGTCAAATTCAATTCCGTGTTCAGGTTTTAATCGCGTAACAAGGAAAATATATTTTCACTCACTTTTCAAAAGAGGCTTCGGATTTGATTGCTTCCTCCGCGACATGATACTGTAGCTACAGTTAAGAATATTCCGATTAGGGTTCATTCAACTGCTTCTCGGGATATCGCAATCAATCTTTTGTTAACTTAATTATAGCGTATGTAACTTTCATTGATTTCTAAATAACTTTTACTTTAAGAAATTCTTTATCACGCTTCAACAAAAAAACTATGTGTCATAATGTTATTAACTTTCGCGTTTAAACTCGTGTAATTATGCAAATATTTTTTTATTTATAACCCGCCGTGATATTTACACACGATTATGATGTTAATTTTCAATGCAAAGCAAACACTTTTAAGGATTTTTATTTTTCTTCAATTTTTTGAGCAGCACCTTATTTTTATGTTTTTATTTTTCAATAAATTATTATGCAGTATCATTAATAAATTCAAGTATCAACTCTTGTTTTTCAATTACACAAAAAAACTTTTATGCACAAGATTTTCAACAAACCGACTTGTACGAGAAGAAAATCTAAACTGAAACAAAATAAATTCGTGAGAGATTTTCGAGTCGCTGTTGCTTTTTCGTGTAGAACAACTTCGAAAGTTCGAACACCGAATGTCGCGAGAGAGAGAAAAATGTGAGAAGAGAGAAATTGAAATTGAAATAAAAATTTGCAATTTTCTTAGATTGCGTCTTGATTCATAACACGTGTTTAACATTTTTACAATTTCCTTTTTATTTCTTGTAAGAAAATTGAGGATGGTAGTTATGTTGTTTGCAATCTAAAACATTTTTAATTGTTTCTGCATAAAATGCTTTTTCTTTTTGATTAACTCAGAACTTTTTCTTACATGAAAATACACTCAAGTTGATTTATGCTGCTAAATCAACTTTGAAGCTTGTTCAAAGTTGTCTCCAGCAATTTTTTTCATACATTTAACAAGTGTTGAATAAATATTGAAATGCTGGTAGCAATCGTCACAACCGCGATACATTTATATCAAACTGTGAATTCTAAAACAACTTCTACATCATTATCTGACAAATAACATCCATTGTTCAACTTAACATGTGGCATAAATTAAAAAAAACGTAAAGCCGCGATAAAGAAATGGAATAAAATAGTTTTTTTTTGTCATTTTAAATTCTTCAACTGATAAGCGGTTAAAGTAGTTAATTTTATGGAAATAAAAGACCAGAAACAATAAAAAGAGTTTAGTGACTAATTTTGTAGAAACATTCAAAGTTGACTGCATTTAGTGAGTCTTAGCCTGTCGACTTGATAAAAAATTTGTCACGAAATGGCTACGAGAAGTACAACAAACTTATTTCGCTTTTCATTCTCGCTCAACATGTGTGGCAATTCGTTAAACCACCTATTGACTTGTTTATGCTAAACTTAAAGTTCAGAATAATTTTTCGTTTTAAAAATAAGAAACAAGTTTCGATAACAATCATCGTGGCGAAAAATTGTGTTAATTAACTCATTTAGCGTCCTTTTTTGTTGAAATACCATTTTGAAACATGTTTATGTATGACTAAAGCTTCCCTGCTGATGTTCTTAAAACTTTTTGTCTTAATCTTAACATTTCTCTTTGTAATCGACAAGTTGATATCAGAAATCGGTAATAAAACATCACGATTTAAATGTTCAACATTGTCGAACATCGAGTGAGAGGTTTTATCAGTTTCCAGAAATAAAATAAAAAATAAATCACAATTTTACGTTTCTTCGCTCATCGTCATTCAAGTTGCTTCAAAAACTAAAAGCAGACGTTAAACTTCAACTTGATAGCATAATAATAAATTCATCATCTTCCCACATCATTTCAGAATTCAAAATCCCTGTTCCATTCAAGATAAGCGAAAATGTGAATTGTAAATTTTTTTTTATTATAAATCAAAATGTTTATCTCTAGCTTTGCTCTCGCCATTCCAACATATACTTCAGTTCTTGTTTTGCGAATTCCTTTTGTGATGTTATCATCCATCAAGATGTTTATGAGAAGGCAGAGAGCCAAAAATATAAACTTCTATTATGACTTTTTATCTCTGAAATTGTGACGGGAAGGGTGGTATTGTGGGTGAAATAATGGAAGATTGTTGTATGAAATGTAGGGAAATATAATTTTAATAACTCGAGCTATTAAAACCCTGAGAACACTTAAATCAGACAACTTCCTAAAACAGCAGCGGATGAGACGAAAGCAAAACAACATCGTAACAAAAATATCGCTTCGAGATTAGACTAAGAACTTTTCTCTTCCCTCGCACAATAAACACATAAAACAGAGAATGAGTCCACGTCAGATAACGTCAAGAGTAATTTATATTCGTCAATGTGGTGCAAACTGATAAGCAACCAGCAATTCAGGATATAGCACAATATTATTAAGGATCAAAATAACGTTGAATACAAGAAAAATCAAGTAAGAGGGAGAGAGAAAGAGAGAAAACGACAACGACATGACAATTGTCTGCCTGAGAGCTTCAAAAGTGATGCTTGTGAAAAATCATCATCAGTCTTTTATAAAAATAAATCAAGATGATGAAAAACGGAAGATAAAATGTATTGATGAGTTGTCAATCTTGTAACGTGTCTTTGATTTGTGTGACAAGAAAAGCTTCCATGACGCTAATCTCTTTCTCATTACACGTTAACTGCCTAACATATTTTTATTTCTTTTCACTTTGCAGAAAAATAACAAAAAAAATGTGATCAAGGAATTTCTTAAACATTCCAATCGTTTGCAGCTATCGGCAATTAAAAATCTAATTTAAATTTCTAAATCTTTTCAAAGTCGCTTCCAACATTGTTCCATGCTCAGAAAATGATATATCGTTTAATAGCAGACATTAATGCAGTTATCACATTTAACTTATCTTAATTAAAAATTTATCTCGTCGGGTTTTGAGCTCAGCAATGAGAGAAAAAGGAAAGATAAACGTTAATGGATGGTGGAATCAGAGGTTGTAATAAAAGCAAAAAGCGTACTTAAGTAGATTGTAAAGCAATGATTAAAGATATATGAATAAGAAAAATATTTTGGGACCACGCCGATATCGGAGTTACTTCCCTTTTTATTTCAGAACAGAATTATTCAATGGCTTTTGACCAAAAACGATTCAATAAAATCTTTTTGAGAAGCGCAAAAGATTACAACATTTTGTGTTTGTCCGCGCACCTTGTCTGGTATCATAAAATTAAAATCTGATTGCATTGTGTCGACAAGACATTATGTACTTCATTCTTATGTTCGCAGTTTCACGCATGTTATAAGAAATTTATGCAATTAGTTTTTGAATGTTTGTCTTCTTATTGTTTAAGCATTGTTTCGTTTTTAAGAAGACAATAAACAATTTGTTGTTTTCACGTTTGTTTTTCTTTCTTTCTTAGAGTTTCGGAAACTCACAAGACGTTTGAAAGATGCTATTAAAGAAATTTATAAAAAATTATCATTCAAGGAAATTTATTTAATCAGCAATTAAAAGAAATGATCCTCGAAATAGCCGCAATAAAAAATGCGATCATTCCACTGATTAAACATGTTTAATGTGAATCTACATAGAAAAGCGAATTTCTCTGTTATCTCGTCTGGTTTCCTTTCTTTTCTCTTCAAAATCGTCGACAGAAATAAAAGTCAAAAGCATTAGCAAAGCTCAACCAACCATCCGAATTATATCTGGAAGCTTTCTCACCCACTCTCTCTATTGCTTTCTGGAAGAGAAGCAGCAAACATCACCATCGGGAGTGTTGTGTTTGACTGCGATAAGAAAATGGAAATAAAACTTTTGCAATATAAGTAAAAATGTGTGTGAGTTTGAATTCATCTTCTCGCCCGCTCTCGACTCGAATAAATCAAAAATTATCTCACTTCGTTCACATACAACAGTTTCTTATGTTTCTGTTGTGTATAATATCATTTTCGATGCCGTTATCACGTCCTAAAGATCTTAATATGTGTAATTATATATTCATTTTCTCTTATTCAGCAGTTCCTTTTTTTGTTCTTTCGGCGGAGGGATTTTTGTTATCTTTCTTGATAGCACATTTTAATTTTTACTTTTTTCCCACTTCCATCTATACACCCCCACCCACCCACTACACATTCATTCTTCTCTTAACTTGCTCAAGATGATTCTCATGAAGAAGCAACAAGAATGAAATCGCGTTCACATCGTATTAATGGGTGAAGGAGTAAGGAAAGGGAGAAGGAAAGATGAGTGGGTGGGTGTTTGTAAGAAGTTTGTTGTTTGTAACGATGAATGAAATAAGAGAAAAGAAAGGGAAAAAAACTTTCTCAAGTGTTTTAAAATTGCTCCGCAACTCTGCTTCTGATATCTTTCTCATTCTGAACGACTTAACAAATATCTCATAATAATAATCGCACTTTCAGAAATTTCAAATTTTCTCCCCCGCTACAAAAGCTGAAGCGAGAATGTGTTTCTAGTGATTACATTAATGTCGCTTTTATTCACGTCTAACATGTTTATTATCATATCGTTCGGTTGGAGAAAAACGCAGACGTGCTGTTATGGGATTTATAACAGTCACACTGTTCGAATCTACTGGAATGTATATTGCGAGCTGCGCTTCCACTTGTTTAAATTGTTTTATCAAGAAATTTGTTTTACTAGCAGTTCATAATCACAGCCCAATAATGTGTTCTGTTTTTATCTAATAATAAAGAAATTGACTTTAAATATGAGCTCATAATGGTGTCGTTCTCATTCTTTTCATACAATAGCTTTGTGTAAGTATCAAAGAGAATTTTAAGCGATTATGTAAATTAATTCTGCAAAATGATAAGTTTGAACATTTTTGATATATAGAACAATCTGAAGTACGTATATGGATGCACACATACACACACAAAGCCTATGGAAAAGTAAATTTCGTTACCATCGTTATCGGTTTTTTCATATCAACGTACGCATTTCAATCTTGATAACAAATGGAAGAACACGAAACGATTCAANAGTAATATCAGCATTTATTGTAAATTAATGAAGAAATCAAAATGGAAATGAAATTGAGAAGTCGAAGCTGACATGAGTAGAGACAAACGAGTGAAAAGCAAAGTCAAATAAACCAACAAACAACGTGTTACATGAAATTCAATTAAATCGAATCGTAAGAAGAAATGTTTGGTCGTGTAAAAAGAAAAACAAAAAGCACGAAAGTAGAGAATAAAGAATCGAAAGTAGCGAAGGAGTTGAGTTTAATCGACAAACATACACACGAAACCGACGGAATCAAATGAAGAATGGATGGAAAATGCTGAAGAAATTAAATCATTGATAAGTTGGCGAGAAGAAAAACTTTTCTGAATTTACATCAACTTCAAACTTCCAACAAACATCTTAATTAACATTTTCTTGTTATGTTAGAATTGAAGTGTTAGTTGCATTAAATTTTTACTTCTCATACTTCATAAAATTGTTTTCACGATGCACTTAATCAATTGAATTTTATTGCAATGCAGCAGTTAGAAAAAAGAGTTGAAAAACAATTCCGTGAAGTCAGATAAAGTCGCATAAGAAATTCAATCCCGTCTCAAATATCTTCGATATCTTTGCAGAACATAAAATCGCTAGAAAACAAATTGAACGAAATTAGCAGATCATAATTAATTTTAATGTGCTTCAAATGTGATTCTTATCTCGTTCGCTATTAACTGAAATCGGCTTAGAATAGTTTGCTTAATGCAAATACCAGCACGTGAATATGTGAGAAGAGAATGCAAAGTGTGCAGCAGATAACTTATGCGAGATTAATGTGCAAAAAAACATGATAATTGAGCTCTCAGGCTAATGATTGCGATTATGTTTTATTTGTTGGCATAAAACTAATTGAAAAGAGTTTTATCTCAAATAGCCCAACGATATGATGCTTTGCATTGTAAAGCATCTGAATTTGCATTTTTCTATCTCCTCTGTAACTTGAATCTTGCATCTTTGTTCAAGTGATTCAAGGAAAGGAATTCAGATTTTCCTTGCAGCTTTAAATTGTTGTTATCTGACGAAGACACCAATAAAGAAAATCCTGAAATATTTCAGATAACTTAAAAGATTCCCCAGCGAAAGTCGAAAGATGCAAATTTTATCACTGTAAAGAATGCACAAAGAATTTTCCTTGTTCTCTCAAATATTTTATCAGCAATGAAACTTTTCTTCTCCCCATCGTGTACTTTAAATATTTCTCGGAATCTCGAAAAGTTTGGCGCGCATTGCCAACTTAAATCTGCAGCCAAAATCTTTCAACTGAAATGTTACCTGCAGTCGAAATAATTTATTTCCATCCGATCCAATATCATTCAGCATTCGACGACAATTTGCGATTGGATCATTGACCGAAAGCGCGGAGAGAAGAAGCAAAGTGAAAATAAATAAATAGCAATTTATAAAAGCTTTAATTAGTTAACATTTTGTTATCGTAGATTTTCGGGGTGAAAATTATAAACAACGACTGTTGGGAGTCGAAACAATCTGTTTATAAATTGTGAAAACGACTTTGAACAGATCGAGTAGATTCGAGTCACGGCATTTACTTAATTAAATAACTTTGGTTACTTCTACGGCTTCTTATCGACGAAATAAATGAACATGCAAAGAAATTTTCTAAGCAAGTTGAGTGTGGAAAAGTTTTGCAAATTGATTTGCTCAGACAACGACAATGAATTGTTAAAATTTAAAAATTGAAAGGAATGAAAATGAAGTCATTTGTATGCAGGAAATGTTGTCGCTAAATATATTGTTGTTCGCCTTCCACAATTTCTGTCGCTCGTTTTCTTTCCTTTATGCAAAATATGTAAGAATTAAGACTCATGCTGGGAAATTTATTTTCAAAAGCCAGAAAACCGCTTAATGTGGTTGCTCATAAAGCAAGGAAAATGTTTTCCGCTGTTCGTTGCAAAAATCATCGGAAGAATAAATTGCAATTTAAAACACAGGAAATATTCAAATGGAAGACAGAATTAAATTTCTATGTTTAATCTTTCATACATAATTTACTTTATATAAATATTTGTGTTCAGGTTTTAATAAAATGCATTTCAATGACTTCTTCATCTTCAAACTTTTTATCTCTTCCATATGATGTCCCGATTTTCATTTTCTGCATTTCATGATTCTCACTTCAAGTCTATTCTCCAATTGAAAACATAAACCAGCATAAACTATGAAGGGAAGCAAAAACTTTTATTGATTTTTCATCAATTCAATATTAAAATTCACCCAACTGTCGATTATAAAATATTCAAAGCTTAACAAATATTTGGAATGAATTTGGAATTAAAATATTGATTATGATGAAATGAAATAAATACTGCAACTCAACGATAAATTCTCGAACAAATCATTGGAACATCAAGAAGGAAACGTCCCTAAAATGAGGAAGAATTCACAGATTGTTGTTGATTTTACAGATCAGCATGATAAAGTTCTTAATCCTCATCAAAGAATTTTCCTTGAGGATACGAAAAGAGTGAAGGAAAAAATTGAGCAATTAAATCATGGCAGTAAGTTTTAAGATATTATCACAATAATTAACTCATTAAATCAAAATCTTCTATATCACCAGATGGCTTGAATTCTTTCATGCGAAAAGAAGAAGAAGCTTCAGATCCTGATGAAATGGATAAACGTGACAGCTTTTATCACACGACAAAAAGTCTTTTAGTTTTGTTTCAAATCATGGGAGTTATGCCGATTCAACGAAGTCCAAAAGGTAAGTCGTGATAACATAAAAAAATTATAAACATTAATTAATTATTTATGAGAGTAAAAACAATTTAAGGAACTGTTCCACGAACATCGTTTTCATATACATCACGAGTACATTTCTGGGCTTACTTTATTTATGCGCTTGAAACTATCGTCGTGTACACAGTTGCAAAAGAACGATTTATACAATTTATATCGAAAAGTGACAAGAAGTTCGACGAGATAATTTACAATGTCATTTTCTTGAGTATTCTTGCACCGCATTTTTTGCTACCAGTTGCAAGTTGGCGACATGGATCTGAAGTAGCAATTTTCAAGAACATGTGGACTTCATTCCAATTGAAATACTTGAAAGTGACGGGAACGACTATCGAGTTCCCGATTTTATATCGAATCACTTGGTTTCTTTGCTTTTTTTCATGGGGAATTTCTTTTGGTCTTATTTTGTCACAATTTTATTTACAACCTGATTTTTATTTTTATCACACATTTGCGTACTACCACATCATTGCTATGCTTAATGGCTTCTGTAGTTTGTGGTACATTAATTGCACAGCTTTTGGATTAACTTCTCGTGCATTCTCATTACAATTGAAAGCAACTTTGACGAAGAATAAACCAGCAAAGAAACTTGCGGAGTTTAGAAATATGTGGGTTGACTTGAGTCATATGATGCAGCAACTTGGAAAAGCTTATTCAAACATGTATGGAATTTACTGTTTGATAATTTTCTTCACGGTCATTATTGCATCTTTTGGAAGTTTATCTGAAATCATCGACCATGGTTTTACATTTAAGGAACTTGGTTTATTTATGATTGTTATTTATTGCATGAGTTTACTTTTTATTATCTGTAATGAGGCACATCACGCTTCACGTCGCGTAGGATTGAAGTTTCAAGAAATTCTTCTCAATGTTAATTTAACAACAGTCGATATTCCTACACAGAAGGAGATTGAAATGTTTCTTGTGGCGATTGAGAAGAATCCACCAACAATGAACTTAGACGGTTATGCAAATATCAACAGGCAATTGATAACATCAAATATAAGTTTTATGGCAACTTATTTGGTAGTTTTAATGCAGTTTAAGTTGTCATTGTTGAGACAAACGGTCAAAAAAAGCTTTGACGGTAGTGAAGATGTCAACTTAAATTCTTAAGGCTCTTAATAAGATCAACGTGGATTTGACACGTTATTAAAATTTATATTTATTTTATATTTCCTCAAAGACATTGCAAATGTCTGAATTACTGATAACTAAACCCAAAATCAAAGAAAAATAAATTCGTGTCATTTTATTGCATTTATCCAAAATATTATGTCATAATAAAAATTAAAACTTACTTTGGAATTTTTCTTTCTCTTTTTATTTGTTTCGATGGCTTAAGTTATGGAAAGAAATTTATAATAAATTTCGCTTCAATGTATTTAATCTGTTTGCAAATAATATACGATTTAAAGAAAGGCGGAAAGATAGCAGTTGTTGACAGCTTTTTAAAACAAGGAAGCAACATTGTTGTTAAAACGTGAATGATGCATTCAAATATTATTTTTCTTTCTTGAGAAGTTTTGTAGAAAGTTTTTCATAAGTTTTATCAAATTTAAAATCTGAAGTTGACCTGAAAGAATTTTCTTTTCATGGATCTGAATTCCTTAACCATGCACATAGATTACAAAACTAGTAAATATTTGTCAATTACAACTGCCGATTTCAGCTATTGAACGTTGATGTTTTAATAAAATATTAGCATAAATTGCCATTTACTCAAAAGTTATTGAAGTTTTCTGATAGCAAATTTTACGCATAATTTTTATTGCTTTATTGTTGAACTTCATAAATTTAGTGAATTGAAGTGATTGCTTTTTTATCACTAAGGTAATTTATGTTTCAAGAAAATATAAATTATATTGATGACTTCATAAATCTACCGATATTCATCTGAAAATGTTTTCGTTTTCAAATTTGAGGATTTTTCTTAAAATTTTCCATAAAACTTTAAATAAATATTTGCTGATAAATATTCAAGCGGACTTTGCAAAACAAACAAAAATTAATCTATTTGAGCAAAATTTAAATATTTTTTGCTCCCTGAAGACATTCAGAAAACTGCAAAATGCAAGTTTATGTCAAGATTAAAGTTTTAAATATGTTTTTCCATTACAAGATAAGAAAATGGAGTTTGTTGAATTAAGCATATTCTGAATTTTTCATACATATCTGAAAACAGCATAAAAAAATTCAACTTGAAAAGCATTTTTTGTTTGATCTGATAAAGGGAAAAGTTTTTAGTGTTTCCTGCTGCTATCAGTAAAAGATGAAAGAGTGAGAAAAAAGCTTCAGCAAAATGAAAATTGTTAAGAAAGTGATAAGAAACATTAATTCTTGCTTATCAGTTAAAAGTTAAGTCTCAATAAATAATTTCCAAGTTATCTGTTTTAATGATTTGATAGGAAAATTTCTGAAGTCATGAGAGTTTATAAATTTTAATTTAATTAATAGATTTTCATGTCGCAAGTTGTTCAACAAAATGGTAGACTTAATTCCTATTTCAATTTATTAACTTTCGCATCTCTCAATTTCCATTTTCATCTCTTTTTGCTTCGTTTCTATTCTATTTTCATTTTGATTTCTTTATTAAGCTGTTTCCATTCATTCGTCCGGCAACCAATTTAATTGTGAATTGCAAAAGAAACAAGAAGTAATATCGTTGTCGTTGATTGAAACATGAGAAAAGATCGTTGAATGTGTCGATTGAGGAGAAGGTGAAGTTCTTTGTGACAATGCTCGTGTTTCTAGGAAATTGATTGCATGAGTGGATTGCTGTGCACTTTTGATGATGGTGCATGTTACCGTGACTTTCAACTAGCAGATGATTTATCTAACAAGAGTTCAATTCAATTCTCCATTCCCTTATTTTACTTCATTCTTGTGGAAGCGAAAGAAGAAAATAAAAATGAATCATTTATTCAAATCTGACAGAAAAAAAGCTTAGACAAATGTCAAACTCTTTCAATGCACTATTGAAGAGTCAGAAGGGTGATTGATTTACCTTTTTTTATCAGACAAGTTCAGTAGGGATAACACAAACAGCTTACGGTTTGTAACAAATGCCAAGAGAATTTCAATGAATTTTCCAACTTTTCTTTATTGTTCACTTTCCCGTTTATAAAATGCAAATTGAAAGACATGCATCATCGGAACGAAAGATAATAAATTTTACTTTTGTTTTAAAAACATGATTCATGAAATAAAAAGAGCGGCAACGACGAGATTTCCTGCTTCCATAAATTAAAACATTTCTCACTAAATCTTCGTTGGGAATGAGAAAAAAAAATCAAAAAAGGAAATTAAATTTTCACAAAAAGTTTCAGTCGCAACATCGAGAAGAGGAAAGGCAGGTAGAAGAATTTTCTGATACTTTTTGTCATCGTGACGCAGATAATGGATCATGGAAAAAGTTTCCAACCCTTTTTTCTCATCACTCGTCCTAGAATCACACAGGAAACCACGTTCAGAATTATGAGAGAAAAGTTTGAAATCATGAAAATGGTTTTGTGTTTGATATTTGATAACAATTCGTTGTTGAAGCAAAGCCACAGTTTGGAAATGTTAAGAAAAGCTCATTTCCTTTTGAAGAAACTCTTTCAACAATTTCAATGATAATACAATTTGATAGAGGGATGAAAAAGACAAAATTTGCATTATAACTTTTTTAATCGAAAATAATTTTCATGAGAAATGTTGAGAATGTCATTGTTGGATGATTATTATTGTTAAGCTTATAATTTATTAGATATCTTTCAGTAGCAATGATAAAGTACATAAATGTTTGATTAATAAAGTTTATCAATGATAACATTTATCACACATTTATACTTACATGTAAGCTTAGATAAATACTCAGTTGGATTTTATACTTTGCGCATATCGCATGTGACTGATTAAATTGATATCTTAAGCATTTATATTGTCAAGTAAATCGACAATAAATCTTGATTGACAAGTCGTAAAGTGAATTGAATCATTCAAACCATTTCAACTTAACGATATTCAAATGTAATTCCAACAATAAAAATAGATTAATTCATCATTAATTCGATAACGTTAGGCAACCTCGAGTTGAAAATTTTATGACAAATTGATGTAAGTGATAAGGCTATTTGGCAGCTGACTCATTTATCATATTGAAGAGTCGAAATATGTATGCGCTTCCATTTTATCAGGCATTTTATGGAAATATTATTATGAGAGCAGAGATGACAGTTCAGTCGGATGCAGATTATCGACGAGGTAAAAGTGTATAAAAAGTTTAATGCTATCATTTTGTTTGGATATTTCAAAATATTTGTGTTATTATTATACATGGGAAAGATATAATCAAAGTATGAAACTTGTAAAAATTGAATCAATATGTTGTTAGATGAGCAAAAAAAGAAATAAATTCATTTGATTAATTTTAATGTAATTAGATTTTAATGTAAAACCATATGGAAATAATTTTATCGATGCTGAGATGACAATTCAGTCGGCTGTTGCTAATCGACGAGGTAAAAGTGTATAGAAAATCTAATTACTCGACAGAAAAATTTAATCAAACATGTAGAAAATTAATTAAATGTGATAAATAAACAGTAGAAAAAAGTAGAATTTAATTAATTGTATTGTAATTTCAGATATGAAAGCTGAAGGTGCATCAATCGACGACGATTGTGAGTTTTTGCAATGAATGTTTATCTCATTTTCATTCATTCTGTTATTCTATAATGAACAAGGCTCTTCAACTTCACAATTAATTAAAGTTGGGCCGGTATCAACAAAACTTCAATGCCCTGAATGTAAATGCATAATTAAGACAAAAACACAAACTGAAGTGTCAATGCAAACTCATGTCATAGCTGCAATGTTGCTTCCGTGAGTTGATAATTAAGATTTCTTAATCATAACTAAATCATTCAAATTGCAGGTTTTGTTGTTGCGTTCCTTATTTCTTTTCTTGTTGCAAACATCTCCATCATTTTTGCCCTAAGTATTTTATCATTTTTCCTGCAAGTAAATTTAGTGCTAATTTTTTTGTTACAGTTGCGGGCAATATCTTGAAACCTACAGACGTTGAACCTCCTTACACCATCTTAATTACAGTATGAAAATAAGATTAACCCTCAAGTTCTATCATAAGGCACGTAAAGAATTATCAACATCAATCAACGTAAACATGACAAAGTATTTATGTAAAGAGAAACTGTAGGAATAAAAAAGTGAAGGAGCGATTATGATGTAAATTTTTGTCATTCTTATCGCGGGAGGTAAGTGAGTAATGATTGTACGCTGTTGTCCCACTGTTGATAAATTATGATTTCTTTTTAAATACTTAAAAAAAGCGCGTTAGATAAGGACATCATGATTTTGATTAATGAATGAATAAAAAATGTTTTCTGGATGTTGGAGAGTTCACAGGTATTTAAGTAATCCAAATATTAAATAAGATTTCCTTTAATAGAAATTTGTATGAATCATCTAAAACTTTAAGTCAGTGATGTTTCCTAATTCAAAATTCTGTTTTAATCGATTGAAATTATCAAGATAGAAAACCCATTAACTTAATCTTTTGCTAAGATTTTAGGATAGAGAATTAATTGTAAATATGATAAAATGTATCAATAAATAAAATTTTATCGCAAATTTGATGGTTAATTATGATAAGTTATCTTTTCTAATTTTCTGATGATGTGAGAATTTTGTCACTCGTTCATTGTAGTTTATTTCTAATGCCTCGATCAGGTGAATATTATTTCAGTGATGAACTTATGATATTTATTAATGGTTTTGAAAATTATTTAGAATCTAATTTGATTGCCATTGGTCATGGTAAGAAAAATTTTGTTTTTATGACTTGAATCAAGTTCATTTCAAAGTTGATTTGTTTATTCACAGATTCTTCCAAAGAAGATTTAGTAGTCAGAGTAGCTTCTGTTCCATTAAAATTAACATGTCCAGAATGCAAATTTAAAGTAATCACCAAAGTGCAGCATCAAACATCTATGCTTACTCATGCAATTGCTGCAATGTTAGTACCGTAAGTTGAGTTCCGAATTAAAAAATTTTAAATAAAATATCTGAATGTCGTCACTTTAAGATTTTGTATTTGTTGCCTTCCTTATTGCTTCAAATGCTGCAAAAATAGTGTTCACTTTTGTCCAAGGTACGTTGAAATCATAAACTTAATTACATCGTTAACTTTTCTTCTTTATTCTTAAGCTGTGGAGAATACATCGAAACATTCAGAAGATAAAATTTTATATAAAACTCAAATGATTAAAAAAAAATGCATAAAGTCATGAAACTCTTGTGATGGAATTTTAAATGTAAAATAAAGAAATTATGGAATCACTTTTAATTTTCGTCCAACATTAATGAAAGCGTTTATCGCTCTATCAATATCAACAGTTGTATGAGCTGCTGATATTTGAACACGAATTCTCGCCTTTCCTTTAGGAACAACTGGATAACTGAAAGTAAAACATGTATGAAAATTATATGACTATGTTTAATTAAAATAAAATACCTGAATCCAATAACATAAATATCTTGTCTCAACATTTCTTCAGCAAAACTTTGAGCGAGTTTTGCATCGCCAAGCATTACTGGCGAAATTGGATGATCCATTCCTGATATTATGAAACCAGCTTTTGTCATACTGTCACGAAAATGTTTTGTGTTCTTCTCGAGATTGCCAATAAGATCACTTGAAGTTGATAATATGTCAATAACTCTAATTGCACCACCTACAACAGCTGGTGCAAGTGAATTACTGAAAAGATATGGACGAGATTTTTGTCTTAAAATTTGTATTAGTTCTTTTGATCCACAAGTGTATCCACCCATAGCACCTCCAAGAGCCTTTCCAAGAGTTGAGTTGACAATGTCAACCGAACCAGGAGGCATATTGTAATATTCTTCCGTACCTCTGCCAGTTTTTCCGAAAAATCCCGTTGCATGACAGTCATCAACAAAAGTTAAGGCGTTGTATTTCTTCGCTAAATGGACGATTTCTGGAAGTGGTGCAATATTTCCATCCATTGAGAAAACTCCGTCAGTCACAATTAACTTAATTCTAGCATTTGAAGCTTTCAATTTTGCTTCCAAATCATCCATGTTTCGATGTAAATAACGATCTTTTTGAGCTTTGCACAACCTCAATCCATCAATGATACTTGCATGGTTCAATTCATCAGAGAAAACTGCATCTTCAGGTGTAAGAATGACTTCAAAAATACCAGCATTTGCATCAAAGCAACTTGCATAGAGAATCGTGTCTTCGCGTCCATGGAATTTAGAAATTTTCTCTTCAAGTTCTTTATGAATTGATTGAGTTCCACAGATGAAACGTACTGATGATAAGCCGTTTCCATACTTTTCCAAGGCTTCCTTAGCTGCATTTTTAATCTCTTCGTTCGCTGACAATCCAAGGTAATTATTAGCACAAAAATTTAATACAGAATTGTTGCTTCCTTCTACAGTTATTTCAGATTTCTGTGATGACGTTATGACTCTTTCATTTTTAAATGTTCCAGCATCTTTAATGCCTGCTAATTGTGTTTGGAGAATTTTCTTAAAGTTATCCGATGCTGTACTATAGCCGCGAACTTAAAAGACAAAATAAAAATATCTAGAAACTCCTACGCAATAAATTATATTTTCATACTTTGGTGAATTGTTTTACACTTGAAAATCATACTGATTTGTAACAATGTTGATTTTTTATGAAGAAGTTGAACTGAATTATTGAAAACAGTAATTTTATCTAATTTTTCAATTGAATGTGAGGTTTAAATTCGTTTTCGCCGGTTGTTGTTGAGAAAACTCGAAGAATTTTGTGCTCTTTTTCGAGTGAGATATTCTTTTATTTTCTTATTTAATATTTCCTCAAAGCGTATATGCTATAATTAGATTAGTGAGAGAATTTTTGTATGATCAGAGAAAGAAGACATTTTGAGATACTTTCTTGATTTTTCTTTAAGCAAGCTAATTTAATGTATTTTGAAGGATGATTTACAATTTAAACACCATTCTTAGTATTAAAGCAGTAAATCAAAATTAATACAGTTGAAAGTAGGTATGGTAGGAAAACTTATTAAAATACTTCACTTTGTACAAAAAATAACTGTGATTAAAAATTTAAACTTGTTTTGCAACATACTTCACAATATTAAAATTCAAATATTAACGGAAAAGAGAATTTAACACGATGACACATGTCGAAACGTATTCGAATGAATAAAATTGTTTTTCTTGTTTTACCTGAGTTTGTCTATATTTAGAAATCGTCATGACGAAATGTATGAAAATAAATCATGGCTACGCTCTCAAGAGAAATAATATTTAAAAGCATAAAAGAAAGATGTGTTTGTGTAATCACACACTATCAACGTGATGCACTGACGTCATTAGGAGTTAAAAATTTCAGAGAAAAGAATAATTGGGTAATTCTAGTTATATGCAATGATCAGCAGAAATATTGGGCCCGCTACCAATAAATGAGACACGTGTAAATTAGATATAACAACAATGTCTGAGTTGTAGCGTTTCATTAATCCAGTCTTAAGTGTCAGCAATTTTATTTCAGTTCTCATATATTAATTATGACAACATAACATGATCTTCAGGATATCAGATATGAGAACTGAAAATAAATGTCTGTCTGAAAGAAATAAAATACTTTATGAAATAATTGCAATTATATGGGTCATATCATCTAAAGCATATTTTTATGTCAATTATTTCATCAGACATACATACCTCTTAATTATTATTCTAGCTTTCTATACTTTGCTCATCCTATCTATCACACCTCCATGAATGACGTAAAAGTGTGTTTTCCCTTGAATTTTTGTCGCGCTCAGCATTGAACATTCGTCTATCATGCGGTGTTCACGAGGCAAGAGCGTGATAGCCGCCGTATATTGGAATAACAAAAATATAAACATTGAATATTGTGTACAGACACTTCGAGCCCCCATTTCTGATTGGTGCAGAGAATGTGTGAGTGATGGGAAAATCAACGACAAGGTGCTTAAAAATATTTTTAACTTTCAAATTGCTTCAATTTCTTCTTGACAAAATTTCAAAAGTAAATTTCAATTCACGTCAATTCTCTTAAAAACAAAATGTAAGAATTTTATTTCATTTTTTTGCGATACTATCATTATTCGTATACATTTTATCGACTTAACAATCATCCTGTTTCAACTCACACGTTCATACTTCTCTCGTTTGTCGTGAACACAATATGAATCGAAACTTTTCTCAACAACCTCTTACTAATTTTTCAACTGTGAAGCAATCTAAACTGATCTCTGGTTGAGAGAAGTTGTAGAAGTTAAAGAAATAAATAATACAGATCAAAGCAAAATAATTTAAAGAGATATCTTCGAAAAAAAAAATTGTGAATAAAAACTAAAATTAATTGAGTGAAAATTGTCAGAAAAACTGTGAAAATATTTTTAAAAAATCAAATCAAAAATGTCTTCAAAAAATATGCTGATGACTCAAATGGATTTACAATTACCGCCAACGCCCCCAATGGATTTAAGTGATTCAAATTCAAACAGCTCAAATGACTTCAAAGTGAGTTTCATTCAAACAAATTTTTTCCACTTCATTTTGTTGTGAGAAAATTATTTCAAAGAGTCATATAAAAAATATAAAAAGGTTGTTTTCATGCCCCCCTCGGATTACTAAAAAACTACTGTGTTTAGTTCTTTGAGTCACGTAGAAGTTAATTCAGCAATGCTGATCTCACTATAAAACATCACGTATGACAAAACGCAGAAGAAACTTGTTCTCGTCGCCTTTGTCCATAAATAGTTTTAAATCGCAAGCCTTCAACTCAAATATCTACTTAAAAATGACGAAGAAAAAAAAGAGAATCAAACCAAGGCTAATTCGTCGAGGAAATTGTTGAAATTATTCCATCAAAAGTTATTTTTTAAAGCTTCAAATAAAACGAGACATTTTTATGTTTCTGCCTTCATCTGTCGGAATCACGCGAATGAGATAGCAATAAAATAATAGGCTATCTCATTCACTTCCACTTCCACTCAATGCGAGCACGCATCTATCAGCTGTTGTTCACGTGAACATTTTTTGCTTCGACTTTGAACTCTTGCATGACGTACGACGATTTTTTTCTGTGTTATTTATCAAGAGACGAGTGAAGCGAACGAAAAAAGCGAAGAGAAAAAATAAAAATACTTTACACACCCATTGAACGTAGATTTCTCGTAGCTTCGTTGTTGTTGCTTAGCCGAATACTTTATTTTCTTCTTGTTGATTCCACTAAGCGTTGTCAGTTTTCTTTTTTCAGTTCTCTCTCTGTCCCTCTTTCCCTCCTTTACTCTCATTGTAATACAATATGTAGCAGATGTAGTATAATTTCAAATACATAGTCTCCTGGCCTAGCCCCCATCGGAGGCAAACAATTTTCAGATATCGTGTTACTTGCTTTGTTTAGTTTTTAGTTCACATCCGCTTTAAACAATTAAACAAAACAGAATTCATAAGCCAGCACTTTGAATTTTAATTATGAACAAAAAAGTAATCAAACACTCGTTCGATAAAATGTTTGAACTATGCAAAATGTCAAAGCTTTCGATGTTTAGCTGGGGGGCTTATCTAAACGGCTACGAGGCTCACAGAAATATGAAAGAGAAGAAAAAAACCATCCACAGTATAAAAGTTTCTTCAAGTTGTAACCTGAAGTGATGTGGTTAAATTCCAAGGGGAAATAATCTTCTCAGCCTTCATGATGCCGCCATGTTTAGTGAAACACGATAATTTGTTGGCCTCTACAGCAAACAATGTTGAATAAGCAACAGGAATTACAATAAACGTCCGCTTTTCATATGACATTTTTATAGATTATCTCTTTCTTTTATCATTATAACAATAAATAAACACTGCCTACGATATAAAGAAACTCATCAATTTCCTTCTTTTTATATCATTACAGAAATCAGAAGAATTACATTCACTGAAACGTAAATTAAATGATATTAATTTACCAAAGGGATTAGTGACACCAAATCCATCTGATACTGAAGATGAATCAGATTTACCTCCACGAAAGCGCATGTATGCTCGCGACTCAATTAACTTTTTGGAAAAACCAACGTCGTTTACTCCACCACCGGAAGATATCAGTGTCAACTCAAATGATGCATTTAGAGCTGACATTCCAGCACAACGCGTCAGCGTTATTATGCGTGTCAACAAAGACGGAACATGTATACCAGCAGCTGAAGCAAATGCAACAACTGAAGTCATTCAACCTAAATGTGAAGATAATGACATTCACTTGAATGTTTTTCGAAGCGTAAAGTACAAGATGGGGAGAAAAAACAGTCAATCGACGTCAAATAGTTGTGATGGTTCAACTTCACCATCACTTCTTGGAAATACCAATGAGTCATTAGTTAAAAATGTGGAACAACGTGTATTGACGTCATCGCCTGTTTCGATGGCTCAACCACAATCACCACCAACCATTTTATTCCAAGTTCCACAACAAAGTCCAGCTAAACAAATTCAACAATTGCCAAACATTGCACCAAAATTACCACCTCAAGGTATCATCATTACAACGTCACAAGCGGGAAATGGCTTGATGCAAACAGGATTTCTTCTGCTACCTTCGAGTTCTGCACAAACGATTGTCACGTCAACGCCCCCATCATCTCATCAAAGGCTGAACAAAACAAATGCTCGTACACAAGCAACACAAGAACGACGCCGCATTTTCGAATGTGATTATCCAAATTGCGGTAAAAACTACTTTAAGTCAAGTCATCTTAAAGCGCATACAAGAAGTCATACCGGTGAACGTCCATTTTTCTGCAAATGGGAGAATTGTGAACGTCGTTTTTCGAGATCTGATGAATTATCACGACATAAACGTACTCATACCGGCGAAAAGAAATTTGTTTGTGGTGCTTGTGATCGTCGCTTTATGAGATCTGATCATTTGTCGAAGCATGTTAAACGTCATAACAAAGATAAAACGAAGGGAAAGAATAACCTCGCATCGTCGAATAATTCGTCAGCACTTATGTCAATCTCGCAACATCAACAAACGCCTAGAAGTATTGTTCCAAATCTGAATGGTATAATGAATAACACGCTTCTATAAGCGGCATGCTGTTGAATCACAAAATTTACCTGATTAGCTGTTTAAGCCGTCAGCACAATGGCGTTTGATCTCATTCTGTCATCTCCTCGGTTATGCATTTTTATTGCTGAAAGCGATCTTGTTTTCATGGAATTTACAAAGCAGTAGATCAACCCATGAAAACTAAACAAAGTTAAATAAATTAATGACGTGTAACGAAAATCTTTTTCTTAGAAGTTTGCATAAGACATGATAAGCTTACAAACTCTTTTTATTAAACATGTTAAAGTTTTCTTTTCTTTCGATTTATTTTTTATGTTATTCAGTTTATTAACATATATCTGACCAACATATTCTGTGATTTTGAGTTAATAATGTTTCGTTGATGAACGAAATTTATAAATAAAAATATTTAAAACATTTAAATCATCAAAAAACTGAGTTTTAAATCTTTTTTCCAGACTTTTCTTTTAATTTATCTATGACGCAGATACTTAGCAGATAACTTATCTATCAATTTATAAATAAATTGTTTTTGTCAACTGCAGCCACAATTATTGAATGGCACTTTAAATCATTTTTTTTGTTTTATTTTTATGATAAGACGTCAGCAATTTCGACAATATTGTAAGTCATTTCACTAAACTGTTTTTATTGTTTTTTATGTTCTTGCATAATCGAAAGAATTTTCAAAAATTTATGTTGTTTTGTATGATGAAATTTCATATCTAAAATTTTTTCGAAAATTCTCAAAACTGTAAACAAAAATGTTACTAAATGTTGTCTTATCGTGAATGCCCTTCAAACAAAAAATGTTTTAAATTTTCCAAGTGGAACTATTTTGATTGATTCAAAATATATGTTTATGATTGTGAAAAGGCATTTGCAGATAATAACAATTTAAAATTCTTTTCATACGAAATATTAATTAATACATCGCACATCGTCATCATTCGTCTCCATCTCAGCGTCTGTTTTCGTCTTTTCAAGCATGTATTTACATCGTTTACGAATCTCAATCCGAACAAACGATTGCGGATTTAAAAGTGAGATCATCATGGGAGCGGGACTTTCCAATTATCACAAAAGCGAACATTCAAAAGACATTTGATCTTCAACCGTTGCTACACCCACATTTTTTCTCAACATTGAGATCGCCTCGTGTTAACTGACAATCATATAAGTAGACTACATATATACGACGAGAACGAAACGAAGCACGTTTGAGGTGCTTGAACACTTTTTTAAAAATATGTTTGCGCGTGTAGGAAAGTTTTACTCAGCAAATATGAAATAATCTTCGTCTAATGGTTTTATCAGATAAAAAGTTAATCATTATTTGGGTCAATAAACGAATGATTTATTCGTTGAAACTTTTTTTTTCTACCATCAATTTAGTTTCATTTAATATTTTATTAGTCACATTGTCGACGGGCCTGACATGTGGAATTTTTCTTCTTTTTCTTCTTTCATATCTGCAAGTTTTATTCTTTTTCTAGATATTTGTACGTTTTCTAAGCTTCTTGCCTCTCAAATACTTTTCAAGTTGGTGATCACGGCAACATCACGCTATTGCCTTTCTTTTTATTTCATCATTACGCGCACTTTCTTCGTTTTTTTAATCATCAGAAAGACTAAAGAGACAGACTTCAGGAACGTTTAACGTTACTGTGGTTGTCATTGACCTGTGATCATTGAATTTGTCACGCAACTGTTTACATGTTTTCCAAATCTAATTTTAGCTCCATGTTCTCACATATATTTTTGAATTATCTATTGTGAAATAGGCTTTTGAGTTCATCACTTATCTGGTGCCGATAATGTCTACATAGCTCAATAAATTATTACTCGCTCACGACCATCGTCTCACTACTTATCAAAACAATCTAGTTTGTGAAAACACTACAGACGATTCAATTACTTTGCTGATAAAAACTTCAAATCATTGTTATCTTAAGTCAGTAACTCCAACCGGTGTATTTATTTCATCAAATCCAAAATATTTCAACGAAAATCTAGTTTGAGGTCGACATTATTATCTCTTATCAAGTAAACATTGAATGACAAACCATGCGGGGGAGGAGATCGAATGAAAGGGAACATACCACGCTTAACTGAATTTTATGTCGCAAGTACTGATAAAGAAGCGATCACGAAATGTAAATTCACAAGGGTCATTTGCATCAAAACAATTTGTAACACTTTCAGTTCGCGTTTGCTTCCTGATGTGTCATGTGAAGTCAAAAATATTTCCGTACTTTTATTTTTCAGATCGTCAATTAAAAGAGTCTGCAAAATGACAATTTCTTTCATCAACTAAGACAATATCGACACAGACTCAGTCGTAATTGAGTAGACACGACAAACAGTTTTGCAAATGTATGAAACAATGAAACTGAATTTTTTTCTTATTTTGTTTATCAGCAAGTTCAGGACAAGTCTATCATGTGGTCTAGTCGTGATCGTGCTTTTCCGCCGCCATTTGTGAGACTATGAACGCACACTTTGCCTTATCGCATAACGATAAAGAAGAAGAATAAAAAGACAATAAATTATTTTTGTTCATTGAAAATTGACTATTGTTGTTGTTGATACGAGTACATATCAGTTTATAAAAATAAATAAAAAAATGAATAACAAGAAATAGTCAATCAACTTTAATTCGCATTCCAAGTGAAAGTGATTCAACTTTCTCTGATATCTCAAAACGACACGAGTTCATTGAAAAGCTGACTTGACATTCTAGGAAAGGCAACATCAACTACGCATTTCTATCAATTTCGAACGATGCCACCCACACTTTGCTTTGGGTCAAAACATTTCCATTTAATTGTGCAACGCAATTTATTTTCACATTCTGATAAGAAATAATTGCGCTTAATTTCAGTCTTTTAAAGTTTTTCCAATTCAATTTACTAGAATTATGAATATTACAAAATATCGACAGCAATTTCAATCAGACATTTGCTGATACAAACACCTAAATTGAAAATATTTTTCTTCTAAATTGCTTACAATGCACATTGTAATGTGTTCTAAACATGTTTTATTCTTGACAGTTAAATATAATTTACTAAGTTATTATGAGAGTAAACTTCCATCGTCTGACCTCCGTTTGTAATGTGATAATGTGGAAGTTGTGAAATAATAATAAAAAAACAAAAATTACTTCAATTACACTGTCTGGTGTTGTTATGTTCCTTGTACTTTATCATATAAAGTAAAAATGAGTGGAATTAACTGGATTTGACACATGTTCTGATCTTTCTTCTATTTAAAGATGAACTGAATTAAAATTTTGATAATTTACAGAATCACTTATCAGTCGATCCGCTCGTGCTATCAATGAGAGTCACGAGCCTGAAATTTCGGCTTTTCGTTGCTTGAGTAGCTTGTCATTGTTGATAATCAAGTATTAAATATCACACAATAAAAGCGTGTAATAATGCAAGGAAGGACGTTAATTTTGTTGTTTTCAAACAGTGTTTAAAAGGATTACGCAATATGTCAATTGATGACGCACAAAACTTTGCCATAAAAAGATGTTCTCCGTGTTATCTTCTCTCGGATAAATTCTGAATTGCTTATTTATATGTGTATCCAGATAACGAAGAATTTCATTAACAACAATATTAAAAACAGACTAGGTAGCTCGATGTTTATTTTTAAATACATTCCGGATTGTTCTGGCTGATGTGAAACATTTTTCGTAACATTTTCATTAAACAAATTTTTTTTAATTCTACGCTCGACAACAAGAGATATAAAAACTGTTTTCTAACTAAAAAGAAATTAGAAAGTCTTGTAGAATAAAATAAACTTAGAAATTAATTAATATCCTAACACCAAAGATGATCATGTCGCAAGACGAGAAAAATCACGAAAGTTCAAAAATCCTCCCATGCTCTGACGTCACACTCGGTTGTTGCTTGGTACATTCGATTAAAAAAATTTCATCTCAAGGAAATAATAAAAAAAATAAATAAATAAATTAAACGCAACGCACATTGGAGTCACTCCCTCGAAACGTGATTGCCTCATCGCAGCTTATCGCCGAAGGTGATAGTCTCATTTTCAGTAGATATTTGTAAGTGTATGATTTCATTTTATTTTCGATTCGTTTGTTTACTATCGCTTGCGATTAAAAAGAAGAAGAAGATAATAAAATATTTGAAGATGATTTTAACGTGAACACAACAAGTTTCCTCGCGTCGATTTGTATGAGTAATTAAGTGTTGAAAAAGACGAAGAAAAATGAATAAATAAAAATATGGAAATTGCGCTGCTTCAAAGACCTTTCGCGATGTCGTTGTCATAGCTCGACTCGAAGGGGATTGTCTTACAGCCTTGGACATTAGATTACTAAATAATGAGTACTTCCTGTTTTTCGACACCATTTATTGGTTTATTCAATCGTTGAAGCATCAATCACTCTATATAGAAGTCTGAGAATAACTCAAAAATATGTATTTATGCAGAGTTCTTTGTGAAAGAAAAAAACATCATTTGATGTTTTTAAGATTTAAATACTCGAGGCTGTAAAGTGATATCATCATTTTTATAAATTAATTTTCAACATTCATCCATTGATCCGCCTTTCAAACTGAACACAATTTTGTCTTTGTCTTTCTATAGCTAACTGGCTAAACAACGATGACTATCTGGAAATACGTTTCAAGGGGCACGTTCAATCCACATAAATATTTATTAATAGTACAAATTGAATCGTTTCACTTTAAAATACGGAAGTTAATTTGTCTTAAAGAATTCAAAATAAAGTTTAAGAGTTCATGAAATTTGCTTGAAGTTAAAAGCTTTTTCAAGGTTTTTGTCATCGTAGGAAATTGTTTTAATGAACATTCATTGCACTGCATTAAATATTGTCGATGCCAAGCAAGAAAAAAAAGCGTTGGAGGTAATTAAGAAAAAAAAACTTGACTCGTGTTGCTGACTTCTCCAACTTACTAATTAGATGTTCGTACACGAGCCTAAATGAATTTAACTTGAAATCAGATCAATGTGACTCTTCCAATAATTGATTGGCGTCTACAGTTGCAATAAATTCAGAAATAGAAATGAAGTTACAAAAATAATTTTCATTTTAGCAACATGAATTTTATCTAGATTAATATGAATGTTCGTGTTTTAGTTTTTTGTGTCGAAATATTTGTCGAGCGGTAACGAAGAAGAAAAAAAAGCAGAAAATTTTATTTTGCACTCATCTATCTCATCGTTGTCCACATGTTATTCACGTGAATGTGAGATTTGATAGAAAGAAACACGAAAACATTTATTTCTCTTGTCCTCAACTCTGATGAACATACGCGTTATTCTATCCAAGTGTGCTACTGATGCGAAGCGAGTAAATCTCAAAGTTCATGAAGAATTCTGGCACAAAATGTTTCTGGGTTGATTGTCTCTATATTTATTGATGTTCGCTCTGCTACTTTCGCCTCCGCAAACACCACAAATTAAAAGAAATCGTAGATAATTAAACGACGAGTTGCTATTTTCGATTGAGTATCTCAATCAAGCACTTCAACACTACGTGATAGGAAATTTTCACATGTCCTATGCCACATTTCATTGAAGAGTGAATATTTGTGTTGATTCTGGTGTCACGAAAATTATCTTTATAAGTTTGAAAACTATTTTTTAATCTGCAGACTTAAAACACGAACTTCGTTGATGTCGTGAAGGATTGCATGAAATTGTCAAGATTAATGAAACAAGATTATAGTTGACAGCATTGCCTCTTTTTATCCGTAGCAATGAGACAATTAGTCGCACTAGTTAAGAGGCAAGTCAGGCTTGTTCAAGAAATAATAAATGAAAAGTCGTTTTATTCATTTTTAAAGGTTGGTCGCTTTGATGTCACAATTTGGCGGATGTTTTTCTAATATTTTATTTCGCAAATTTTGAAGTCGATTACATTGCGACGAAAAATTAATAAAATAAAGCTCAGTTTAGATTATCTACAAACAAAAGTGACTGACGATGAGCAGCTTCTCACGTAGATCGTTCAAGTGAATCACGATATAAAAGCTTTAAAATGCTTTCAAACCCGAAGATAACAAATAAAGTTAGCTTGTTTATAATAATTTACTTGTTTACGCTTTTATATCGAGCACAACGACAAACTAAACAGTGACATCCAAAGACGAAGTGATTCACGACTGTAAATATTTTCTGTTCTACTTTCATCATCTGGAGAATTGCGTAAACAAATCATAAAACAAAACTGATGACGTGTAGCGTTCTCTTAACGGGTGAATGAAGTCTTAACTTATCTTCACCAACATATTTCTACCAATAAATTCATTTTTTAAATTTTTCAATGATGATTCTTTAAACCTTGTTCCAAATATTTCCGCTAAGATATTTTAAAAATACTTTAAGAAAATCTTTCATCAAAAACAGAATTCAAACGTCATGTGATCAACATTCATGGAAGTTTTTCAACAACTTCTATCTTTTGGATATTAATTTGTACATTTTGATGTTACTTTAACATTGAGAATCGTGTTTACGACATTAAGACAAAAAATAAAAAGACTTAATCGTTTCTTTTGATATCAGTCACGCCTATTTTGAGTGATCTTTTCGCGTCGATGTGGACTAGAAGCGAGCGCGCGCGCTTTGACCTTCCCGCAAGCGACTTTATCTTTGAATTTTTAATTAAAGCATGAGATATTTTATGAGTAATCGAGGAAAGAAAGACAAAAAAAAACCGTCAAAGACATTTGCCTTCTTTTTCTATTTATAGGTTTTTGCATTCACTTCCCATGTGTCAAAATGGTTTTTTTTTGTTTTCGCAAACTTTACATGACCTTTAAATTGAAATTTATTGAAATTGAGTTGACAATATTGTCATCGTTAACACGCCCAATGCAATGGTGAGATTTTATGATATATTTTTGTTTTCTTAAGGTGTTTCCGCTTTACTGATCAAGATCATATTCAAAAAGCTAGTTTCAGAATTAGAAATGCAACGAATCGTTGTTGACAGATAAGCGAGGAAAATTGTGATATCGATTATAACCTTCGTTTCTAAATGCAACCTTTGTTACCAACATCGACTATGTACGTGATCATGAAGTCAATTCCTATTAACGCTAATGAAGATTTATTTCATTCTTCTTTCCTTACTTTGTTGATAACGCTGATGTATGTTGCAATGATCAAGGTGAAGCAAAGATAAAAACATGTAGGTAAATAAAAGTTAACAAACCTTATAAATAATCATCTTACAATTTCAGCGACAAAATATTCTTTTCCCTTCCTCGATGTCTGCCAAGTTCATTGGCAATCAGATGTCTTTCGAAAAAAAAATTATAAATACAAAAGAAACAAAAAACCAGATTTCTCAGAATTGTTTACCATCAAAACTATGAAAATTTTCCGATATAAACGGAGCTGCCTTTATTTAATATAATGAATAAGAATTCTTTAACACCTCATACCAGTTCCATCTGGTTTTTTAAAAATCAAATTTCGGTTCACATCCAGTTAAAGCTTCTTTTTTATGTTTGATAAGTGATAATAAATCAAAAGAGCTTCACAAACCTGGACAGCTTAAACAAAGCTTAAGTTATCGGTTCGTTAACGAAGATAAAAATAGAAAAAAAATGTTTTTAGCGGATACCAGATGGAAAATTCAGAATTTTTATGATTATGCAAATGATGTTCTTTCATCTTTATTCTTATTAAATTAAGCCTGCTAATTTATAATGTGATGAAGGAAATTTAATTAAACACATTAAAAGTTCTCTATGCGATGTTTCTTATTAAAACCTAGGGTAAAGGGACATATTGCTTATTAAAAGCTAATTTTAATCTTTTCTTGAAAATTTATTTCAACATAATCTGTTAAAGAAAACATTCACTGTTATCAAATTCATTGTCAAATATTTAAATTTTAATCGCGCTACGATTACTTAAACAGCCATTAAAACAAAAGTTTGAGTTGGTTCCACGTATGTTGATGATGGATTGCAAGTTGTCTGATGGCCAATGTCCTAGTTTTAAGGACAAAAGTTTTGTCCTGATGTATTCATATTATCACTTGCTAATGTGCCATAATATTATTATAGATAGATACAGCAGAAAAAAATTAAACAATCTGAATACTAAGACATCTTTTCATCCTCAATAATTTCAAAATCGATTGTGGACCAAAGTTGCATTTGTCGTCTATTTGCAACTAAAATGTCTTCATTTGTGGGATGACAATTTAAAGATTGAATGACTCCACCATCTTTATTTATTCTTAATGTGTTTACTTGTTTTGCTTCAAGAAAGTCCCAGATAATAACACAACCAAAGGAAGATCCTGAGATAATATGTGAATCATTTTTAAGTAAACCACATTCAATTTTATAATCCTTCGGTAAATGTCCGCGATATTCTGATAATGCTTCACCTCCATCGATATCAATCAATCGAATTACACCATCTTGACATGAAGCAAGTACGCATTGTTCATCGGAAGTCATTGTCACAGCTGTTATTGGCTCCCCAACTTTATCACATGTTAATTCACCAGCTCGTAAGTCATAATGTCGAATGCATCCATCCAATGACGATGAGATTATTTTATGTTCAGTGACAATCAATCCTGTGATACAGTCTTTAGCCTCTTTTAATGTTTGAATTGGTTCCAATGCTCTTGTTCGGATATCGAAACATTGAACTGTATTATCTCTACTGCCACTAATTGCCACGGACGAGTCTTCATTGAATTTAACACAACTTACAGCCCCAGCATGAGTTCGAAGTCTTCTTACTGGTAATCCTGTCGAAACATCCCAATATATAATACTTTTATCAGCTGAACCCGATAAAATAAATCCGGAATCACAACTTCCAACTGCATCATTCACTTCATCTCCATGACCGGCATAAGTTTTAATCATCAAACCATTTTTAGGATTGAATAATTTTATTTTCCTGTCAGATCCACATGTTAAACAATAATTCCCATCAACATTATATCTAACTGCTCTAACTGCACCTTGATCGCACTCAAATGATTTTTTTAATTCATAGTTCATTTTAATTCTATTTTGTTTGTTTACAATTTTTTTCTATTTTTTTAAAAGTTCAACTTGAAGTTAGTAGCGAAACATTCTTATGGGAATTTAAATTATTTCCGTTTGAATTTGTCAAAACTCAGGCAAAGATTTTTCCTTAATAACTCCTTAATTATGCACTTTTAAATAGAATATCTTGTACAAAAATTAGCAGTTTTACTACCTCTATCGATCGTCTGAAGATATCTTATTTAAAAGGTATTTCCTTAAGGAGTTTTTAAATGAATTAACGTTTTATTATCTTGACTCTCTTATTCCAATGACATAAATATAATATAAAAAAGCACTTAAAGCTAATATTATTTATATTTATTAGAAGCAATCAATTTAATGGAAAGATTCATTTGTGAATATTAATATTTCGGACATGGCAAAGATTGCAAGAATATTTTGTTTAATTTTTAATTCTCGGAAGAATGAAACCATCAAATGATTTGTTGAGATGTTAATCTATCACAAGATTTTGCCTTTTTCCAATTGCATACAAAAATATAAAATATTTAGTCCAAACTCGAACTATAACTAAAAATAATTCAACCATGATTAACTTAAATTTTAAATATCCCCTGTAAGTTAACTTAAACTTCAAACAAACAAAAAATAACTAGAAAGTTACAAAAAATCTCCAATAAACTCAGAATGAACAAAACCTTTAAGCATTAAGTTTATTTTTGACGTGATCAGGAATTTTCTCCAATAAATCTTGATGATTTGTATGGCGTGCAGTGGCAAGGACTCCAGTTTTATTAGCATATTCAACATTTGGACCCTAAAAAAATAAAAACGATTTAGTTCTCAGAAGATTTATAAATATATTACAAAAACATCTCACATAAGAATAATGCTTTCCAAGAATATCTGTTAACACGCCACCATCTGCTTCTAAAATTGCTTCAGGAGCGCAAGTATCCCATTTCTTACAACCTGGTGAAGCAAACACATAGCAATGTGCTTTACCCTCCAAAAGCTTTCAAGAAATAAAGAAACCATTAAATATTTTAATCATTTTTTCAACTTAAGTGTTGTTTACCTGCAAAACTTTGAAACCACATCCACCAACTCGAAGCACATCATCAGGTCGAATGGAATCAAGAGTCGTCTGAACAAGCGCATTTGAATGTGAACGTGTTGTAGTAATTATGAATTTGTTCTCAGGTGCCTTCTTGGAAGTATAGCCTCCAGTGCCAAGTTCCTTCATTCCCCAAATTGTTCTTCCAAGTTTCCCACTCTTAGCGCACTTAAAATAAGGTTGGTGTATGACACCACCAATTGACATCTCTCGGAAAGAGATTCCAATAAGAACAGTGACATGTTCAAGAAAACCATGCACATATTCACTCGTTCCATCAAGTGGATCAACCCAAACGCAGAGATCATTTTCAGTGATATTTATAAATGAATCTGGACATTTGTACTGTGATAAGAAGTTCTCATCCATGCCATTAATTATCAATTCTTTCGGTACATTGCTTAAGTCGGTGGCACCTTCTTCTCCAATAATCTTGAGTTTGGAATATTGTTTTGAGAGGGAGCCGATGATACACTTTTGGCTTGATCTGTCAGCTTCTGTTTGAGGATCGAAATCAGTATTGAGACCCTGTAAAGTTTTCAAGAATTTTTTTAAGTATATTTTTGGCCTTGAATGGTTTTTTGTAGTCATATGAAGAACCTTATCTACAACGCCGAGTTCTCCACGACTCATAATATCTCGAATAACCTCTCCAGCTTTTTCGGCTACTGTAATACTGCTAGCCTGTAATCAATTGATAAATTACTGTTGAATTATCACAAATAAACTGATATAACATTTTTATCAAAGACTTTTACCATAATTCTCATGATAAGTGCAGAATTTTGAGCCATCTTCACTGACAAATGACTTAGTTATGAGTGAAAAACACGAGTAAGACTATTTATGACTCTTATTTTAAGATAGAAATGAGCAAAAAGGTTAATTATTCGGTTTTTTAATAGTTTTTTTCTGTTCTTTATGACACCGATTTTTCTCTTAATTTCACTGATAACCAAATGTTTGCGTAACGAACGTAAACTTTTTTTACAGTGAAATGTCGTTGAAAGTAATAAACTCAAACGAACATATCTTAAATTACTATATGTGACGAAACAAAACTCAACTTGCAGACAAATATCTAATCTTTGCTCGTTTTTTTTCTAAAAGTTTAAATTTAATTATGATTTATCTGGTTCATCATTCTTGACTGTGAGTCAGAAAAATGACGTAGCTCTGACGTAAGAATACGTAAAGAAATTTGCAAATTTCGCGGTGTCGAAGCTCAATAATGTAAACAAAAATTTATTTCAATCTTGATAAATGCGGCTCAAGTTTCGTTAAACCTATTCAATCTTTCTGTTACAAACAATTTCATTGTTTATTACTAAAAAGTGTTTCATAATATAAATAAATTGAAATGATTCCTTGTTCTCGGATTGCGTTTCTGTTAAGAAGTCGCTTAGTTATCAATCAAATTTATTCTAAAAGATCATCTGTTAAATTTATACACCAAAATGTAATCCACAAAAACAGTATTCAGCAGATCGAACAGAATACCAACGAAAATAAAATTTACACCTTAAATGAAAGAAAGCAAAATGCTAAGAAAGAGGATGAAGCAATGAGATTGCTTACACACAAATTCAAACATTGTTTTGAGATCACAGACATTGAAGCCAAAAAGATTATCACACAACAAAGTAATTTATTAAAGTTACCATTAGAAGGAATAACAATGAATATTGAACTTTTATTTGATCAAAATGTGACATCTAAAAGTATAATTGAAAATGTTTGGGTTTTAGGAATGTCAGAAAGTAAGAATTTTATGAAATATTTTAAGTAAAATGATTAATCAAAAAGTGATTCCTTCTCTTAGAAAACCTTGTGGAAAAACTACATCTGATAAGAAGGATGGATCCAGGTGATATTAATGATTTCCTTCCACTTATCCGTGTGACAAAGCCGAAGCTTTTCCAAACTATCAAAAATGCAAGCAAAGAGAGGAACGTCGTTCCAGAAGGCAACAGAATTTATTATTTCGCAAAACGCTTAGATGTTGAGCCTTCTTTAGTGTCGAAGTATTTCTCAACTCACATGTTTATGTTTGAAATTAGTTACGAAATGCTTGTAGCGAATCTTAATATAATGCTGGAATATAAAATCACTTCAATGAGCATTCTTCGTGATCTTTGGGCTTTCAAGTATTTACCATCATCGATTAGAGTTCGCTTAGAGCGTTGCAGGAAAGCTGGAAAGAGGAACTTGAAGCCTTGGATTATTCGATGTCCTGAAGAAGTTCTCGACAGAACTTTGACATTGTCACAAGAGAGTAAAAGTTTGTTGGGCGACAATACCATCGTGGAATATTTATCTGAGAGACTTGGGTATGACATCCCTACAATAGAGTTGATTGTTAAAAAGCACACATTAGTCTTGAATATTCGAATAACAAAAGTAAATTCCTTTGATTAATTTTCTTACATAAATTTTAATTAAAACCTTCTCTTTTACAGGTAAAAGATGTACTTGACTACCTCCTTGAAGAAGAAAAGTTTCAACCCTTTGAAATAGCAAACAATGTAAGAATTTTATGTCATTCGCTTGAAACAACAAAGAAAAGAATTGGAGAATTGAAGAAACATGGATGTCGACCATCTTCATTAGTGATCATTTGTAAATCGCAGTCCGAATACAAAAAATTCCTACGAAATTGGATTGAAAAACGAGACGCTATGGGAGCGAAAGGAAAGTTTTGATAACACAAATTAGCCTTAATAAAACTTTTATTTAGAAATATCTAAAATTATATAATTAAAAAGTTAAACAACCATTTTCGTCTTCACAAAATGAGAAAAAGTATTGCATTGTATGTGAAATACTGCAGCAGCTAATCTCACTTGAAGATCTTGTTGATTAAGATCATGAGCCCACTCAACTCTACCCCAATGTCCTAATTGGAACTCTTCTTCGAGTCGTGATAAAAGCACAGCTTTTTCAGGTGTGATAAATCGATCGATGCAAGCAAAAGCAAGAATCACTGACTTGACGGTTTCAACAGCGAATTGAATTCCATGAAGTGCCGTCATGTCGTGTGATTGAAGATATTTCGCTATTTGCATTTTTGCGCCTGATGGAAACACTGGAGGTGAAATATTAACTGTTTTCTTCAGATCAGTGTCATAACGTTTGTTAAACCATTCTATAATTGGATCCCATTGATCGGTTTGAAGTTTGTACAGATCCGCCTCAGCTTCATTGTGAAACAAAATTGTGTCAGTTTCAGCATACGAAAGGAGATAGTTGATTATATCAAGTTTTGTTAAATTATTTGGGTTGTCAATAACAGTGTTACTAAGAGCTGTTAACATCATCCTCGACCTTTCAATTGTTTCCTTTTGTGAATTCCATTCATGGGCGATTGCAAGGGCTAATGGTTCACTTTCTACTGTAAATAATGTTCCTTTGGGTGTTTTGAGCTTTCGTTGATCTAAAGTGATTTCATATTTTCCATCACTAAACAAAACACTTGAGCTTTTATAAAAACGTTTTGGAGCCGAAGCTGAAAGAGGGAAAAATCAAAACAATTTTCATTTTCCGACATAAAATGAGTGATTTGCTTACCGTAAAAACGTTTTTGTATAGAATATGAGAATGAAGGTGACAATGGCTTTGTACAATAAACAATTTTAGTTAAAATTCCTCGAATCATTTTGAATAAAACGATTTAATGTTAAGTTTCTGATAAATGTTTTAAATTTCTTATGAATGAACCAAATATTACAGTCACAAGAAAAATATTGAGCACAAACGTCTGAAACTAACGTTAACAAGAAATGAACGTAACGTTTATGTATGACTGCAACATAATTACGTAATTATGTTTGTTTTTACAAAAACAAGCAAACAAAAGCTTATGTTGTTAAAGAAAAGTTTATTTCTGGGATTAGAGGGGAGTTTTAATTTATTAATTGGTGAATGAAATCAATTCTGTTAGAAAAAAAAATTCAATTTAATCCTTCAGATTGCTTTTAAGAAATGTTATGAATCATTTTAAATTCCTTGATGAATTCTTCCCAGTTGGTTATTTTAGAATCTTCATCTATTCGACTCCAGTTAGGTGATTGTTTATCAGTTGAAAGCCAATTGAAATCACCAATGTTTTCCCAATTATTCACGCTTCCATCAAGTCCCGAAAGTTTTAAATTATTCTCAAAATCATCAGAAACTTCGGCGCATGGTGCAAAATAAATTTCAGTGCAATCTTCAATAATTGCTCGTGATGTGACGAAAAGATAAATGGTACAAGACGTTGAAGAATGAAGACGGAGTTGTTGACAAGCAAAAGAAAATGTGCAACTTTTACAATTATCACCAAAAATTGATCTCGCAACTGGATTGCAAATCACTAAGCAATTCTTCATTTTTGACATTTGTAATGAACCTGGATGTCCTCTTATAATAATCACACAGTTCTCCATGTCCTTGAATGTTAAATCCTGGTTATTTGTTTTATCAGAGTTGAGCACTATGACTAGGTTTTTCTTTTCAGCATCGGTCCACTCAAAAGTTTTTTGCTTGGATTCCTTTTCAACTTCAACAACTTTTGTTTCTGTCTTCTGTTGGTTCACCGCTGGTTTATTTTTAAATCCAAACTTCTTTTTAGGCACAATTCTTGCTTTTCTTTCTTCAGATTTTGTCACCAAGTGATTAATGATATTCTGGCATCTCTGAATTTTATGATCATTCAGAAAAATTGTTGAACTTGTAAAGTAGCGTTGAAGTTCTTGCAAATCTTTAGCTATTGAAGTAAATTCTTCTTGCATTAGAATAGAATCACCACCGGGTTGAAGAGTGTCAAAGCGAGTTCCAATTTCGATAACTTTCTTATCAAAGATTGAATCGAAATAATCGATTCCTTCCAATTCAGATTTTTCTCTACGATCTCGTTGATTTCTTTCTTTAATTAATTTCCTTTCCCGATCCCGTCGAGCCATCATTTCCAAAACAGGATTTTTAAATGAAGTTTCGTTCTCCATTTCTAATATTTACTACGGTTTTACTTTAATTACTTCAGTTTATCTCTCGTTTTGTTGGTTGTTTAGGAGCTTCTTGATCAGATGTTTTTGATTCTTTTTTCTTTAAATAAATTGGTGTTTCTGTGACTGATGCTTGTTTAAGTTTTTCAAGGAATAATGCTTTCTTTTTTTGACTTTCTCCAGAACTTGGATCTGAGTAACCTGTTTGTGCAATTTGTTTTTTCTTTTCTTCAGATGGTTCAGTTAACTTCAATAAAATATATCCAAGTGATCCAAAGGCACCTATATATACGAAAGATTGAAAAATTCTTCCTGCCATCAATCGAAATTCTAATTTTCTTTGTTTTTCAGTGCTGTCCAAACTTCAAGGTCTGCTAAACGAGCCTGTTTTGTCTCTTGAGCCTTACCAAAGTATTCACCTGTCAAAATGAGTCATAAAAATATTGCTCAAAGTATAATTTATTGCATTTTTGATAACTTACCAACTTTATAGTAACCCTCAAGAACTACTGGGTAGTTTGTATGGAAATAATATCGGAAATCTATTGAAAAAGGCACAATAATGTTTTATTAGATGAATTTTGAAGGCATATTGCGTTGTCAAAAAAACACATGAATTTTATCTTACCACGACTAGTATTAAGTTTATACCATGCAAGATAGGTACCAGCAAACGCAGCAGTTTCGGCAAAGATAAGAAATGCAGCTGTTTTCTTAATTAACCTGAATAATTGCGGATTAGGTTTTTTCAACATTCTCAAAACTCACCAGATCCGCAGTTGTGACAAGAATATTGAACACAAAACTTAAAGAGATTCGTAAAAATCATCCAAAATTACGTAATTACGTAATAAACGCAACAATATACTGGGGTATGCAGGTATATCCCTCATATAGTTGCAAACCCACCAAAACGCAATTGGAAAAATGTAAAGTTTTGAGTTAAAAAAATCAAACCATAATGGATATAAGCAAAATTAGGGATCTTTTTCCATTGGTGTCATTTGAAAGTGTGATAACATTATTCAAAAAACAATTGGAGGATAAAGATAAGGATCCAGATTTGAGTTTGCTTTCAATTTGTTTGGGATTCATAGAAAATGTCCTTTGCAAGGAAAATACAAATCGTTCAAATACATTCCCAATTCTCGATTATGAGACAGTCGATACTCTTTACAAAAAGTTTAAATCGATTGTTGCCATTGCCGAAACTTCATTTCAACAATCATCAGAAAAGAAGTCGAAAAAGAAAGATGATAATAAAGAACCGAAAGTAGCGACGAGGGAGAAAATTAAGAAAATTTCTGATGTCATTTGGAATTCTCTCCTCCGATCATCCTATAAGGATCGAGCACACTTGCAAAGTGTCTACAGCTATTTGACAGGAAATAAGTTAGATTCTTTCGGTGTTGCACTAGTAACTGTCGCCGCTTGCCAAATCCTTAACTACAAAGATGTGCATTTAGCTTTAAGCGAAGATCATGTGTGGATAGTGTTTGGGATAACTGGTGAGTCATTCTTAGGGGAAAATTCATGATTGCATAATATTTGGAAATTTTAAAATGATACATCAATTTTAGGAGATGAAACGATGGAAATAACATGGCATGGAAAAGGAGCAGAAGATAAGCGAGGACACTCAGTGATTCCTGGAATAGAAGCTCAAACATGGCTTTATTTAGCTGGTCATCCAATCATCTGCACTCGCTATACAGAACTCGCAGCTATGGTTTTATCCTTAAACCCTCAACTTAATCAAACAAGCGTTTGTGCTGAAATTGCTGACTTACAACAACAATTATTGTGGATTCTCTACGATGCTGGCCATTTATCAACTTATCCAATGGGCATAGGAACTTTGGGTGAATTAGAAGAAAGTCATCCAACAGAGGATCGACCGAGTTGTGAACAGTTGTATGAAGAAGCGATTCAATCAGCAATCACACATTACAGTAATCATCATGTTTATCCATATTCATACAAAGGAAGTTATTATTATCGTCGTGAGAATTTTCGTGATGCATTTCGATGTTGGGCTGATGCTAGTGATGTCATAAGATTATACAATTATTCTCGTGATGACGAGGAGATTTATAAGGAATTTTTGGATATAGCTAACGAGCAGATTCCCCAAATAATGAAGACGGAATCGAGCGGTCATTCTGCAAAAAGCATTCTAAGAGATCCTTATTGCTTTGGCAATCTTTTAAAGTTCTACGATGGTATATGTCAGTGGGAGGAAGGTTCACACACTCCCATTCTGCACATTGGATGGGCAAAACAACTCTGCTATACCATATCGAAATTTGACTATGATATTCGATCTCAAGTTAAAATAATTATCAAATCTGATTATGATGATGATAATAATAATAAGAAGAATGAAATTTGTTCAACGAATGATGAGCAAAAGCATGAAGCAGTGAAGAGTCCCAGTAGCAACAATAGCGAAGTAAAAACGATTGAATTTCCAATGTTGCCATCACTTGAAGAACTTACAGTCGCATGTGGCGAGAAGATTTTAAATCCCGACTTTTTATTACATGGTGGTGGAGTTCCATTTACAGATCCGACAGCTGATGATTGTGAGACGAAATTGAATGGAAATCATGATAAGAAAGATGAAAATATGAAATGTGAAGAATCAATGAAAAGTCCGAAGATTGAAGAAAAAGTTTTCTCACCAGCATCGAGGGAAACTCTCGCATCACCACAATCGATGGCATCTTCACAACTTGCATCACCAAGCACAGCTTCGGTAGATGATAATAGAAGTGAAGTTTTGAAATCGGAAGAGGATCAAAGCAATGATACTAATAATAATGGCAAGTCGGAACATTACGATGATTTTGAAATTAACACACCAAAAAAGCCGATCATAGCGTTGAAGTCGAGGAAAATGAAAGGATTAAAGGATCTCTTGCTGGCTGAGAAGCTCAACACGAATGCGATATCACTTCAAATCACAGCACAAAGTCACATTGGAAAGAAGTCTCGCAGTTCAATCGGTATCGAAGATAACGGAGCTGATGCTGCGCGACCTAAACGATCAAGGAGGGAATGAGACGGGTTTTTCTATGAAAATCTTTGGTTCCATCCTTGACAGTAAGTTTAATTATTAATTATTTAAGATGACATCAAATTGTCATCTCTAAAAATTTTGTCATGCTTTCGTTTTCATTTTTTTTTTAAATTCTTTCGTTGAAAGTATTTTCATTACTTAATGTTTTTGATTACAAAAACCGTTTTGATATTTATTCGAACCTCTTTGAGAGTTTTTTTTTCGAAAAATTAAAAAAGTTGAATTTTCGTTTTCGTTTTTGGCATTTTAATTGTTTTTATAGAAAACAAAATTTTCAAATCTTTCGATTTTAACTAATTTATTTGTGAAAATATGAATTTATTTTGATGAAAGCAAACAATTGATGTTGAATAGACTCCAAAGTACAAAAAAAAGTTACAATTCAAAAAAAAAAGATTTACAAAATTAAAGGTGGAAAAGAAAACCTTTTTGAAAAGATTAACAATAATAATAAATAATGAAGCAAAATTTTGGCTTTTTATACGCAAAAAATATAAATTAAAAAAGATATCAAGCTAAAAAAATATTTTTGGAAAAGAATTTTTTTTTCATTGGATGATAAATGAAATTGGACAATGAATTTGATGGACGAAAAGTAAAAGATTGGAAATGTTAACGCATCGGACGCAAATTTTTGTTAGTTTGATTTGATACTCAGATCAAAAGTGGAGTCTTTACTAATTGAAATGACTTAGAGTGTCCAAATTTATTACATAAGATACATGAAAATGAAAGAAAACATTGACGATGACGAAGAGAAAATTTTTCTGTTTTTCATACACTTAAATATGAGAAAAAAGCTTAATATCGTTGAAATTATTTGCGAGTAAAGTTTAAGCATCAACTTTCAGTTAGTTTTTAAAATTGTTGTCAATTCCTGTCCAAACCAAGACTCGTCTTTTGTCGTATTCCTTTATGCAAAGAGTTTTCCATCTTTTTACTTATATTTTATAACGTTTTAAGATCTATCTATCATGCACCTGTAATCAAAATATTCTTACCTCAACTATTTTAATGATTTTTAATTCTTCAATGAAAGTTTAGTTGTTGAAAGTATTTTTAAAGATAATTCATTTTATATTCTAAAGCTGGAGTTATTCTCATGCTTGATGATCATGGAAAGAAAGTTGTTGTATTAGCTTGTCCAGTATTAAATAAATGATTGCAAATTGATATGGGATGAGATGAAGTGAAAACTCCTATCTAAAGTTTTATTTCCGACAGAATAATAAAATAAGTAAGAATCTTTTATTTACGATTTAATTAATAGAATAGCTAGCAATACCTTGAACAGGTTACATCCTTAAAATCTTACATTTTTTTAATTTTTTTCTTTATCTGTCACTTGATGTACAAACTCCTTACATTGGAGAAAACTAAATTCCAAAAAGAAAGAAAGAAAATTTACTAAATCGTGTTATCACTGAATTTCTAGGATAATGTTTTGGATTTTTATGAATAAGTTCAAGTTTGTTCGGTAAAAAGTGATTAAGGTTTATGTTTGCTTATCTAGAAGCCCTTAAAAATATTAGAAGGGGAAAAATAAAATTAAAAACATCATAAAGTTACATTTGGAGTCGAAAAAATTTTTGTTGACGTTACTTTTTGATTTTCTTTGATAGAAAGTAGTCCTTAAGGAAACTGTGATGAAAAAAGAGAAGAAACTTGAATGAATGGGCATTTTTTAAACGGATACCTTAATAATTTCACACATTTCTAGTTTCTGTTGCCTCTAAAAATCAATCTTTGCAAATTTTGAATCATATGCAGCAATAGCAATGTTTTCTGCCGAATTAAGAAATATTCTGAAAGTAACTCTTGTTTATAAATCAGATCTTAAAATGATGAATATTTAATAACAAACAGAAGAAATGTCAAGCATTAAATGTATCCTAATAAGATCAATTCAATAAATAAAAAATCTGCAATGGTAGAAGTGCGAAAATTTATTTGTTTTCATTAAGAATTTCCTTGGCTGAGAAGAAATGTCAGCGAATTGTTTTTCAGAAGGTTTGTCAATTTTTTAAATTGGAATCTACAACTACAAACACTGCTGGTTTCTGTGACTACGAAAGCTGCCAAAACAATAAAATTCAATTTAAAAATGTCTTGTTCAAAATATTTTCTCATCTTTTCAATATTTTTATGTTTTACCTTTCAACAAATTGAATCTGATGATGAGCGACCATTTCTGAAGGTTGTAATTCCAAACTTACGTTGCAGTAACAGAAATGAAAGTCAAAAACTGGAAACTGATAAAGTTTCGATTGCTTTACAGACTTCAAATGGTCAAAAGTTGCGTTATTCGATTTTAATTGACTTTGAAATGTTAGATGGATTTAAAAATCAGAGACATACGCTGACGATCTGGAGGAATATCAAAAAACTTCAACAGAGGCTTATAAGTAATGCCGACACAATCTCATTGAAGAATCGAATCGACATCAGTGCAGCAGAAGTGAAAAATTGAATTAAATTTGTTTTTACAATTCCATGAAACTTTTCGTTACTTGCAGTTGACGCCACAAAATGTTTACAAATTTCGAATCATTGGCATTGACGATAAAAATCATTCAACTGAAGTTCGAAGCTTCAACATTACATACAAAGATGGTGAATTGAAAGCTCAACAAGAAGGAGATGTAAGAACGTTTTGAAACTTATTGTGATGAATGAGTTGATGAATTTTAATTGTTTCGTAGCTGGCCGATGACATTTCGTTGCATATTTTGGCTTCTGATTTTTATTACGACGATATGGAAATCATACTAGTAGCGGTTGCTTCTTTCTGTGATGAGTCTAATGACTTTTATTATCAATGGTCATTCAATGGACTCAATGGAACTGACATTAAAGATGTCAAAGGAAGTTCTTTAAAAGTGCCAGCAGGAATTTTAAATTCAGAAAACTCTCTCGATGTTAATGTGACTGTTTTCAACAATCTTACTACGGCTCTAGCCTTTGTTAGTTTTAGTTAATTTTTATGATATAAATAATTATTTTTAATTGAAATTTCAGGCGACAAAAACGATAAAAATTCTTTCGAAACCTTTTGAGATTCAAAATATTCCCTCAGCATTGTCGATTGGAGTTGATAGGCAAGTTCCGATTCAAGTTATATTTAGCCAAAGATCATTCAATGACTTAAGTTCAGTTCAATGGACGTGCATGCAGAATGAAATTGAATGCCCAGAAAATTTACTTAACTCGTCATTTCTTACTCAACAATTGATTTTTTCCACTGAAGGAACTTACAACATTCGATCTGAAGTGACGTTGAAAGAATTGAAAAGATCTTCGACATCAAATGTCATTGTGAACAGAAATATTTTACCCCACGTTCAAATGAAATATTTCCCAACTCAACCTTTAAATGTTAAAGAAGCAAACGAAGTTGTCGTGACAATTGTAAATGTTGTTCCAAATTGCATCGCGCATTGGAATTTAATTGCTGGCGATGGTTTTGCAGATGCTAAAGAAGAAAATAAAGAAAAGTTAGAAAATGTTGGACTGATTGAAGTTAACAATATGGAAGAACAAGTTGATGAGAATAAAACGCTATCGAAGGATGTACATTTAAACATCTCTGAAGATATTCTTTCACCAAATGAGAAATACAAATTTCGATTAAATATTAATTGCCCTGAAGCACAAGTAAATTCATCAACAGATGAACGACACAACATCACATCGTTTTATGATATAATTTTGACTACAAATGCACCACCAGAAGTAATGACATTGAATGTTGAACCTGCTAATGGAATTCCAATGAAACAAATCTTTAAATTCTCAACCGAAGTAGCTCGTGATGTGTCGAATGATTATCCTTTGAAATATTCTTTTGGATATATTGTTGACAATATAACAGTGGACATTGGATCAGTTTATGACAACACTTATGCTTACACGCAATTGCCTTTCTCTGATGATATTCAAACATTTGTTGAAGTTTGTGACAATCATAAAGCGTGCAACGTGAGCTTTGGTCCGAGTATAAAATGTAATTTGGCATATGATTACACTGAAGATGAAATCAACTTCAAGTTGAATGAGTTCCAAGCAAGTTTACAAAGATTTGAATTTTCCAAAGCTTTTAATGTTGCTGTGAATTTTCTTTTAACTCAAAGAAGACTTAAAGGTGACAATTCAACAAATTATGAGATGAAAATAACTCAAATGTTAAAGGATGAATTGAAAATGTTGAAAGCATTAGAGCCGAAAGGTTTCGTTTATGAGGAAAAAGTTGATGAATTTGTGGACATGTCGATGAATTTGAAAAGTTTTATGAAAATCGAAGACGAAGTTTTTGTGGCAGAAATTTTAAGTTTGGCAGAAACTTTAAACAAAACACGAATGAAACGTTCTTTGGATTTGCAAAAGTCCCAAAGTTCTATAATTAACAATCATCATGGCACTGATTACATCAAGAAAGTTTTAAAATTATCAGAAATTTTACTCTCATCAAACAACGTGACAATTGTTGAAAAAGAAAAGAAAAGATTTCCAACGAAAGTTCGTGAATTTGTTGAAATGTTGTGTCAAGATCGAAATTTCAACATCAAAAATATTAAATCAAAATCAGTTTTAGTTGAAGTTTCGCGGGTTTACTCACCACAACTTTCTGTTGAGCAGCAAATGTTTCCCGGAAACCCCAAAGCAGCAATTTTATTTAGCAACTCAAATTTTCCTGATAATTTTATTTGTATTGGAAAAATTCGATTTGACAGTAAAATTTTCGATTTAAGTTCTTCGACTGATGACCCAACTCCAGTCTATGAAACAATTCTTTTAAATAATGATAGGAAGAAAGACGATTTAAAAATCATAAAGCCGGCAGAATTTTCTGACTCGGTGATCATGGAAATTCCATTGGAATTGAAAGATCATCTAACATCGTCGATGTGTCTGATATGGAAAGACAATCAATGGAATAACAAAACTTGTAGGAACTTAGAAAACAATCGTAATGACAGAATTACATGTAAATGTACGATTGATGGGATTTTTGATGGAATTATAATTAGGTGAGAAGTTGTAGAAATGTTACTGACGGTTTTTATACATTTTTAATCTTTTTTCTTGCTGTTAAGAGCTTTAAAGAGAGCTTCAGAAATAATTTCCTCAACTTCAACTGTTAAACAGGAAACCACAACGTCATCTTCAATTGTCATAGAAGAAGCAAGAACAGCATCAGCATCTTCAGCAGCTGTGCAAGAAACAACAACAGCAACATCTCCATCTGGTTCCAATTCATCACCATCAACAAATGCAACGTGTGAAACAATTTCAGGGTGCACATCACAACCCTTCACAACTTTTTCGTCATTACAATCAAATGTGAATGGAAATTTCATTCCAACTTCAGTAACAATTTCATCTCCTTTCGAAGTTACCTCATCGTCAACATTTTCGACTTCTATAAGTAATACAACGCTTGAAAATATTATTCAAAGTACCGAATGACAAATTCTTAAATATTTTTAAATATACTTCATGAATTTTTCCCTTAAATCTTCAGACGATGCATCAGTTAGCTGGACGTTTATTGCACTTTTAATCCTGTTCTTTGTTCTGATTTTAATTCTCTTTATTCTTCATAAAGTCAGATCATTCAAAAGGGGTCAAAATCACATGCCTGTGGTGAGTTTCAGCGTATTTCTTATGAATTTTAATGCTTAAATGCATTTTTTTTCTCAGAGAGAAGCCTCAAATGGAATAAAATATGCAAAATTTCATGACGAGTACACAATGCGAGGGTAGACGATGAATGCATCGATGTGATAAAATAAAAATGAAACTTATGAGAAAAAATAAATTTAATTGAAGATTAATTAAATAATTCTTTTGAAATATAATTTATCTCACTTTATTCTGATTTTTCATGATTACCAATAACATGCACACATAAATTTTCAAAGGAAAAAACATAATTATACGATATATGTATGTAAATATATTTTCTGATTCAAAGTTTAACTTTGTATCTCTCTTAACACACAAAATATAAGAATTTAAGAATTTTAAATAGATAAATTGCTTTTAGCCAATTTAAGTTTTACTTTCAAAATGTAATGTTCTTGAAATTTTTAATGAATCTTCAAAGTACTTTTCTATAATTATTCTTCGTGAATTTTAATTAATGTTATGATTATGATTAACTACAAATGTACTGTCAAATAATAAATTTAGGTAATAGAAAATGTTCAAAGAAAATGTTTGGGAATTAAAAATGTTTCATTTCATTTTTTTTAATGTTAATTAAATACTCTCTTTGATTATCAGCAACACTTGAAAGTGATAGACAATGAAATTGCTTTGTTTTATGTTTATTTCGGGCCATAACGTGAATCACCACGAATGCGCATAGCAAGTTGAATATCGCGCGGCATAATTGTGACTCTGAAATAAGAAACATTTACTTTCTTTCTTAAAATAAACCATAAGAAACTCACCTTTTTGCGTGGATAGCACATAAGTTCGTGTCTTCAAACAATCCTGTTATGTAAGATTCGGCGGCTTCTTGCAAAGCGCTCATTGCTCCAGATTGATAACGAAAGTCGGCTTTATACTTCAAAGAGATTTCCTTTACCTTAGGAAAGGAGTGAAACAATCAAATAATCATTTTATTAAAATTTAATTGTGTTGCTTACCAGTCGTTGAAAGGGAGCATGACGAATCAACAATTCTGTCGTCTTCTGATAGCGACGTATTTCCTTCAAAGCCACCGTGCCTGGTCTGAAACGTTTAACTTTTTTCGTTCCCCCATTCTTCTTTTGAGCGTTGCGTCCAACTTGAGGCAAATGTTTGCCTTTGGATCTCAACTCCTTTGTTTTGGTTTGGAGGATCTTGTAGACCTTTGGAGTTTTTCCTCCGGTTGATTTTCGAGCGGTTTGTTTTGTTCGAACCATTTCTTGAAACAGATAAAAGTTTGAAATTTTTGAAAGTCAAAGCATGGATTTTGTTTGTAAATAGGAACAATATGTTGTTGTACACAAATGTTGGCGCATTATTAAAAAAAAGTTGATTTTCTCAACTTTATTTTGATGACAGGCTCTAAAATTAAGTTTTAACAACTTACTTGTTTAATAATCAATCGGTTTCAACAAATATTATGTTTTGACAATCTTATTTTACACCGGTAAATAAATTTAAAGCAAAGAGATTTTATTTCACCAACTCTCTTGAATAAGAAAATTACGACGCAGTTTCTATAACAAAATGATGTTACATAGTGGCTCCATCTTAGATTTTTTTCAAAGTTCTCATATGAAATATTGGAACAAGTGTCGTGACATCATTTTAAAATGATTTCATTTTTTGAATATTGAGAGTCTCTACGAAGACAACATTTTCGTTGAATTGTGAAAATAAAATTCATATTGGCTATGCGACATTTTGCATTATTTTTATTACAAAGTGCTGAATGTTTTTTTTCGCTTTAAAAAAAAAGAGAGTAAAAATTTATACTGAAACGTTATGGAAAATGATTTCATAGTTTAGGTTTGACTATCTGTGGTAAATTTGATATTTATTCCCAAAAACTTATTTCACCGATACGAATCGAATGGATACAATTTTAACGAGCAGCAACTGAGCCTTGAGCTCCTTGAGCTTCTGGATTAGTGATACCAGAAATAAGCAATAGAATAACTGCTGGTACAATATACATCCAATATTTGGATAAGAAGCTCCGATTGTCTTTAGTTTCTCCTCGTTCTCTAGCCTCTCTTTCTTTTTCTAATTTTTGAATGAATCCAACTGTATCTGGAACTGGAGCTTGTTCAATGATCTTTAGGGTGACAACCGTGCTGAATTCATAAAGCTGATTGAGTGTGATATCGTTAATTGCTTCTGTGCTGCATTTATCAAAGATTTCTTCCAAATTTATTGATCTGTGATTGACACCAACGACTGCCAAGTTGTGATCAAAGTTGATAGTTATAGCATCATGAAGTTGTGAATGCAGCATGTGACACTAGAAATTATTTTAATAAACTTTGCTGAATATGTAATGGAAAAGTAATAATTTTAACTTACAGCTTTTGAAGATGTTATGAAGCTTGTTTTTATACCATCAGACCCAACAACATCGGCTCTAAGGCGATAAAATGTGTCTTTCTTTGCTAAATTCGTAATGAAATGACGATCCTGTTGAGTTATATCTTTTTGATTTATAACAAACTCTCCAGAGTTAATGCTTGAAACAGTTATGTTTCCACGTGATGTGAACACATTTGGATTGTCAACATCCAAAGCGTGAAAAAGTTGAACAGTCAAGTGGGAATCAAAATCAAAGTTTTGCTGAAAATAAAAAAATATGTGAAAAAACTTTGGACAATATGAATAATTTCAATTGCTTACACTGTAGACTAATGCAGATAACTGCATAAATATAAATGTAATAAATATGTAGCTAAAGTGAGTCTTCATGATGAATATTTCAAGTAAATTTCTTTTATAAATTAATCTTTATTTTCTTGAAAAATTATAATTTTTAATGTTTTCCAAGTTATGGAGGTTCGTTTCATGCTACTCTTAAGTAAAAACGCTTTTTAACAGTGTATTGATTTGAAAAAGACGTTTAATATTATAAAAACTATTCAAAGGCAATGTTAATTAAATTAGATATCTAAACAATTTTTTAATAAGCGTAAGTGACATCGTTAATTGTGTAAATTAAATTTCAATTGCGTCAGGAGAAAATTCTAAGCATTTTCTACAAAATTAAACGAGCAATACTTTAATTAAATTGAATTAATTCTTTTACAATTATTTTATACATCGTAATTTTAGATAGATCAAGTGAAAATCCTCTGGAAAATTCTTAGTAAAAAATTTCTCTAGAAATGCCTAATTGTCGTTGATTTCTTGATATCGTTATCGTTTTGTAAAATATTCCATCTATTAGGTTAAAATTGAAACTCTATTATTATTAACTCATACATATTTCGCAAATAAATTGCAAATACCCGTGAAATGCACATGAGAATTAGAAGAAAAAGTATTAAGTGTATCAAATAACTATATTTTGATTCTTATCATTTCCACGCTCTCCATCTTTAATACATCTAAACTTTGTTCTCCCACTCTCAAATGTGAAGATTTGAAAGTGTTAGTGAATGAGAGAGACTCGTAATCACGAATTCTCAACTTTTAGTTTTGCGAAATTCATTCCCATTCGAACCGCCGAGCAAGGAACAAATCGTTTTAAATTTTTAAGTATTCGTGAATAATTCGTTTAATAATCCGTGAAAAAGTGTCCAGTAAAAATTTAATTTCCTTAAGTTATTATTATTTTGGTTCTTTCGTTGAAATTATTTACAATTTTAATTTTTTCAAGTATTTTATTTTGATTGTCAGACATTTGGTTCGGCTGAATTTCAGTGTTTGTTGGTGTACAGAACGCAGGAAAATATAAATCGTACATACATAAAAGTAAACTTTCGGTATCTCGCAATATAATAACAATACTTATCAGTGTTTGTTGATTAATTTACTTCGACTGGTTGGTGAACTACACATCAAGGTGTTGAATTTTTTCAACCAATTACAAAACTATTAAAAATAGATGGCTCGATAAAAATCGGTGATAATTAACATCCTGATAAAAAGAATGCATAAAAAGCAGTGATTTTGAACGAGTGTAAGACAAATTTGAAAAGAAGAAAATAATTAATAAACAAACAAGAGTTGAAGTTGAAGAATTAAATTACATTCTTGAACCATACATTGTGTGTAATTAAATTTATTATTCAAAAGTGGAGAAAAGAAGAGAAAAGAAATAATTGATTCAGAACAATGAGATCACACAGCAATCTAGACAGAAACGAAACGAAATAGAACTAGCGTATTTATATCGTCGCAGTAATCGTGTATTCGAAAGAGATAGAGACAGAAGAGATAAATGATAAAACCAGATTCTAAAAATAACATTCGCTGCTTCAACGAAGAAAAAAAATTATTTTAAGCATCTTATCACGTTGCCTTGTATAAAGAAAGGAAATCAGAAGAAAAATATTCTGTTCTGGGAAGCGTAAATTTGTATTTGTTTATAAACTTCAAAAACGAATCGAACAACTATCTTACTACCCATTCTTAAAATCTTCATTTGATAAAGGATATTTTCAGACAAAAGAAGGAGAGAAATCGTCGAAGTAAACAAAAATCCATTGAACCTTTCTGCTTAAGCAAATATTAGATTTCTTTTTCCTTTGCTCTTCTAAAGTTTTTTGGTCTAAAGAAGAAAAAAATTCACCCTCGAAAAAGAGCGCAGAGACAAACACACAGAAGCAAGAAAACGACTTCATAAAGAAGCAGATGTTGAGAAAGAACAACAAGAAGACAAACCACTGAAAAATTAAAAGCTGCTTGACTCACACAATCAAAGCGCTAAGAAAACATTAAAGGCAATATAATATCTTTGCTTGCATGCTTGCTTGGATGAGTACTGCAGCACACATCCAGATATCCAGAAATAGAACATAAACAGCAGACGAAAATCTCGCATATAAACTCGTTGAAAATTATTTTATGTGTCTCCAAGTTTTCTCAGAAAGTACTTCTTCAATATATAAACATCAAGCAGACTAGAATCCTATCACACAACAGTGTTTGTTACTTCTTCCTCTGAAACACATAAATTTTCCCCCCTGTAAGAAATAAAAAAAAACTATTGAGCGGTAAAAGAAGAGAAAGAAGCGGAGAGTATAAATTGAAATTTAAGAAATCTTAATGCAACAGGGAAGAAATACGAAGAGAAGACGACGCAATAATAAGAATAAGAAACATAACAATAAGCGCTGCTCTTCCGTTTTGATACGTTTTACATTTTATTTTCCTCTCTGTTCAAGGGAAGACTTTGTTGTCCCAATCACTTGCCTGTGTAGTTAAAATCTTCTAGCAGGATAACAGGAGTAAATACAAAACGAAGTGAATATCTTTTTTCTTTCGTTTCTATGTGTCGAACATTATAATCAGACAGAAATCTTTATTTTGTTGTGAAGGAAAATCCCTCCATTCTCATATAACATTTTGTGTAACATTAACTATAAATACGGGGGATAAGAAAACAGAAGACAATTGATAATTAAAGAAAGAGTAATAATGCAACATCGTCATCACCCGTGAAAAAGAAAATGTTAAAAAATTAACTACGCAAAAAAATAAGAGTATAAAAAGTGTTATTTTTTTGGATTACGACGATTTGGACGTTTATAGACGATCAACCACGTTAGAAATTCGGAAAACATCATCATCATCACTCTTGTATGTATGCGACGCTGACAAACGTGTAATTCATGTGTTTCCGTTGTCTTGAATGTGCGATTAAAAATATCAGAAGACAAAAGATTCCCAAAAGTGAAAAAAAGTTTATTTTAACATAAAAAAAATAAAATACAATTGTTGGATGTCTTATTTTATTCCATTTTCAACACAACTCGCCAAAACGATGGCTTTTATCATCATCTGCGTGAACAAAAGCGAACATAACAATGTTGTGAATGGATTAATGTGATAATAAAATCCAAGTTTGATAATTACGAAAAAAGAAGGCAAGAATAGAAAAAGCAACTGTAACGAGCGAAACATTTTTCTTTTTTTTCTATCTGTTATGTGTAAAAAACAGCAGAACTAAAAAGGACAAGCTTAAGGCCAACTCGTTTAAGAAAAAAATAAAATATCGATTATTTTCTAGTGCCTCATAATTGCATGTGCAATTAGAAAGAAAAAAACTTTTAACGTGAATCTTGTGACAAGAAATTTTCAATCGATACGAGAAAAAAATATTAACTCAGCTAAAATGTATAATGTACCGCCAAAGTTCAATCAGATTTGTCGTCTATGTTTGACATTCGTTGAAGTTAATGGCTCTAGTTCCAGTTCTAACAACAACAGTGACGATTTTGTGAAAAAACTATCGATTTTCAATAACAACGTCCAACATCACATGAACAAAGTTGATAAGAAAAGCAGTCATGTTCATGATGATGATCAATTAAATAAAAAACTCAAGCGAAGCAATGAAATTTCAATAAGTTTGAGTGGTGGTGGAAGTGCGAGTGTAATCAATAATGGATTTCCGTCCGACGATGATGACTCAGAGTGGGATATTAGCAAGAGGATATTACAGTGTCTCTCCATCAAGGTGAGTTTGTGTTTCTCTTCTAAAATGTCAATTGTAAAATATTGTGAGGCTTCTATTTTTCATCAAGGACAGCAAAATTTCTCATTTAAATTTGTAGAAATGTTTGGAATTTAATATAAAATTATTCAATGATTATTTTAATTCAAAAATGATATGCTCGCTCGATTATATGAAGCAAACTTTGTTTTATAGTGTTGGAATGGAGAGTAAAAGTAAAAAACAAAGAAAATTGCACAACACATGAAACAGTTTATCGACGTCGTCCTTATGGCCTCACTAACACATCGAAGCGATATTTTTCTTCTTTTTTGCGATTATCCATTTTTGTCCACACAAAAACATAGAAACAAAAGAGCTTCTACTTCTTTTATCAAACTATTCTACACGAATAAATGATCTCATGAGATTCACATGTGTGGAATAAAGGAAAAGATTCATGAAAAATTGATTTATAAGAAGATTCTCTCTAAGGATTCATTGTACATAAACTAGTCGAAGCTTCTAATAATTATTCAAAGCAATATCAATTCTTTTTTTTACACATATATGTTAACGAACATGTTGAGTCGTCTTCCTATACAATCAAGCACATGGCGGCACATACACACACTCAGATGCTTAAGGGGTATGACGGTTGTTTTCTATGATTAAAGAACATTTTTGAAGCATTTATCGCTGATAAAAATGCTACGAACTCTTGCGAAAGTCAGAATGAATGTTGCATGAAGTTTTCGTCATTTTTCGCAATAATTTTCTTTCCGACTTAAAAACATTACAACTCGGGAATGCCACACACAGACAATCCATTGAACGAGGGAAGCTTCATACTAAATTTTATAGAATGACACCACTTTGAATAAAATGAAAATTCTTAGCAGCACTGAAATTTTCATCGATTTTCCTTACCCACAACAAAAAATCTTTTCCTTTCTACATCGTTTCGAAGCATTTTTTGATGTGATTTGACAACATTTCGCAGTCAATACAAGTATATAGAAGGTACTTACACATACTATCAATTGGATAATAAATACTAATTTAGATCTTTCCCGATAGATTACAGTTTCGGATTGACTTTTCTAGTAAAACTTTTTTTTGTTGCTTTGAGAAACACAATTGTCGATTGAAAGATAAAAATGTTTCAAATCTTATATAAAATGTTTATTACATATCAAAAAAGATCCTGTAAGACAAGTGTTGAAGGAATATTACACTAGGAAAACATTTTCTCTGATTATTGTTCAATAACAACAAACAATCAATCGATAAAAATGTTAAGCATTTAAAAATTTAGAAGTTGGAAACATTCTGTTGCTATGAAAGAGAAATGCGTTTTTGTTTTAACAAAATTTCACAAAGTTTTCTTCCATTGAAAGAAAATAAAATAAAAATTGCACTAAACATGCCCATAAAGATGTAAATTGTTTGCCTGATGGCATGTCACGTTGAGATGTTTAGGCTGTGATAATAAAAGGATCCCAAGAAAACGAAACGATGTGAGAAACCTATCAACTGTCCGGAGATCAAATATATAATGCATAAAACTTCCATTTCCAAAGCACAGAAACACGCCAAAAAATATTCTGTAGCAAAGAAAACAATCTGCAGGTAAAAATGCGATCGCATTCATTTCATGTGTGGGTATGAGTAAATCTTTTCGGATATCTTTTTATGTACAACACAAAGCAGCAATTTTTGTCATTATTCTTTTTTCTGTTCTCTCTTACTGTTAAGAAATCTTCTCGCTTGAAAAGAACAGAAGAACGGAAAAGAGTGAGAGACGAAGATGGAAATATTCTATTCAAGATTGATAATACTTCTTGGAAATCTTTCGTAGTGTATGAAATCCCCGAAAAAGTAAACTAAAATAAATCATACTTCGTTGTGCTTGTGCTGGTTTCGTTTAGCTTATTTTTCTTTAGGGTTCTATACAATGGATCGCAGCTTAAGAAATTTCGTTTAAATAGAGAGCGAGAGGGATTTATTCAGGAACCAGATGAACAAAAAAAAACTCGCATGACATGATCTTCGAGATCGGATTAAAAACCAACTCAACAGAGTAGAACCACAACGTTTATCACTCAAGTAAAATTTCATAAAAAATTGCGTTTTTAATCACAAACGGATAGGCTCTCTCGAAATAATTTTGGGAACGGTTTGTAGTTGGGAAGCTCAACAGACAGTTTATCAGACAAGCCCATGAAATATAAAAAAAGTTAATAAAGAAATCGTCATCAATGACACAGACGTATCATGTACGAGTTCGAAAAGCCATCACTTCAATAGCATCGTACATCACGGTTCGTTGAATTTCTCATTTTTTCTTCATTATACATGCACGGTCCACGAATTATAACATTAAAAAATGTAAAACAAAAAATAAAAAAGAGTACAATTCTACCGAAAATTCAATTTATATGAATTTCAAACAGGGTGAAGGAACGCAATCAAGGTGAATGATAAACCACATTTTTGTCTGTAAAGGTAATTTGAAAACAAAGCGCGACGATCTTATATCCAACCCTAATATTCTTCAATTCTTTCTTATTTTCACTCACCATTTTCGTCATGACTTTATTGATGATGGAAGTGAAATAAATATATGTAAGATATTGATATTAGTATGCTTATTTTCTTGGGCTTTTGTTTGCAAAGCCAGGGAATGAAGAAATAGGAACGACATAAAAAATGCGTCTCGGCTGATGATGATAAATGTTAAAGCATGAAGGGAAATGATAAATTAGATGAACGAATGGTTTTTATCCGATAACTGAATAGCTTTTGTTGCTTTACTTTGCCTTGCTTTGCTGTGCTTGCCTAAAAATGAGATATCTGAAGAGTAATCCTGAATATTTTCAAACTTTGATAGTTGTCTAAATTCTTTTATCGAGATTCTCTTTCTGTTAATAATTCTTCTTATAAATCGTAAATGTTCTCTTCTCGCACTATAATTGTTGCTCACTTATTTATAATCGAGAAAAGAAAAAGAAAGCAACGATTTTTTAATCTTCCATTACGTTTGATGAAGTTTTAAATCATCTACGGAAATATTTTCTTCTTTTTTTTTTTGATTCAATGGAAATATCGAAACAATTAATACTGAAGAGGGAACTTGCAAGATTTCCAAACATTTGCTTTTCTTTCTTCCGAATTATTATGGAACTTTTTAATCACATCAGACGAGAAAAGAAAAGAAAAAAATCTCTAAAAATCGAATGTTTACAATGATTAGGAGTTCGGGCACTACGTTCGATACACATATTTTTGAAAGTTTCCATTATTACCTCTGCAAATCATATTGTTTGCAGTTTGGATAATTACAATAGCGAGTAAGCGAGTGAGGGAGATGAAAATTGTTGTGCACTTAAAAATCTATCGTTTTTTTTCGGAATTAAAGCTATTGTTGTTTTGGAAATGCCACAATAATGGAGGAAGAAAGCGATAGTTAAGAAATGAAAGAGAGACTAACAGTGAAAACGTGGAAGAATTGCATAACACAACCTTTAGATTTAGTCGAATTTCGGATGTTGGCTTAATCTATAAGAAATGAAGATTAATAGAAAGATAAGAGCATTTGAAATTACAATATCCACTTAACTTTAAGGCCAATTATTCGCTTTTTCAGTTAACTAATCGAAAGCACAAAATTCATTTCCATATTTCACTTCTAAAATCATTATTGATTTTTTTTCTCCATCAATTAATTTGTGGTGTTCGTTTTAAGTAACACGATAATTTGACTATCGTTGAAAGGCCTCTTCAGTGAGAATCGAAATGTTACAACTAACGTAAAATGGATAAGGAAAGAAAACGAAAATAAGATGAGGTAAGATTTGAAAAAGTTTGTTCTCGTTTTCTCTTCTTATACAATTCCATCGTAGTTCTTTTTATAATTTTATCAATTTTTTTTATGATTATGGTGTTCATTGTAAGTCTTGTAAAAACTGGTACTGAATAAGAAATCTTTAAAAATGAAAGAAAGGTGGAAAAGGAAAAGACTCGGTAACGTTGCCTATGAAGTTATTTTTTCTTTCTTCTTGAATTATCGTCAGCTGGGTTCGTTGCGATCGATTTGTATTATTTCACTCTTTTCGGTTATCAAAATGGATCTTTAACGAAATATTTTTCATTTCTAACATCGTGAAATGATTACAGAAAATGTTTTAGTTGAATAAAAGTTCTAAAAATAATTTAGTGAGAAGCATACATGCATGCCGTTGTTTGGTGTTTTTTGTGTGTGTATGTGTTGCGCTGTATTAATGATAAGTAATTTATATTGATGACTGGCAATGGTAATAAAGATTAAGATCTCGTTTTTATAGCCGTTTGAAGTTTCTCATTTCGTACTTCCAAAAGAACAAAATTACGAGAATATTCTTTGGCGGAATGAAAACTTGTTCTTATTAATTTCGCACCGGCAATGACGTAAGCGGCACATTAACCCTTACTTAATCTCCCTCTCCTTAACTTCAATTGTATAAAAAACATTAGAACTATTCGCTTGAAAACATTAATTTAAGAAAATCAATATTCTTAAAATCAAAAAGAATTTTTTTTCTTGTTCTTGTTAGATTAGCGAGAGTTGCAGAAAAAGCCTCTGTCAAATTGATTTGCTTTTAGATGGCAAACACGCAGACATTTGGGGCTCTTTTATTGTTTCTTTATCCATGGTCTTCTAAGTCAATTTCTTTAGTAGCTTAACTGTATTGTGTGGTAATTCAAAAGGAACGACTTGAATTTTATTTTATATTTCGTATCTTTAGATATACATAGCTTATCAGTGTAGTTGTTAATGTTTAATTCCCAAGCCCTTGGACTCTTCCACCTCAACAAAAACTAATTCTTTATTTCCTCGATTTTTATTACTTCTTTTGAGAATTGGATTTGAGATGGAAGAAGAGTTTAACCATTGTAACAATTGTTGGAGTGGATTTTGGAATAACAAAACCAACACCAATGGCTCGAGGAAGAATTCTTCTTATGACTTGATGATCAAGCGATGGAAAAGAAGTAAAGAAAGAAAAGTAGAAAAAGTTTCTGAAACGAAATGAAAATGTTTTGTGAGTGAATGAAAGAAGAACGCGGGAACATTAACATTGGGAAGCAAAAATGAGATGGAATCATCTGATTTCATTTCTCATTCCTCTTTTCTTTCTCTACTTCTTAAGTCGAAATTTTCCCGCAATCATTTTTACTGTATGGGTTTTTCAATTATTTCTTGCGGGTCTCAATATTTTCACTACGAGATGATTATGAAATTCAATTTCACAAAAATGACCGAAACGATTTATCAGAAGTTATCACGATGATTTCATGTGCAACCCGCCCTGTTTCAGCTTAAATTAGCGTGACTTTGTATTGGTGTCTGGAGATTAAGAAAGTTCTCAATTAATTAAATATCTCTCAAATATAAAAAAGCATGAAAGAGAAGAAAAATAACTTCAAGTGCTTCGTGATCTTCAGTTGATCTTCAAAAAGAAGAAAAGAAAAAAAAGTTTCGAATTCTTTATCATCAGTTCAGAATCATTGCGTTGGTGGTTGTGCTTTTTTTTACTCTCAAATACTTCTTAGCTTCAAATAATCCGACATGGCTTTACATTTTATCAATATGGTCGACCAATATTAAATTTAATTAAAATATGATTCGATTCTGCTTCCTGTTCTAAGAAATGAACGTTCAAGCAAAAAAAAAAATTTTTATCTCAAGAAGCTGATTTTAACTCCTTAAATTATTATGAAGATAATAATAAATAAACGTATTAAATATTTTTAATATTAATTTATATTTCTAGTTAAAATATTATTTTTCGAATGATTTTCAATTGAAAAAAATTTTTTTTGACTTACTTTTATTTCATTTCTTCCATCATGAATCTCCACACGAAACATGTAAAAGAAGAATCAGATTTGTTGATTAAAGGCATAGATGAAAATCGACAAAGAACAGCGATCCAACATACCTTAAAAAATTTCCTTACTTCATGAAGTTTATTTCCTCTTCGTTGATTAAAAAAAAAAGAAAGATTAGTGTCTTGAGAACAAGAATGATTGTGGGAGAAGAATTGGGATGATGATGTAGCTAAAACTTATGAATAAATTTGTTTTGAATTCTTTTTTGAACTCTCTTAAAGATTTAAATCAATTCACCATGCGATTATTTTCGCTTCAAACCGATGATAAATATTCCCTGTATTAAAGCTTAACTGGTATTTGAATCAAAAGTAGAATTTATAACTTTTTGAAGGACTAGAATTGAGATTTATATACATAACATTCAAAGGAAGTTTGAGTTAGTTCCAGTGAGAAATCCTCAACTTTTACTTTTCATTTAATACGATTTACTTTTAAACTACAAATGCAAGCGACTACTCGAGTTTCTGCATATCATTGTCAATTTAAATATATTTTAAATATTTGCTTTCCATCAATACGAATGTGCAAAGTTCTCCGAGTGCACATATGGAAATCATCCAAAAGAATTTAGTTCACGAGATGTGTTTGCATTTATTAATTTTCATTCGTTTCATTCTACTTTACGAGACTACAAACATTTGTCGAGGATGTGCATGGTAGATAAACAGTTCAGAGAGAACAGCCGATGTTCAGTGAAAAATGTCTGAATCAAACTGTGCAATCTGACTAGGCAACGGATAAACAATTCTAAGTAGAAATAAAAAGTTTTCATTTAAAAGCTTTTTAATCGCTGATCGTTCAATTAAACTAGTTTATCTCTTTTAAAAGATGTGTGACCATGATTTTGCATATCAGTTAGTGATTTAAATCTTAAATTGTATCTACATTAGATAACTTGTTTATTATAGAAAATTTATACATCAATCTCATTTGTATTGATTTCTTTATCTCGAGGAAATATTGCAATCTTCTCATTTTTTATACAAAACTTTCTACTTAGAAGTAACTCGATATTTATTATACTGAATAAGAATTATTTCTTCAACACTGTAGATTGCGCACACATATGGCGTTGATTTATTTTCGCACAGTCTCATATCGCGTGTTTCAAGTGCATCTAATTGTTTTCTTTTTTCCTTAAGACAAAAGACAAAATAAAATGAAAAGTGAGAAATTTTGACATCAACCGCAGCGACGAAAAATTCCCTAGGCATTCGTCGACATGAAATATCACAAAAGATAAATCACGGAGTGAGAGAATGCATTTTAAAAATATTTTTGATGCATACATGCATGCCCATGATGTTGATGCCGAGGAGATATAAGATTTCTTAGCATTCAGTATTGAAAGGAAAGATTTTATGGGTTTTATTATTCATCGTTTTGCTGTTCATTTTAATACACTTCGGCTGTGTGTAAGCTTGAAACGACAACGAAAATTTTTATGGGGGCCTTGATATTTTTAGAACAATCTCTCATTTTTCCTTCTCTCTTCTCTGTAATTGTGCTGTAAGCTTCAACTGCTGTGAGATATCATATATGCATTTTTTATCTTTCCTTTCATTTATATTTGTTTCCCATCTTTTTTCAATCAAACCTTGTAGGAAAAGTATCGATTTCGAGAACATGAAAATCATTAAGGAAGAACAAGGAAGAATTTTTATCCTTGACTAAGTCTGAGATTATGGAAATAGAGTAAGAAAATTATGGAAATTGCTCAGCTTTTCAAAACTTTCTATTGATAAATAGATTTTTCATTAATTATTTATTCTTCATTTCAATCAACTTCATAAACATTATTTTGTTTTTCGAAAGCGATTGAATTTGATGAAATGGGAAGTAAATTAAAACATATCGAAAGCTCTTTTTTTATTAGAGAAAAGTAAAAATTTCATCATCTGACTTCTGAGCTAGAAGGCAATGTTGGTTGTTGGTGGAAACTGCTGCTGACTTTTGAAGAAATTTCAATGGCGATAAAAATAAATGGAAATTGTTGTTTCTGTTTCGTATTGCATTTTTGTTTGCACCTTTTCATCAACTTTAAATCAGTATATTTAATGAAGCAATTCAACATAAATCCAATTTTATATTTAAATTAAGTAAACGAAGCAAACACCATTTTCTCAACTCGCTATTATACATCGAAGAGTAGAGTAATATTGCCTTTAAAAAGCATAATTTATGTGCAAAACATGTGCAGATTTTCCTTCTTTTCATTCCTTTGAGTCGCTGTTGATTGTACATAACTAAGACTCGTTATAGTTTATGAAAATTTAAATTAAATTAATGGAGGAAAAAAGTACTTCTAATTAGATTTTCATATGCTCTATTCAGTCGAAGCGCTACACAAAGCCATCAAACGCCATTCACAAAAATGAGCGGTGAAATCGACTGCAAATTTAAATGCAATTATTTTAGTTTTTGCTTTCAACTTGCCAATAACTCGTCAGCTCGTCTCATCGGGAAAATATTTCTATTAAGTAGCCAATACATAACATGGATAAATGCATTAGCGAGGCTAAAGCATCAATTCTGATTTGTGGGATAAGAAAAATATTAAAATCATATAAAGACAAGTAGATAATTTGATGTTAGTATAGCAGATTATAAACTCACAAAGTTTATTAGTCAATTTACGGCTGTGAAAATAATGACAACGTACGATTACTGACATAAACTAGAACTAGAGCAAATATTTGCTCTTTTTATGATTCCAATTTAATTAAATAATTTTTATAATTAAGTTGAATTATTACTATAAGCGAAGCGATTGGAAGAAAAAGTTAAAGTTTCATAAACATTTTTGCTTTCTTCGATTTTAGAAATGTAATAAAAATATTTTTCGACTACGTCTATGTCTAATGCAATCTCATTAAATTTAGTAGCCTTATAATTGCGAAAAAAAAGAATGAAAAATTGATCTCAGAAAATTTTAGATCATTACAAGTTCATACATAAATATTAAGCCAGCTTCCTATATCGCAATCTAATTTTAGGTGTTTTCTTTCTTCACTTCAACCAACAAAGAAAACATTTGCTTTCTGTCTTTGAAAATTTCAGTGTGAAGCTTATGCGGAAACCTCAACATTGGATATAATTCGAATTAATAAAATTTCGAAATAATGTACCGTATTAAATATTTACGTAATGTTATAATTATATTTCTATCGTATTCTTAATTAATATTACTTTTTGATCAATTTGATCACGAGTCAAAATATTGATTTTGTGTGTAATATTTCAGAGCAAACATGACTTGAAGCTCTGTGCTGTATGCTCAAGTAAACATCAATTATCATTGCGTTAAAACTTTTCCTCTCAATTCAACACACTTTTCTTGAATGAAACAACAATTGTGGCCTTAACAAATGGCTTGAGAAATTGTAAATGAATTAAATAATCAGCGCTCTTTAAATCTACAAAATTTTTTAAATTGTTAGCTTTTCTTTCATTCGTTTTTCTGCAATTAACCGAATATCAATTTTTTCTGGTTGGAAATTTCTTTCCACCGAATCAATTTGAAACAGAAAAGTGATATTGCTTCAGGAAGTCAACAAAATGATGGCTTTGCGGTTTATTAAATAAACATATTTACAAGTTTCTAATGCGATATCAGTAAAACACCTTCGATCGATCAAAAGTGACTTACTTAGACTTTTAAATTTTCTATTAAACTGTATTTTTTTATTTCTTCCTGCCTCGCGCTCTCATTCGTCCTAAATTAAATTGTTTTGTCAACAACTCACATCAAAACTGGGCTTAAATTAATAAATTACCATACATTTGTATGTTGACGACGTTTGTTAGTGACTCAATTCAATCAAGAGACACAGGAAAGAGAATACTTGATGATGATCGTTGTCGAAAAGATTCTCATGACGATAATGAGATTATAAAAGAATATTCTGAGGGTTATGTCGGACGAAGGGACTTCATGTTTCTGTAGAGTAATGATTGATTTTTTTGGGCATTCGATATCATTAAGAACTTTACTTGAACTTAACATTTAAAACAACTTTTGTTAAGTCTGTAAGAAGTAAGTTTTTAAAGCAAAGACGAGTGTTTGAATTTCATTTTACTTCATTATTTCAACATGAAAGAAAAATATGTGAAGACGTTTTTAAGATTCGACAATGATAAGAAGATTTTATTTTGTGGTCGTAGCATCATTTAAACTATTTTTGTAGGTCTACAAAAAAGACAAGAACTTCTCAAGATTTTTTTATTTCGAAGCCTGAAAGAGTTTAAAATGATGACGAGGTAAAATATGAAGACCAAAGTCAATTTTCAGGTAGGTAGAGTGAGATAATATTTCCAAGCAGACAAATATCAATCATCGCTCGTGATGGAGAGCACAAAGGTGTAGGTGAACATATGCCGTCGTCCAATGAATATATACATATATGAATATTTCTTTCTTTTAATTCTCAGAAGAGATTTTTCTTAAAGACACGTTTTTAATCTTTAATAAAGCATTCATACTGAGAGAGTGATATCGTCATCATCGACATATCGCGTTTCCATCGTCGAATGTCTGCCTCGCCTTAGCCAATTCTCTTTCTTTCTCTTCTTCTACTAATAAAATTTCAGTGCTGGTTGTGATAAAAAAATAAAGATAATAAAATAAAGCACAATGATGGAGTTGATTTTGTTGATAACATTTAAAGTTTAAAAAATTTGTTCCTTTGAAAAGGTTGAACTGCTTCTCAATTGCAGTTGAAATACGCCTTGGTAATAATTACACTATAGCAATGCGTGCCCTACTAATTCAAATGATTTTGAGCTTTGAATCATTTGCCAATGCTACACAATTGTCACACGACTTTTAAATCAAATTGAAGTGTGACGAATGTTGTTTTCAATTGTTTACGTTTTTTTCTTTCATTTGAATATCAAAATTGTGTCTATTGATATATAATTAAATATTTAAGAGTCAACGAAAGAACGATCGATACTCAACCATTTACTTCAGTAATGGAAAGTTAAAAAGAGTATAAAAACTGCTTATAAAAAAAGCTTTAGTTCACGACTTTGCTGTCACACGAAATAGGCTGAATTTATTTAAATCTTCAGCATTTCATGTGTCACTTTTGCCATGATCTGTTTTATAGTTAAAATATGTTGAAGAAATCATTATTTTAAAAGTTTGTAATATCCATTCAGTTATCTGCAAGCTTGAGAGTCTCACAGTAAATATAAAGTTGAGTAAAATGTAACGATAAAGTGAAAATTTAGTAAGCTTTCTTTGTCGGAGAGATTTATCAAAGGGTAATTTGTAAAAACCATTATTATTGTCGTTGATCTTCGTTTCTACTTTCATACTTCTTCTTTCAAATCGAAAAAGTTGTATTTCTCACTTTTTGTATGCATTCAAGAGTAATTGGAGAAGCTTTGAGGTGGAAGTTCCGATTTACAAACATTTTGCATTAATCCAGAGATTAACATTACTGCAGAAATAGTAAAACTGAATATAGCTGAGAGATAAATACAAAACACGGACGAATGACGATGATACTAGGAAATGAATCACAAAAAGGAAATTGAGCTTGTGAAATACTTTTTCATCTCTTCTTTCGAATACGAAATCAAAGTGAAGGTTCGTGAATGCAGTTTGAAAGCAAACTGACGATGAGAGAAGATCTTAAAACTGTTCTACTTAATATCGCGTAAACATCACAACAATTATTAAGGTTTTCTATTCATTCATTTCATGCCCGGGCGTAGATGTTAAAAACGCTGCTTTCTTTTAACCTAATTTATCATAACAATTAATTTATTGTGGGAAGAAATATTCCCTTTTCAGTAGGATTCAAACGATACTTAATCTATGAATATTCCCTTAAACACAAGATTTTTCATAATCTCATCGCCTCGATTCTCAGTTCTGGTCTTCCCACGTTTTATTCGATTCAGACAATTCAACTTTACTCTATCTATCCGCTTTTGAGTAAAATCATCTTGTTAAAAGAAGAAAAAAAGCCAAAGCAAAAAAAAGAACTGAAAACGAGAAATCCATTATCAGAAAAATCAATCAAACTGTACTGTACACGAAATTTGTGTAACATAGGCTCGCTCAACAAACGATTTTTACATATTTTTAAAGCACTTTTTTTTATTTTTTTCTCTTCTCAGTCGTTTCTTTTATTTACATTTTTTATTCTATTATTTTAATATTATTCGTTCATCGTTTCATTCGTTCATTATAGTTGTCTTCATTCAATTACTTGAGAGCTCTTGTTGCTTTTCGCTCTATTATATGCTAAATAACTTTATTAATATCACTGGTTGTGGTTTGAAATAACAACACTTTTGAATTTCCATGATGGCTTGTCGCTCTTACAACTATGGAGGACGTACTGGGACGTATATCTGAGAGGAAAAATAATTTATTACCATTAGATAAGCGTAATGCAATTTGCCTAGATTTTTGAGGGCTTTTCATGTCAGATTTATGCGGGAATTGACGACTGAAGCATAATGCTTTCATTAATTCAAATTGTCATGGCCACGAACCGTTCATATTGCTTATGATGTGTCGTGCTGTGTGAGATTCAATGATAGATATTGTCCATCTGAACACTGATCAGATCAGAAGCTTCTGTCACTGTCGCCTTAAATGTCTTGGATCGAAAAACAGTCAGATGCCTTAATGGAAGAAATATTTCAACCATGAAGGTCTTATCTAATCAGCCATCAACACTACATAGATTACTCCAAACTAACAACGCATTATACAAAGCAGCAGAGCTTTTTTTTATTATTTGAATCGCCATTGAAATGAGTTTTCAGCTCGCCGCACCGTGAATGAAGCCGCCGGTCTCGGTTCTCAATTATATAATTAATGAACAGACATTGGAATAGATGTTGCTTTTTTTTTGTTTTAATTAAATTCAACTACCATAACTTGATTGTTTTAATACTTTTAGTTTATTGATTTCTGTTTATTAAAATTTCCTAAAGCTTTGAACTGAAAACTCCAATCAATATTTTTTTTTTTTCGTATTATAATTTACAAAATTACTCATGAAGATACATGGAAGTTTAATGTTGAAAGAAATATGATTTTTATATAAATATGATAATTTATTTAAGTTTTATTGAAAGAAATAAGGTGCAGATGATGTCGAGTGAAAATTTGAAAAGTTGTAAGTTATTGAATCACTTCTCGGAATATTTTACAATGCAAAAAAAAATGAAGAGAAAAAGCAAGAAATGTTCAAGTTAATTTTTGACAGCGTCATGATGGCTGTGGCGAGGTCATATCGCTTTAGGAATTTTTTGATTTTAATTTACGTTTTCTGTAACTTCTATTTTGTGAACAGCATACATTACTTTAATTAATCTTCATGGTAATTATTTTTTTAAAAAGCTGTGTTTTATAGATTGCTATTTTTTTTGCGTTGCTCAATGATTGCAACTTTTATTTTTTAAAACTTTGAGATGTGCTCTTGGTTGGTGATCAAGGAAGGCAAAATCATAGACAAAGAAATAAGAAAACTGAATTAAATTATAAGTTCTCGTTGATTGATTCGTGATCTTCGAATGTAAATGGATTTTGAACATGGAAATGTCATAAGGTTGACGTTTTTATGCTTTTAAATTTGCGTTAAGTTCATGTTCAAATGGGATGATAAGTCGGGCAGGACAACGACCACCCAAAAAAAAGTTGTTTTGACATCAACACCTTGAGCGCCATTAAAAGCATTTCGTCGCTTGTTGAAAGTTTCATGTTGTGTATACGTAGGAATATTCACGTGAAAGATATACGACTGAATCGCATTACAAATTGAACCCTTAAGCGAACTCTCTTGAGCGCTTGTCCCCAACATAAAGCCCATAAATTGTAATTAACATACGTTCGATTTTTAAAAATAGAATTTGAGAGGCTTTTAAATAATTTTGCAAGCGTTAAGTCTTTTAAAAAGTTGCATGGAATTTTTGTATTCTTTTTAATATTCCGCAAAAGATTTGCAATATAAAATTATTTTAATATAACATGCAAGCATCAAAATAAAATTCTATCTTATAAATTAAATTGTTACTTATACTTTATACGTTTTATGAGAAAAAGAGAAGGAAACTGAACAACCTCTGGTACATAACTATTGTTGGCATTGTTTATTATTAAAACTATTCTAAATATGGTCAAACAAAACGAACATTGGTAAACTAAATTCACAGAATAAGGAAGGTAATTATTTTATAAATCTTTAGTTTTGAAACAGATCATTGTGGATTGAATCTAAAATGTCGACGTTTTCGCAAACGTTAGTTTAGGATGTTTCAAAAAATAATGTAAACAAGTTGATCCAATTCATTGCGAATATTTATCGGAATAGTTTCGGTTTGAGCATTAAATATAAAATGTATCCATATTTATATTTTTTCATTGTGTTTATCTCAAGCGAGTTTCTCTTCCTATTCAAAATAGCGTGTGAACTAGAAGATCACCATTTCAGGCGAAGATACTTCATTTAAGTGAGGAAATAAGGCGCCTTTATGTTTAAACTTGCAACAATTCAATGTGCCATCGGCATAAAAACATTTATCAACATTTAAATATCGTTTCAGAAGATGGGAAATGAAATAAAATAAAAGTTTTCTTCTAACATTTGCTATGATGTCTTACAGAGTGTAAGAAGTTGTTGTAAAAGGATATAAAATAAAGCATGCCTATTTTTATTTCGTTCCATAGGTCACTCGTGTGAATGGAAGTGCATTAAATCATATTTAGTTCAATATTTTTTCTTCTTCTGCAACACCGTTGCACATAATAAAAAAATATTATGTATCTCATAACATAAACAACAATCACGTTTTTCTGATTGATCAGCATGTTAAAAATACTTTTCTCTCTTTTTTTATGTTGTTTCTTTGATAAGGTAAGAAAACATAAATTAAATGACAAACGTACAAATATCTTTACTCTGTAATTTATAATACATAAAAACATAAACGATAATGATAGGAAAGCGTTACGTCGTCTGTTATCAAAAGCGATACTTAAATTTATATTTATGTAATGCGAAATTAATGAAGAAGAAATAAAATTGTTTAATGCGATGCATTTGATGGAAATGTTTGAAAACTTTTCAGCTGAATTGAAAATATCCAAACGCAGCAATAAAAATGCGAAATTTTCCGTTATCACATAATTTTAATCGATTTTTAATTATACAATGTTCATTTGTAATGTCATGTTATGTGTGTGTGTGTGTGTGTGTGTGTGCATATGCATCATGCATCTGATGCAATTAATTCACTCTTCACTTCTTTTACTGCTGATATGCAATCGCACTGGAAGTTGCTTCACAGTTGGATTGTGCTGTTTATGCAAACACCAAAATGTAATCGAAACCAACCGATCTGGATTTTTAATTTCATTTTTTTCTCTCTTTCTTGTTTTGAACAAACTAGCGAAATCAGGAAAGAAATTGAAAGCTTCAATGTGGATGAGTTTTCATTTTCATTATGTGTGCAATTTGGTGCACAACTTATGTATTCATGCGACTAACAACAAGACGAAAGTGCATTGAAAATGAAAGTTTATGACATTTTGTTTTGCACTTCTCGAATGCTTCTTTCATTGCTTGTAGTTTTGCTAAGCCACATGATGAGTCTTATTTTCAATCGCAGCTGTGGGTCGTTCGTGATGAATTTCCATCCGATTATTATGCTGGAGAGTTTATTTGTGATGAAGAAAAAGAAATTTTCCATGTATTGAGGCACATACTCAATGACAATTTTTATTTTCTAGTAGAGAAATCAATTTTTCGTTCATTGCGTTATCTGAAATTGTATGAAAAGCTCTATTCATCATGTCCATGAAATATTTCAGCATAAAAAAGAGACAAAGAGACAGTTAAGTTCGCGAGGAATATAAAAAGTTCCACTTTAGGTGAAATAAACAAGAGTTTAAATACAAAGGCTACAAAACATAGAGTTTTGAACATAAAAATAAATTTAATGAGGAACTAAATTAGTGAAGCTTGATTAGCGAACCAAACTCGATTTGTATTTCTTGTTATTGCACTTAGGAGTGCATGTGGGGCTCTTTAGACTTTCGAGAACTCCGTAAACTCATAAATTGTGGAATAAAAAAAAGTGAAATCTTTTTTTAAAAACCGAAGCAAAATTGTGTATTAATTAAGTTGATTTATGTAAATTAGCTAATATTTAAACTATAAACTTATCTGCTTAATAAATCGCAGTGACTTATTCATGATGAAGACTTTAATTTTGAAGATTAAGTTTTCTGAAATTCTAGTTCAAGTTCTAGCATTTTAAATAGAAAGTCAAATCTTTTTTTCACAACATTCTTTGAATGAAGAATCTCAATAATGATGACATCTTCATGGAATTCAATTTCTTATGAAAGAAGATACTGAAAGAGGAAGAAAAATGACGCTTTAAGTACTTAATAAATTCATGTAAATTGCATACAATTGGTATAACATTATGCATACATGCTGATATTTTCTCATAATTTATAATCACAGTTTTATCACCTCGAGATAAATTTCGCACGAATAAATAAAATAATGTTAGATGGGAGATAAACAAGGCCATCAATGCAGCTTTATTTAAATTGTTACCTAACTCTAAAGATCTTTAAACACGCAATAGAAGTTCTATTAAACATAAATAAAATGTGTTGATGACTAAATAATTTCAAAGCTAAATAAATAGTGAAAATATAATGATTTGTGTCGAAGCAATCTGAATTTATTTTAAACTTCTCCACTGTTTCTGATGCTGAAAGTAAAAATAAAAATAATCTTCGTTTAATCATCATCATTTTAGTTTTTTTCTTTCTTTCTTTTTCCTATATATAAATATGAAAACGATTTCTTCGAACATAAAAATAATCGCACAAAATCTTTTCACATTAAGTAACATTTGTTATTTACTTTCTATTTCACTTTTCCGTGAGCCAAAGATGCTTTAAGTCCGAAGAAGTTCCATACATTAATTTTTTTTCTCCTTCTCCTTGTATGTCTATGCTTCTTATGATTAAATTAAACTAACAGAGCAAGTTTTTCATATTAAAAAATTCTACAGAAAAATTCATTTCTTCAACAAGTTCAGCAATTTATGCTAAAATCTAATTAAGATGAAAAAAAAAGTTCATAAAATTAAATGCGGTTTTAGGAAATGCAATAGTTTTACCACTTGGTGGGTACATTATATTGAAATCTCGAAAATTATTAATTGCTTCAGCTCGTGCTTAACATGAATACGTTTTGATTGTCTCCATAAATCAATGTTTAAAGCGAAGCCGTAAGCAAATCGTTCTCGCTGCTTGCAAGTCTTTCAAGTACTGTTAATTGTTTACCAACTTCACAAATCGAATTAGTTGAGTGCTTGACTCAAAGCTAAAAGGTTTTTTGCATTGCAATCTCATCAACCCTGTGGTCAGCAGAAGTCAGCTTCTTGAGTTAAACATGCAAAATGTGTGACCAATTGATTTAGTTTCGAGCGTTCACTTCAGTTTTTCTTTTAAAACTAGGTAAGAGATAAAGCATAAATATGTACAGCATACAAAAGAAATAATGCATTTTCACAATTCTGACATGAAACATACATTTTTTGCATTTAAAACGAAGTCATGTAAGATTTTATGATTCTCTGCTTTTTTTTTACTTGTACGTACTGTGACTCTCTATTACTTCTCGGCAAGCTTCACATTGCCGTGTGACTCTTGTGCAATCATCGTAAGAGGCATTAAAAATTAGAGTTTTATTAAAAGAGCTCTGCGCGCATAAAATGAAACAAGCGACAACAACATAAAGTTGAGCCATCATAGAAACATGAAAAGCCTCGTAGATTTATCAATTGTATTGCGATGAATTGAAGAAAAAAGAAATATATAAAAAAACTTTCACTTTTGCCTTCACAAAAACTAAACTCCTCAATCGACTGTAATTGTTACAAAACGAGAGCAGATTTGTTTGAAACTCCCTTCCAGTGTTGGGAATGGATTTGTGACTCATTTTGATGATCATAAATTTAGATCATCTGTTTATGATATGAATATAATAAAAATTAAACGAATAATGAAATAAAATCCTTTTGAAGTAGAGATCGACGTTTCAAACAATCTAATTGAGCCCTAGACTGTCTTTTATTACATCTCTGGTGATGAGAGTTGTTATTACTAACATCAATGTTCAACTTTTTCATTTATAATACTTATTTCTTGTAAGTTTTGTCTCAGCAGAACGATGATGGATGGCTTGTCGTCCGATAATTGCATGCATATAAATCTTTTTTTTTCATTCGCTTAGTTATGAACATATTTTATATTGAGTCCTTTATTAGTGCACTCACCGCGAATGTCTTAGAATGAATAACTGATTTGTTGAGAGATGAATGCAAATAGTTTGGGAAATTGAAGGCTTATTTTTAATTGACATGAGCAATTGAAATGACATAGGATTATATGAAGGGTTTACAAATCGCTTGACCTACATGCTTTGGAAGTGGAATTGATGACAATTTGCTTATTTATTTTTGAATTTTGCAATCTTTCTCTATTCAGAATATATTCTAAAATGAATAGAACTCAAACTGTCAGAAAAGTTTAGCGCTTTTGAATTATAAGAAAAGGAAATTCATTTCAAAACATGACACTCAACTTCGACATTTTTTTGATAAGTTTTTTTAATGGCAATCAATGAAAAGTTGTGAAAGAACGTGGTATGGTTTTAAAAAATAATAAAATATAAATGAATATAATTTGTTATTAACAATGTTAGTAGTTTCGTTTCAAAAGCATCTCGAAGTAAACATTGAAAGATGGTTAGGGCATTATAATGAACACCAACCGAGAGTTGTATAAGATGCAACGTAAAATGCTTCTTTTTATTTGTTGCATGAAAATTTGATTCAGTGAGAGTTTAGTGTTTGCTTTGTTCCCACCAGGGATACCGCTAAGCAATCTCAATGAATAGTTAGACAAGCTGCGCAAAAAGTACATTGCAACATCACAGAATTGTTACCATTAATTAAAATCATATATGAAAGTCGCTAGTCTTTATGCTTTTTTTTAACATTTTACAAAATTGTAACGTTATTAAATTGTACCTCGAACCATTCTTCGTCTTCTTCTTCTTCTTCAGCTTTCCTCATTTCGTTACGACACTCACAATATTTTTTACGCCATCAAAATAGATGGTGCACTTAACATATGTTTCGTTCCATACAATTACATTCACAAGGCCTTGCCAGTGCCAATAAGGAAATTGTAGTCGTGTTTTGTTGCCTATCTTTCTTATAACTAGAGTTGATCACAGTTTATTAAGCGTTGGCAAAAATGTAAATAAACTTCTTTAAGAGAAATATCTAACTAATAAATAAATAAAATTGCAATTCCCCGCTCCAAATGTAATATGAATCGTAATTTAGATTTATTTTTTCTAACTGACTTACGATAGCATGAGATTGTTGCATCCTAAATGTAATGTGTCGCGAATCAAGATTAAACATAATAATCTGAGCTTCACCATCGAAATAATGTAATGAGCATGAGTTACATAGAAAATGCCATTAAAAGAACTTATTACTTTTGTTTTAGGCGAATTCAGTTGTGAAACTTGCATTCAAAACGTTTGTTTACACTAAAAGACAATTTAAAAATCTTATTCTGATTTGAGTCTTAAAGGTATTCATAAGAAGTTGTGATTAACTTAGTATTGACCCAGTTATTGGCGCATAGAGTGTTGTAGGGAGATAGAGACAATTTCACACGCGCCATAAAACGAAAAGAGCAACTGCACAAAGGAATTTCATGTCTTAAACTAATTTCTCGTGTGTTTCGCTTTGAATAAGGAAATTTACCATTTCGCATTTAACAATTTTAATAGATTAACCGACAGGAATTCTATCTCCATGTCTTTTATTCAATTTGGATTATTAACAACATTGAGTTTTCCATCTTTAGAAACTTTTTGTTTCTTCTCCTCTATCGCAAAAACTTAAATGCGAATGAACGTGCTGTAAAATCTCATCGTTTTAGTAAAGATAAATTTCTCATATTGCAGCAACTCTTCCATATAAATTTAAAGCTATATTTATTTCTTTTCTTCTGCTTAGACTGTTCTCATTTTCAGATTAAACGAAATTTCATGAATATGTGACTTTTTGTGTGACTCATTAACAGAATTAAAATAGGAAAATATTTACTTAAATAAATATATAAAAATGTTTTTCATAATGTTTAAAAATGAATTCAACGTTCCTATCATTGCATTATTAGACGATTTTCTTTAGAAATCCACAAACGAAGGCAAAAGTTTATTTATAAAGTTTGCACTTTTTTTGTTTTATTATTATTCGGTGCAACATTGCAATAAAAAATACGCTCGATGTAGCTGAAAAGCTTGTGGCCTAGGAGAACATCTTTCGTCCTAAAAATAGATTTTATGTCTCTCTACCTCTTACTTCGACGATTCCACGCGGTATCGTTACGATGAATCGAGTAGATTTCAAAGATTTCCCCCTCCACATCCTCGTTTTGTCGGTTAAAGTTAGGTCTGATGATAATTAATCGACACCATCAGCGAATACTTTTATATTGTCAGTCATATTTATATGCACACGTATTTGTCTCACTTTTCATTTTATTGTGAAAGTTTTTCATTTCGAAAAATAAAAATTGTACTTAAGTTATGCTGATGCTTCTTATCAAGGCGATGCGAGATGATTTCCTAGACTTTATTTGAAATCTGCCTTGGCGTTTTCATGAAGCAATAGAGAATATGTATTGAAAGCGTAAAAACAAGCTTGTAGGAAAGTCTGAGACAGTGAAAAGAGATAATAATAAAAATTTAATGAATAGAAAATTTAATTAAAGTGAAATATCATAAATCTTTGCTTTCAAATAGCTTCTATTATCTGTTTTTGTTGCATTTTTAATTAAAAGAGATTACGATCCCTGGGACATTTCAATGAGTATGACTGTAAGCTCGAAGTATTAGTGACAGTTTGAAGAAACATTCTCTAGTTAAATATACGAACCGCAATGAGTTTCCGGATATAAATTTTCCGATTGAATTGGATTACAAACATACACAAGCGAACTGGATTTAGAATTCATTATGCAATTTCATTTTAATTATTTTCATGTGGAAAAATATTTCCAAATAATCGAATTTATGTAATGTGGACCAAAATATTTTGTTTGTAAATTTTATCAGGTTTTCTCTGATCACTTCTCAACGTGCGAGGAACTTTCCAATACTTACTTTTAATCTACTTATTTCTTCTATTATCTTGTTTCAAGGTAAAATTTATTAGCAACACGTGACATATTTATTTTCAGAAATGAAGCATTGATTCAACTTCAATCTATTTATTTCTAGTATTGCTCGTAACTTCTCATGGTTTTTGTGTCTATATTTGGCAATCAGTCAACTGATTAAAATGATTTATCAAAACTTTAAATGGATACCGTGAAATATCAATTTTTGGTATTTTTTTCTTGGTTTAATCCATAAATTTTAAACTCTGCTCCTTTCTGACTTTTACACTTTATTAAGTGACTTTTGGCAATGTAAATATCACGAATATTTCTATGACCAACATGTAAAATATGTCGAGAAAAATCCATCAATATTGTTTGTTTACATCTAGAGAAGGTTACAAAAATAAATTTAAGTGACTTTAGGAATTAGTTCGTGCATAATATCTTAAAGCTTGCAGAATTATCACGACATTGGCATCTCTCGTCAAAACGAACGCGTAGTTTTTGCGAGAAAACATTCACAAATATCTTGTGATTAAAAATAATAAGCATTCCATGAATGAGACTGTTCACTAAATATTTTCTATTCACTTGCATTTGTATTGAGTTTGTTACTTGAACTTAATTGTAATTGCATGACGTTCCTAATTGTGTAAATCGGAAATCAAACTTTTAAGTTCTGTTTTAATCCTCTGCTTTTGCTACCAGTTTAAGCGATCAACATTGTCAGTGCAAAATTGCAAAGTAATTTTTACTTTCCGATCAACTGAAATATTTACAAAGAACAACAAAAAAAAGCGATTTTTTATTTCATTTTTGGATATGTTCGGCTAATTGGTTCCAGTATCTGAAAATATTTAATTAAAAGTGATTCAATTTTGCAACATTTTATTTCATTTTGGGTCGGCAAAATGCGTAATAAATTATCGGGAGATTTACTGACTATTACCTCCAGTGTAAATCACTCATTACTACAAATAAATATGTGTAGCAATTTTCAATAAAACCAATAAATTGATTTCATAATCAATTAATGGCAGTTTTATGAGGAAATTTTCTTCAATTTTATTTGCGTTCTCTTTGAAAATGTTAATATTAATTCATAATCGATTGGGTCGTTCACATTTTAAATCACGCGCTACTTGGACTTTATTAGATGTTGTCACGAACGAGAGCTTCCAACTTCCAACAACACAATGTCGGAATATTGATTGTAACAAAAAGTTTGTTCTCATTTTATCTTGAGGTTGTAAGTCGTAAGCATTTTATAAATTTTTTCGACTTGAACCTTGATCAGTTTGAAGAATTCCTGATATTTCTGACATAAACACTTTTCAATTGGGTGAAATTGTTGCAAATTTTAATGCTTTTTAATGTGTAACGAATGCGATTGTTGATGAAAGATTTATTTTTGTTCTCCTGAAATTCAAATTTATTCGTTTAAAAATATTTTCACTACTTAATGAAGAAGAAAAGGTACATTGAAAATACACAAAAAGCAATAAAAATTATTCCTTGCATTTCCAAATCGTGTAGATATTTTATTTAATTGAAGAATAATTTTGTTTTATTAATTTCACTTCATTTTTAAGCTCATTTTTATTATCTTGAGCTACCTTATACAACAATAATATTCGACACAACACTTCACGAAATCCCACACGAGCTTGAATTGTTTTCTTATTCAATAATGAGCACGTTAGAATCCAGGAGTTTATTGCAAAAATTACAATCTAAATAACTTCAAGTGGAGCGTCATCACATCAACATTTTCCCCACCTTCATTTGAGTTTGAAGGCGAAATGGAAAGAAAAAAATCGATCGATTTAGTGTCCTCTGGGAAAGCATCTGCTGCACATTTTACAGTGTTACTTCACATCTAACTAGAGCAAGCAGCAACTGAGAAAATTTGAGTGAGTGAAATCAGAAGAAAGAAAAAAAAAATCAATTGTGCTGCAAAAATAATTGGAAGTTAACGTATCGTGTTAAAACTTTTTTTATTCATGATTTGAAACTAAAATTGAACATTTTGGACTGGAAATGTTTGAGAAAATCGCGCGTTTCGTTAGTGACGTTGTTTATAAGTGACATTTTGGTTTTTTCGCTTACAGAAACTTAAACTTGAAGGTGTAAAGGTGCAGTTTGTATTATTTACTGAATATTAAAATGATTAAAGAAGCTTATTCGGAGATTTTGAATTAATAACTTCCTTTGAAATCATGATTTTCGAAATGAAAAAATAATTAAGATGTCGACATACCTCAACAATATCATATGTTGTAACTTAATAAAATTCTGTTTTCAAATTTAACCATTAACAAACTAACGACCATGATTTTTGATACTTACAATTCTTTACTCCCTTTGATAATGAATGACTAAACTTTAATCGAATATTGAAACAGCTGCGACCATATGCAGCGCTTTGTTTTATGTTTAGTTTCTTGTCAATACTTTTTTATATCAAAACTATTCATTGATAACTGAAAGGTTGGATAGCCTTGTAGAAAAACGTGCCAATAGACCTCAAGAATAAGGTCGATAAAGTAACAAAATTTCCAATCAACAACAAAACATGCCACTTACAATTCGTCTACTTACCATGGTCGGAACGCGGTTAATTTTTCGTGATTGAGATAATTTTGAAAACCTGAAAGGGCTCGCTGTAAGATAGAAAAATCGTGGACGAAATGATTTAAAACTTCTTTTAAATGAGGACCTTGAACCTCCAAAAACACAAATGGTTTCCTGTCGTTGACTCATCATCATTATTTCCAAAAAAAATAATCTCAAACCATCTCTCACACACAACACGGAGATTTTACGCCTGAAAATTAGTATAAGAAAACGTCGAGGCAAGTAATAACACTTATCAAATCCGTGTTTTTGCTTCTTTCTTATATCTGAATACCTTTTATGGCATCTTCAAACTTTTTATACATTCTCAAGGCTTGGGAGGTTTTTTGTTTTGATTCAAGTTTCTTATTAATCAGATCTGCTTTTTTTACTCAAGTGTTATGATGAATGTCTGTGCTACCTACCTACATCTCCCAAAAGTTTCTTAAAAGATTCAAGCTTCCAACTAACTGATTGTAAATCTTATAAAATTTCAAGTTAAAGTCACGTCTGAAAACACCAAATAAAGTTATCTAAGTAGATTTACAGTTTAGGAAAAAGAAAAAGTGAAATAAAAAGATATCTCTCATATATTTTCTGAGAATTTTATTACTAGACAAAAGAAGAAAAATCAATATTTGACAGACATCAAACTCGAAGGGTTCTTTCAAGAGTTCTTATTTGGCTATCGAGAAGTATATTTAATAAAAAAAAAATACAACAGCAGCGTTACTCATTTACATTTACATTTCTCTCACTCACCTCCGCTAAAGAGGAAAACAATTCCATGAACTCGTCAGTACATTATTCTTTGTGTGTGTGCGTATTTATGGCTCCAAGTCGCTGGGGCAAAAATAAAAAAAGTAAGTAAATAAATAAACGATTTAAAGATAATAACACCGAGGAAAAATAAAAAAAAGTAACTCCACAAATGTGCTACAAAGAATATTAACAAAAGCACGCACAAACACATCCAAGAGTTGTAAATTTTCGATAAAAATCCCAACAAATGTTGAAACGCTCCGAGTTAGTTATTGTATGATAATAAGTTATCAGGTTGGTACGGCTGTCAATCAATCATGCACGTTTTAGCTTTAAAACCGGACGCTACATTGTATTGTGTGCGACAGATGAATAAAAGAAAAATTGACGAATCTTAGTAGCAGCTTAATTGGTATCATGATTTATAGACGTCACTGGCGGGGTTTACCAAACTATCTCTGTGTGTATGGATGAAATTATTATCGTAATTCTTTGCTTGAATAGTCAGTCGTTGATTGTGAACACGTATAAATTATACTTTAAGCTTGAAATAAAATTGAAAAGAGATGGTAGCTTTGTGATAAGAGAGTTTTAAATGTTGTGTTACTGTTCATTTTTTATTTATATTGAAACATTAAAATGACTAAGAGGTTCTCCAAATGAGCTGTTGGTAGATGAACGAACAATCATATTTTCACAACGTTATTTCTTTTTAAATGGCTTGGTTATCCCGGAAGGAAAGTTGAGGATTTTATCATAAGTTTAGTTCCATTGTAAAAGATGTTATGGAATTGATGTATGTCTTAATACACAAAAGGAGTTTATTTATAATGTATACGATGGAGGTTTTAAGTTTCTTACTGATGTTATCAGTTCCGTATGTTTAACGATAGAATGAGCTATTAGGTGGGAGCTACTAAGCCAATGAAAATCACGGAAGTAAGTTATACAGTCAGAAGTCACTACTACAGTGTTTGTTTGTTGACAAAAATAGCTGATAACGTTGTTATCTCCCACCAATTGTAAGCATACTGATTAAGTAGACCAATAACAAAACTTTATTCAGAGCATCATTCTTGATTAAATTGAAAAAATAAAAGTTGACTCCAATATCTGTCGTAATTGACTTTTTATGTTTGAAGCAATAAACAATGAGAGCGAAGAAAAGTTATTGCTGTGTCAATATTATCAAAAGCTGAATATGTAGTGCAAAAACATTCCATGATGAAAGAAAAAAAAGAATTTTTGATTAGTAATAACAAACGTTCCGATAACTCAGCAGAATCGTTTCAATAATCGTGTGTTAAGCGCAATTTTTGTGTGTTGGTGGATGGTAAAAATCACAACTGCTCATCGATTGCGCTTATGGTAAAAAAGAAGGTCAATTACCTCACCCCGAAACAGAATATTTTCCAATGTACAAAAAGACACACAACACATACAAAAGAGTTAAAGTTTAATGAAGTAAAAGACAACACAAGAAAAGAAATAAAACTTACCTACGTTAAGAGATGACGAAGAAATCACATCTTATTTACATACAAAATAAGTAATAAAAAGAAACATGAAGGCATTTTCATTCTCTTTTCTTTGGTAAGGGGGGAACAACGTATAAAGGTAATGAATTTACTTGAATGTGATAGATAACCAGTGATGTATGCATACAATCATTTACGGTTAATTAATATTCTGGAAAGAGCTTTTATGGTCACCAATGCTCAGAATTCATTTCACATTAAATATTAAAATAATTTATTGAAATCTTTTAAGAAAAAGTTCCATCAAAAGTTTTAATTTCTCAAATGAATATTTTATTAAACTTTATTAACAGTTTAATAACAATCTTAATTTATTATCTGAATCAACAATGTTGTGGTTAAATCTTGTTTCAGTTTCTATTTTTCATACTATTGGATTATCTTGTGCTTCTTGTTCATTTGCTGTCGAACTTTATAAATAGTAAGAAATTGCAATGCAGTTTCGAAAGTCGTAAGATCAAATTTCAATCTCCGCTTGAGAAATTAGGTATAAAAAGTCTTAAGTCGTAAAACTTTTACATTTAGCGACATTCAGTTTAGTAATTCTTATTTAAATTCGATTAATTGCAATTAAAAAATTTAAATGTATAATGAAAGTTAAATTGAGAAATAATTAAATCATTTCAAAATGACAAGTGGCTGAAGTTTTAGTTACAAACTTAAGTCTGATTACGAAGTTCTAAAAGTTTTATAACTTTGCTACATTCAGTTTCATTTTTTAATTGAATGTCTGACCTGCCCTTTCAAACCCAACAACCAACACGCCATAAGAACTATTAAACTTAAAGAAATAGGTAATTAAGTTTTTTTTATCATCACATCAACTGTGAATATAAAGAGTCATCGTTTATTATGACTTGCTGGAATATCCAAATATTCATTGATGAACTCAAATGAGAAGCTCTTACGTGGTATCTTGAATAGTTTTCTCGTTCTCGGAAATTAAACTTAACAATAGATAGATGTCAAAAATTCTATGATGTCATCGAAACAAATCGATATTACTTTGGCATTCTTGCATTTGCATTAAGCACAAACAATGCAGATTCAACTCAATTTCCCGTCGTCATCATCATCATCATTTTCTCTTAGTCAAGAGTTATTACCGCAATAATTTACATAGCTTTTGCATTTAAAGTGGTGTTACCAGATATCGTAAAGGTAAAGTAATTCATTTTGACATTCCGCGGTAGATTGAGGACTGGATTTGAGAAAAGCATAAAATATCTGTTGATGAATGCATTCATTGAATTGATTTTCTTATGCCGTTGGCAGATTTGCATCATGCAAGACTAAAAGGACTTGAGCAGAAGATTACTATCGATTTTCTCATATAGAGAACGATGCATTCGTTTAATTAAATCGTGATTAGTTCGATCCTTTATCGAATTCATTTCTCATTAGATACGTTTCATCGTAATGTTTGCACATTTCTTAGAAATCTTAGTAATCTTTTGTTTCTCTTGGAAATTTTAAAGTTTTTATTCGAAATCTGAATGAATCAATACTTACACTCACTTACTTTTCCCGATTCCTGTCTTCATTCGAATATTTACTTGTTTGTTGTCTCACACATCAAACCTTAAAGTTAAAACTAAGTCAAATAAGATCTTCATTTTATTTACGAAATCATTGCAACCTACGCGTAATTCTTTTATAATCTTTTATTGCTCTCTGATTGCTTGAAATACTTTGGATGTGTGTTTTGTAAGTTTTGTTATTGCTTACTTATCCAGATATCGTGGAAGAATGAAGTTGATTGGGAAGTGACATTATACAAAAGAGAAGAATACATTATTAATATTGTTTGAATGTGCTTGCTCGAACTTTAATGTCTTCGATTCCATATTCAAAAGCAACAGCGTCTTGCCACCATATGTAGTCATCTCTTCTTTTTCAGCTTCTTTGCTTTGAGTTTGAAATGACAATTCGAACTTTTATTATGAAGGATAATCGCGTGGTAATTGAAAACAACATTGTGCGAAGTACACGTCAACTACGTTATTAAATGAGCAACACACAGATGCCTCACAAAGCTGTTGTAACTTTGATGATTGTCATTAGTTTGGAAGAGAAAATATTAAAACATTATTTGAACGAAATTATAATTTAAATTATGATGTATAATTTTGAAAAATGATAATTTGCAAACATGCAATTGCAATATTCTAAACATATGGTGATATCTAAATGATTATATTTTCAAAATATTTTGAATATCCAAGAGACTTAAAATTTTTACGGCATGGTGTGCATTTCCGGTGTATCAAAAGAAAATAAAAGATATCCGTTTATAAGATTGAATTTTTAATATTCGTTTTTATTACAAAATGTAATTTTAGCTTTGTCTTTATCTTGAAAACTTCAATAATGTAAATTTTTTCGATAGCAAAAGTAACAAAGCATAAAATCAACTCACTTATAAGACTCTGCCGTGAAAAGAAGAACAAAAATGACTTGGGGAACCTTATCAGTCTGTAAGTGTTGGTGTTTCTGAGTTCACGAATCAAAAGAATGAAAGATTCGATATTCATAACACTCACATACAAAATACATTTTTTTATAAATACTTACTCGCTTCAAGCTCATGATGAGATCACAAGAAATTTCGTTTGTCAATATTAATCTTATTTCACTCGTTCTCATAGAATTCCTATAACTTTTCTGAAACATCTAGAAGCAATCAATGTTGTTAAGCATTTTTTTGTTATATCTAATACTTCAAAAATAAAATAAAAGATCATTGTGTGATTACATTTCATAAGAAAATCAGTTTGATCAACTCGATTACTGAACGTTTTGAAATGTTTTCGCTTGTGATATCCGCTTTCGATGGTGTGAGTGTATAGCTGTGGGAAAAAAATATGATTACGCGATATCATGAGTCAGAATGAATATAAGTTTAAGCTGAGGTTAGAGAGAGAAGGCAACTGGCGTGATAAAGCACTCCGGATAGATTTTGTTGCTTGCTGTTTTTATGGTTTCTTTGTAATTCCTTTTTTTTATTATGGCTTCAAATCTCTTAACATCTTAACGTTTTCTTATTAAGTTTCTTTAAGAAACCAACGTTGTTCGTTATGAATATTCACAATGCTTCATTTCTTTATTTTTTTATTCTTTTTCGCATTGGCGTTTAACTTGAATTAGTTCAACTCATTTTACTACATCACTATGGGTTGATGAAGTATCCAAAAAAGATAATAAAAAGCATGATCTTGATTTTGTCCTGAAATGAAAAGAAAAGAAACAAAAATTGTTAAGAAATTCTTTTCATGATTTCAAAAGCATTTTCGTGAAAATAGAAAAAGAGTTGTGAGCTTTGTTTTGAGTAAAGCTTTCGCGGTATTGATTGGAATGTTTTTAAATAAGATTTGCTTTTTATAGCGATTTCTTTCTGTTGAGTTGTTAAACTTTAATTGCGGAGATTTTTTTCTCCTTCATCTAATCAAAGACAAGTTTACTCTCAACACAAAAAATAAATATCTACAAACACACACGCACAAGTATTTGATTATGAAACAAATTTATGAAGAAATCAATGCTCGAAATACCTTCAAAAAAATTGTAAGTAAATCGTTAATTTTCGATGCAAAAATAGAAGTTAAGAGCTTCGGGAAAAAACCATACATAATTTAATTTTCGTAGCTTGATTTGAAAATAAGCTAACAATGAAACAACGTCATTTATCAAGCAATTCGTGGTGGAGTCACTTATTCGTAATATTTATAAAAAAGCAAGCTGCTTTCAAGCATGTTTAGTGCGAGACATGATTATTTTCCTTTAAACACAGAGTAGAAAAATGTGTCAGTCAGTTATCTGATATTTTGATTTCGAATGTCGTTTCAAGACAATTTATTTTAATAGGATGCTCAAATGATAACGAAGACAGCTTTCATTAAATTAAAAAAAGTCAAAATGCAGTAAACGTAAATTGTCGTTAGTTGATAAAACGGCAACCAGGCATAAAAATCTCCAGCAAAGGCAAAAGTCGAATGACTTTTAAACTGCACGAGGGAGAGAAGCAAAGAAAGCAGCATAACTAATACCAAAAGTATAACTTTTCATTAAAGTTGAACATAAAAAAGCTTTTTGTGTTGTGAATTGTGTTCTTTTTCTACCAACTTTATGCATTTCTTTGTTAAATATCTTCTTTTTAACATTGTTTATTACCGGCTATCGTTCTTTATTATCAAGGAAACTTTTTTTCCTTTCATTAAGAAAAAATTCTGCATACGATTAGATCACATTAGATAGCCAAGATTATGTATCTGCCAATAATCGACATTTAATTCACATTTACAGTAAATTTATGTTTATTTATGTAAAACTTTTGTAGAGTTTCAGAGAATTAACAAACAACAATTAAAAAGTTTAACTGAAAACATTTATTTTCATCATTCTTTCACAACTTTTTCTGCTTTAATTAATTAGCATTTGCATTATTGAAGAAAAGTTTGTTGTGAAATATTTTTGTCAAAGAACATTGTCTGATTTCTTCAGCAGATAATTTCCTTTTTGTAAATAATTGAAAATTATGCATAATACAATTTTGAGCAATAAAACATGCACAATATACAATTTTTTTTTGAAAAAGTTAGTAATACTACAGCCTGCAGGGAACAGCTCTTCCGTAAGAATTTCGAAATCAATCAATTGAAATAATTTAGATATAATCTACTTGATCAACATGATAAACGTTGAAACTAAGCAATGGGCATATTTATCTTAGAAAAAAAATGTAAATTATGTTATAAAGCTGCACCGTATTTTACATTTAATTAAAACAATTCAAATAACTTGGTGAAATAGCGTTACCAATAGCGCCTTGTATGCTGTCACATTATTAATAGACTCGCTGATTTTTTAGATTAGTTTTTATTTTTGTTTTGTTTCTGCTGCTTGTTTTTTTTCCTTCTTGTGCTTAATAAGCGCGAAGCTTATTTACAAACAGAGAGCGATATTGCTTTATTGTATAATTTATTATGTATCCATTTTGATCTGCATCACATTATCACCATTGCAGCAACTTAATCCTTCCTATAGAATTGAGAATTAAATTTCATTTACAAGTCAAAAATTTCCTATCAAGAATGCTCTGATACAAATTGACACATAATGAAAATCTAAAGTTTTATATTCATGTTGAAAGTATTTCTGGGCTTGCAATTCAATTTAAATATAAGTGACAGTAGTCAAGTTTGTCGCGCGATATGTTCAACATATTTACGGTTACAAATCAGTTTTGAGATTATTATAATAAGACATATAAGATCGATGTTGAGGAAGAAATTCCAATTGAATAGATCTTTGCTAATGCTAATAAATTATAATAAATTCTTGATACATATGATGGTGCTTCAAAGACTGTTAAACTTTATTTTTTATTTCCATTAATAATGCAAATAAAACGATCGATGAAAATTTATTGGTTCGAATAAAGTTTAGACGTTGCTAAATTAAAATTGGAATTTGTAGCTTTTCATTCAAATGAAAATTTATAATCTAACAATCTTTTTTCACTTGTTTGCAAGGTCTTTTCAGGTGCTGCTCATAAATTATGCAAAAACCGTTTTCAGCTCTGTTTCGTTATGCTTCGCATTACCGCAAATTTCTGAGGTGGCTTGGAGTGCTTGTTAACTTTTGCTCTTACAGTCTTTTCATTTCTGGAGTACCAAATTGAACATGATGTGACAACATGCGATTAGTTTGCAAAGATTTAAAGAATTCGTTTCTTGCATTAGAAATGAGTTTTCCGGGAAAACACTCAGTAAAGAGTACGGAAATCAATTGAGTTAATTTACTGTGTAAAGAAAAGAAATTGACGATATTGAACGACGTTATGTTGATGAAACTTATGATATCAATCTGCACATGATATTGAAAGGAAATTCATTTAAGTGAAGCAGGTGTTGCTAATGGTTTCATTGTTGGAATATACATGAAAATTTTCATCGAGCTGTAAAAAGTAAGCAAGACAATGAAATAAAAAAAGCTTCCAACAGGCTGATAGTGTCAGCGACTCTTTCTACTTAATTTGTTCGTTCTCTCTTTCTCTTTTATTGTGTGTGTGTGTGTGTGTGTGTGTGTGTTACTAATTTTCATGACGTTCAGCGATGTGTGTCTATCGATCAATGTGAGAGGTTTCGAAATACAAAGCACAACAAAGCAGTCCCCGAAACAATGAACTACCGCAACTGGAAGCGTATCATAAAAGACTCGTTAATTAAATTTAAAAACGAAGTGAAACACCGAAACGTAGAAGAATTGCAATTGTTTCATTTTTATCAGTCGTTCTTAATCTAATTATTATTACGCTTTTTTTACGCTATCGCTTTGCTTCGTTTCATTTTGTTTTGCCATCGTTACATCTCACTTGAGTTTGTCCATTTTTGGGATGTTCGAACAGACTTTCTTCATAGTTTTATTTTATCATTACACGAAGAAAAAGCTCTTCCTTCTTTTTATCATCGAAAGTCATTTTTCTACAACAATAAAAAACTTTCAATAAAGCAGAAAAAGCCTATAAATTTAAAATTATCAATGAAAGTGATCTCAACTCTCATGCACACATTCATGATGACGGGTAGGGTGAAATTCTTATGTTAAATGTATAACTATTATAAAAAAGGAAAATAATGAAACGTTAATTATTCGAGATATGTTACATAACTACCTACATGTTTTATATCTCTAATGTTATTATATTTGATACTTTTTTTTTGTTATTCGTACAAAAACATGCATTGATTGAAGGTTAAGCAAAGTGTTGTTGTTGTTTGCGTCGTAATATTCACACACGTTAAGGATTTTTATGACAACAAGAGAGTCGTTACTGCGCAAGTGAAATGAATTGATTGCTTTTGAGAGTAATGTAAAGAAAAATTGCCGTGAATGATTAGCGTGTGACACCTAAAATACTTACTCTGTTTTCAATTCATGATGAATGGAGTTTTTACAAATCAAGCGATATCTGTGGAACTTTAACGACGTTGATTTTCCATTTTGCACTCTCGCAATGAAAAATATCAGCGAAAAAAGGTTGAAAATGTCTTCTCAAAAGAATATTTTTCAACATTTCTCAAGTGAGTAACAACTTTGTACATCAATGAGTTTCATTCATCAGAAAGACTCTTGATTTTTTCAATATTGTCTTTTCTTCTTACTCACAGTTGTTATTAACTCTTTCGCACATTTTATGTCATTTCTTTCTCTATATTCGTCATATATGAGATTTCGTAAAGTTTTTTTCTTCGATTGTACTTATTGTTGTATTTCAACTTCGGCCCCGTGATTTGAACTGAAGAGAAGCTTATTATGATCTAACCTTTGGAAAAATCATTAAATCTCGACGAGAGATAAAACCAAATAGGAATATCAAGGCTATTAATCTAACTAGATATATTTATCTAGCATAACAACATTAATTTACCTCGCTTTTTATCTTTTTTTAGAAACATATAAAAGTAGGTCTTTTTGATAAACAATAAACAATAATTACTAACGGTACAGAGGAAATTCGGCTATCATTCTATAATAATGTTGCTTAATGTAGAAGCTTTCAACTAGTCGAATTATCAACAAACGGTAAAATCGTTGTTTTGTTTATTCGTTTTGAAACTGGAAACGCAAAAATGAACTGATATGAGTTGATGCATGAAGTTTGCATAATTTCCCGCACCTACAATCAACTGATGTGAATGTATATTTGATCATTTGAACTTGAAACTTCTCACTTAACAGTTTTCGAGTGTTTCGAGTGCACTTATAAATTTCGATGTAACTTTGAAAGGCTTAAAGTCAATGAAAGATAACAAAAATCAAATAATTTTAAGTATCAAATGCTTTTGAAGCTTCGTGTTTTCTTTAATCATTTGCGATCATTTGAAACGTTATTTGTATGTGTGAATGTAATGCAATGCTTGGAGCAATCTGACTCTTGCAACGCCGATACACAATCCAACAACCAAAATTGGATTGCCAAATTGGCAAATCTATAACAATTGGCTTAGATCGTAGATCACGAGTGAAGACTTTTTAAGAGCTGCTAGGCCCATGTTGACTAGCATTTGATACAAAATTTTATCATAAATCTCAACCTCGTTATTGCTGCAACTTGAGATAAACTTTAAAGCATTTCAAAATATTTTAAATTATTTTGTAATAATTTTCAATTTTTATTACAATTGATGAGTGATGATGACAAAATTATTTTATGGTTGAATCTTGAAAGTATTATGCAGAAGACGGGGAATTGCAACAAAATAAACAAAAAGAGAAACTTGCATTAATATCATTCGAAGAGTCGAGTGGAAAGATGAAATTCAAATTGATTGAATTATGGTTGCTATTCACGGAAGAAAATTACATTTTCTAATATCAAAAGCTTCAAATGTCTGATGAGACGACTGTAGTCAGTAGTAATCTTTGCCGAGCTTCGAAACTATTATTAGCGTAAAAAATAAGAGAAAAATGTCAAGGATCATAGCACAACATGTGAAACGAATCTAAAATATAATTTCAGATTTAATATTTTTGTAAACAGAAAATTCTGAGAGGAAAAATGAAAACTTACGTTCGATCTTTGTTATCGTAAGAAAAAGTTTCTATGATAAAAAAGAGAAATTGAAAATTCTTTATGCATGATGAGACTTGCATCTCTTTATATGGAGCAGCGATCGCCCAAGAAAACCTCATTTGCTCTTCAAATTAAAAAATTATAAGAAAAGTGTTATTTATTCTTCATTTCGATCCATATCGGGTTTGAAATTAAAAGCAGAATGTGAAGAAATCGATAATTCATTCACAATTAATGTAAGAAAGAAAAAAAAGTTGATAACAATTCCAAACCCTGTAATTGAAAACATGAACAATTCCACGTTACGCAAGAAATCGTGCGTTGCTTGAGATTGTCATCTTCAGATGACAGTTTTCAGATTAACTCATTGAACTTTGTTCAATTGAAATGAATTGAATGTTTCTATTCAAATAATAAAATATTTTCATGTCACGTCCTGAACGGAACATAAATATGTTACAATTTCTTTTAAAATAACATTCAATGTAGTGAACATTGAAATGTCCAAGCGTTGTTGAATCAAGGATTAGATTTCATTGAAGAAGTTGACACAGAAGTTTGTTATAAGTAAAAAAACTTTCGCCCTGACATGATGTATTGGCATGCTCTTGCCATTGTGACATATGAAAGCAATATTAAAATGAAAAATCTTTCATGCTGTCATTTACTATAAAAAAAAATTACTTAAGCAATGTCAAGAAATCAAAATACTTCATTCTGTGATTTCTCGATCATCACTTCAATCGAACATGTATGGCAGAGCACACACAAAGAATTACACAATCTAATTAAATAGAAAAATAATTGTGCAGAGCACTTTTTATACAAAATGAATTTATTTTAATTGATTTAAATATTTTTGTTATTTTTTTTCTTTCTTTGGACGTTTATATTTCGAATGCAAAACAACAAGACATGGAGAGAAAAGTATCAAAACGTGACTGTGTGACAGTTAATTATATACAGAGCAGAAAAAAAAATCAATTAGATTTACTTTTTTATTTATAAGAAACAATTTTTGAGTTTGTATTTTAAGTTCCATTTTTCTCTTTTTGAATTCTGAGTTTTTCGTGGAGAAATATTTTTTGAAATGGTAATTGAGCGACGCAACATGAAGTTATTACATTTGATGAAAATGTTTTTTTTCTTTCTTTATGCTTAATTATTATAATTCGTGAACAATTCTTATATTGAGTGATTTCTAAAGGTTAGAGATAATAAGTAGATACTTGATTTAAATTTGAATGAAAAAATGAGTCTTTGAAGTCGTGATAAGGTAGCAGCAACAGACAAAACACATAACAAATTCTCATTCTTTTATAAGTTATAGTTAAGTGGATATTAAAAAACTTGAAAAAATTAGCATTTTCAATTTTCAATATAAATAAAATGTTTGAAGAGAAAATTTGCTTGTAAAACTATTCTGTAAATGGTGTAAAATGTATAATTATTTGCATTTTACAAATAATGAAATATTCTTTAATGAATGATAATAACAACTTATTACATATCGCGACTTGCACATCCATCGGATGAATAAAGATAAGAGCTTTGTTTAAATATAGCAAGCACATGTACACAATAAAAACTCATAACATGCGAGTAAGAAGCATGAAACGCATGAGTCTGTTTGTAGTATTACTGTGCCGACGTTCAGAATTCGCGCAAAGTGATAATTTATGCTTCCTCGTTTCCATTCAATGCCTTCTACAAAATCTTAAATTGAAAATTAGTAAAGAAAGTGATGAAAAACAACATAAGATGCGAGGATGCAGATGAAAAACGAACCGCAAAAATGTGCGAACATAAAAAGTGAAGAGAATGAGAAGATTGCGAATTGATGAAGAAGTAGGAAAGAAAAAAAGGCGATGAAGTTGGCTAACAAGAGGCAATAAGTTAATTAATCATAATTGACAATTACTTCAATTGAAGCGGAACGTCAGCTCAAACACGAAGCATGCAATTTGCATAATTCAATTTCACAGCCTCCACAATACACATCGATGTCATGTTATGTATGTTTAACTAATTTACCTATCTTTTGTTTACTTCCAGGCATCACCAGATGACGGACTACCGCCAATAGTGTGCGTCAAATGTCGCGATCAGTTAGATTCGTGTCATCGGTTTCGTCAAGTTGCACATCAGACACATAAAACTCTCGTCGATTATTTGCAATTTACCTCAAATTTAAATGGCACACCACAGGTGAGTTAATCGAATTGTTTCTTCCCATTATACATCTCACATGAACGATTTATGTGAGCTTTGTGTGAGTTTTCTTTTGAACTTCATTAACTTATTTATTATTCAATTCATCTGTGAGTCAAAATAATTGACATCTGATGTTTCTTATCCGAGCAAAGCATTTCCTTGTAAATAAAAGAAAGTTTTTTTATTTTTGTCATCAGAATATCAAAGCGAAAAAAACTTTTATAAATTTATGCAAAGATTCATTTTTGTTCTTGCATTCCTTCCTTCTTTAAGAACTAAAACTAGATTAAATAACAATTACAATAAAAATATTAACAGCATATTATTACCATTTATTATGCATACATATTTCAATGAAGATACTGCAAAAACTAATAAAAAAATTAATTTTCTCGTTCACTTATTCATTCATTCTCATCAGTACCAAGTTTAGCTGTTTCATAACTTTGATTATTATTATTTGCAAACGTAATTCGCCGGACGATTCTTTTATTACTTATCTGTCTATTTGCAATAAAATATTAATAATTTTTACTTGATTTTCATGTTTATATTGAATGTTGAACATATAAAAAACATTTGAATTTAAATAATTGGTGGTGATCCAGAAAATGCGATGAGTTATTTGATAAATATCTAACACTTTCGGATCAAGTTTCATTTGTTATTTTTTTCTCATAAACTTTCAAATAATTAGAAAATGCAGAGAAGTTTCCTTATTGTGTTAAGCGGGAAATGTGATAGTCAACATTAATCAGTGCTATCTAACAACGATTTATAATTAGTTGCGATTGTAATATGCAAAGTGGAAATTTAGCTTTTTTTTCTCCAGAAATTATGTTTATGTTCCTTTCCTGTGTCATAATTTATATTGTATGGAAACGAAAGATCGACCATGAAGATTATGCCATAAGCAGATTAAAAGAAACTCGATTCTAATTGTTAATAAGCGAAGGCAAAAAAAGAGACGAGATTGAGTTTAAATCGATCTTTTAGTTATATTAATTTTGGATCAATCTTGATCTGAACATCTAAGTCACTTTTATTTTCTTACAATCATTCACTTCATACTGTCCATCAATTTAACCTTTATAACAACATTTTTAACTCTTCATCTCCATCATACAATTACAATGTATCGAATCGACATAATGGGTCATTTGACCTTTGAAGCAAATAGATAATCGCGATTACGAAAGTCCACCAAATCATCTTTCAAAAAATATAAGAAAAATAACGATTCAGCAATTACTCTCGAACGCGATGGATGGACGTGGATAATTGCCTTCTCTTCAACCGCAAATAAAGCGCTTAATTTTCTTCGTATAGTTTTTCGACCGTTTTTAAAGTCAAAATCGATTTATTGTATTTAGCTACTGTTGAATAATGTCTCACGTTTACTGTTCAGTTTATCGGATAGATGGAAAAACGTTTTTCTTAAGATGCCTACAAATTGCTAAATGCATTAATCGAAACATTGCTTTTTAATTAAATGCAAAATGTTTTCTAACTTCATGAGAAAGTTTTCTCAATCTTTTTTTAAGCTCATTTCCCAAATTGAGAACAGGAGGCAATTAAAAATTGAGTAAAGCACATAAAATCATGTCAACATTGATGTCCAAAATGAAGATTACAAATGAATGAAAGTGGATCAGATTCACAAATGATTTTCTTGCTTAATATCAGAAATTTTTAAATTAAATTTTAGATCTATTACTTCTTTTGGTATCCAGTAGTTGTGGGGTATTAAATAATAGTTCCCGCAGTCAAAACTTCATGTAATATTTCGTCGTTGTTTCTTCTACTTAGGAAATGTTGCTGCGTAAACGCAAATCGAGATCAAAATCAACTCTCTCACTACCATTTTTTATTGTTTTCTACGAGGTCTTTTAATTTTTGCTTGTATGCTAAGCATTGTTGGGTCATTATCTATTTATCTCTGCTTTAGCCCGGAGATAATGACTCAATGGCGACTAGAGGTTGCGCAACTTAAATTGATATTAACAGCAGCAAGAAATCCACATCGTCTGAAATTGAAAGTTGCTGCCATGACGAGAGCGTGAAAGACATAAATCATCAAAAAAAAATATGTATAAAAAGGTTTCCCATCCATCTGAACGCAATTTTCACAAGAAAAAAAATCGTGAATAACCTTTTTGAATGTTCAACAGTGAAGAGAGGGAGAGTGATTCACATAATACTACTTATTAGATTAGACCTTTTCCATCATCATCCGCGCCAAAATAGTTCACCATGTCATCAAGTTGATCTCTTTCATTGCTTATGCAACTCATGAAATCTCATTGAAATTGAGTTTTGTTTTCTTCTTTTTTATTTTGGCAGGCCTAGTTCTCGGTCGGTCTCGCTCTATCAACATAAGCTAAAAAATAATATCTAATAGCAAATTTTTTCGATGGAATTAGAAATCTTTAAAAAGGTTGACTAACTCAATGAAAACGTGATGTTTTACTCTCGTGAGCTCTTAAAAATGCTCTCGTTTTTGTCATTGGACTCAATTTTTATTATTTTCATTCTTTTCATCTTCATTTTTGTGGTCCATCGACTGGTACTTTTCTCTTCAAGTGCTGTCAAGTCTAAATTTAATAATAATCAAGATGAAGGATTCAATTTATCGATTATTTAATATAAAAGCTGCTTTTATTAAGATTCAGTATAAGATGATGTCGATTTATGTTTGGAAATTGAATGTTGTGTAACGTTCAGATTTAGAAGATTTAATTTGTTTTGTTTTATAGCGTAAGAGTTAAATTCAATCACGTTGACCAACGATCTATGAAAGAAACGAGAAAGAAAACAGGATGACATGCATTAACTCCATTCATTAACAACATTTTTATTCTGTCATTTCTTTTCCCCACTCTTTGAGTAGTTAAGTTGAGAAGAAGACAAAAAAAACTCACAAACAACACTTTTGAAGTCTGCCATTTCCGGTTCCATACGCAAAATAAATCCATGAAAGCAGCATGATGTAAATAAAGTTTTTGATTTTAAATATCAATCTAAAGATAAGCTGCGACAATGAGAAAAAAGGTCTTTTGTCTTATTTAAAATGAATACAAGCATGCAGTAAAAAAAAATGGTTCAACTGTTGTCATTGATACGTACATAATAACAATAAAAAAAAGCTTGATCAAATGGTATGACTCATAATCAAACACATTTTCAGGTTTCTCCGAAAAATAAAAAAGCATATGAAACATTCGCGAGAAAAGAACCGAATCTGCGCTAATAATCAATGAAAATTTTCGTTTCTTTTTTTTTGTATCGTTTGAGTCACGAAAATATCTAACGGAGAGCAACGAAAAGAGTCGACAGCAAAACAGCTGAAAATAAATTATTTTATGGTCTTTCGTCTGAGATCGCTTCTTATGTTTTTCTTTTAGTTTGTTTGTCTTTAATTTCTCTTACACTTTTCGTTTGTTGATGCGAGATTAATTGCTATAATTCTTGAGTAACACATCGGAATGTTAATGACGTAAAGTTTTCGGTATTGAGCTTCGTCCGAAAATTGTGGTTGATTTAAAGCATAAAAGAATAAAGCGCAACAGCTGTGGAGTAAACAGTCAATAAGTTCCGTTTGCTTGTGAGTTTTATTGAATATTTTTTCTTATACACGTTTGTTAATGTTTCTCATGTAAATTTTTTTCATTATTGTTAAACCCAAATCTGGTCTACAACAAAAGACAACTGTTGGCAATTGCAGTTTGATTGCTCTCAACTTATAAATGGACAATTGTTGTATTAGTAATCAATAAGGAGCTTTTTTTTCTTTCTTTGCTACTGCCCAAGACTTGTTTGTGTGGGTTCACACAATGACTTCTCGCTATCGCTTAACTTCTAAGAGCCTTTAAATGCCCACAAACATTTTTTAATGCTTTGGAAAGTCTTTTTTCAATTAATGAACCCGCTGAGTGCCCATTCAAGACTTTCTAATTATTTCAGTTTTGACTTCGTCAGATCAATTTGGATCACATTTCTGTCATTGTTCGATTGAACATGAGGTCAAAGGTGTGTTTCACCTAGGGGTTAACACAACCTGATTGATCTCATCGATCTTGAAATGACGAGTTTTTTTTTGATCAGAATTTGTTTGTTTTCTTATTTTTTTTCTATCTTCATTAACACTTTTCAATATTTTGTGTCAAATACTAGAAATTTAATGTTGTTGAGTGAAGTTGAGTTGTTGCAAGTTGCAACCCCTTGGTCTTCAGGGCCTAGGGAAACGCCATTGAATAGATGGTTATTAAGAGCGCTTTCGGGGGCGTGTAAATAATAATATTATGAGTAACTCTGTTTGCTGGATTGGTAATTCATAAGGCGTCAATTTGCGGTGAAGTGAGCTTTTGATGTGACAACACGTAGCACTTCAATTTACAATAGCATTGAACTATCAGTTTCTGCAACATTTTTTTCTTATTTCTTTTCACTGACACGTGAACAAAAATAATAAGAACAAAAAGCGTTTTCAGCGTTCGCAATCACTGTAGCAATGGATTTAAAGTCGCGCATTTTAAATTGCGAGTGTTGAGTGAGATAAGGCATTCACGCGACGCTAAAAAATCCATTAATACATATCTTAATCGAATACCGCCACGAAATCAAGGAACATTGAAATGTTTTCTTTCATTTGTGCCTCATGCAAAAACAATCAACTGAATAGAAGCAATCAACAAAACAAAAAATATGTGTAAATGAAATTAATTAGATAAATGGATTTTATTTAAAACAGGAAAAAAAGTTTTTAAGAAATTGATCATGTTTGTGGTCAGTGATATTTTATGAAAGGATGTAAATAAACTTTTCAACATTGTAGATAAACACTCAAGTTCGTTATTTGCAACCCTGCAATTTGAAAGACTTTGTATGCTTGCATCTCATGTAATAAACATAAACATAATTAACCGAAATGATTCCATTAAAATTATTATCATTGATGGAACAAGTTATAAATATACCAGAGATTAAATGAAATTCTCTTTCAAATTAGAATCTACATTGAGGATACACAAAGATATATCAAATGAAAAATATTGTCGATTAAATTCAAGCTTTGTTAGTAATTTAACCAAAAATAAAAGTCTCACACACGTAACATAGCGATTTGACAAAGTTGATAACAAAACCGGCTGCAAATTACATTTGTTGGTAAAATAAAAAATAATTTGAAAGACGTTCATTTAAGTTTTTTTTTGTCGTCGTTGTTATGAGATAATTATTGTGGATTTCTTCACTCAACCATTCAAATACTCCCGTCGCTTGATGGCACTAATCTTTATCATCTTCTTAAAAATCCCTCATCAAGGTGTGACAAAATACACGGCAGCGGAGACCTTTGTCCATTGTGTCGCAGCAATAAAGCCAAAGTGTTTTGAGAGCGACTCACTCGCCGATGATGCTTTAAGAGAGCAGAAGCGGATATGAAGACAGCTTTGAGAAGTTTCATTGCTGTCTTGTTTTGTTCATTACACAAGGCAGTGTTTTCATAATATTTTCTGTATGGCTTTTTCACACTTTTGATTGAGGAATCACAAATAAAAAATTATAATAATTCAGACAAGAATAGTCAAATTAAAAGTCTTATCAAAGAAAAAAGTTTTAAACGACATGTCATTCATTTTGAAAGAAGTTTTTTTTCTTAAGTTGATGCAAACTCATCAAAATAATGATTTATAATTTTACAATATCGCAAACTTTGTTCGTTTTGCGCCCCCATCTTATTTTTATCTTTTCCATTCTTCACAAATGAATGGCACCAACGTGGGCTACAATAATCTCAAACGATTCTTTTCAGTTATGGCAATAACAAGAGAGGAAAAAAGTGAGAAAAAAAAAGATTGTTTCCTCTTTTGGTTGCTTTTACTTCAATACATGAATTGTGAAGACTTCAACTTTGATAATTATAATCGCTTGACTGAAAAAGTTAATTCTGAACAGTCGAAATATTCAATTTGAAGACAAGTTTTACGTTTTCTTCTTCTTTTGAAAAGAGACAGAAAATCTTTCTGTTAATTAATCTATAATGATGGAATGAATTTGATAGAAACTCGAATAGTCACCTCAGTACTTTGATCAGCGCTTGCTTGTTGTTATTTTCTCGATCTCTCTTTCCGCTCTTTTGACACTGTATGTAACGATATTGGTTTTACTTACATTTTTCCTCTCCTAATTTGGTATGATATCATGAATTATTTCAAATCTTTTAATGATTCAATACACTCTGTGATCTAATAACGTTTGAGCTTTATATAATTTTCCTCTTTGAGTTTCGACCTTATTCACGATTGATATTCTAACTAATTACACTAAATTACATTCAGTTTTCTTTCATACAGAAAAGACGTGTGATATTAATCACCATATGATGTACATTGCATCTTCCTGTGTGATTATGAATAGATGTATGTGCACTTTTCATTTTCTTTGTTCTCATTGCATTCAATTATTTATGAACTTTAAGCACTTGCCGCTTTCATGTCGAGCAAAAATAGATTTTTTCTTCAAGATGCTACGCTGTTTATGAAAGTGCAAATCTGCAAATCGTTAGCGCAAATTACATTTTATGTCTGTATATATACATACATATATGTGTATAGATAAAACGAGCATGTGATTTTGATATATTTCTTTTTGAATGAATAACACTCGTGCCTGCTGCACTCTATGGATGATGGTTTGGTGCATAAGGCTTAAAAATAGATTCTTAGAAATAATATTTCGTGACGGGTGATAAAAAATAATGAATTTAGAACAAATGAATGTATGAAGACAAACACATGAGAATGAAAAATATTTCATGATATCACCGTGGAAATTGTGATACTGGAAAGAATTGGAAATCGCCCAGTTTGAAAGTATAAATGCACGATTTTGTTTCTCTTCCACAATAAAGATTAGTGTGGGTTGTTTCCCGGCAACTATGATGACTATTCAACAATAAGCAAAGATTTGACGCAAAATGTTAAGTCGAGTTTGTTTTATTGAGTGCTGATTTGAACCGGCTGCGAAGATAAAAATACTTTCAAGTGTAAAGCGATTGAGAGAA